TTGGGGGCTTTGGCCAAACTGAGATGTCCAAACACTATTCGAAAGCTGATGGGGCCAAACAGAAACTTGTCCTTTTGGTAGTTGGTGGTTTAGTCAAACCAGGATTGTTTTCCAAAAACGGGATTGCAAGAAAGATTGAAACATATTAAAACCACCAGAGAACTTACGCGTGCAGCCTCCGACCCGGTCCAAGATATCCAAGCCTTCTGGAAAAGGCCACTGTAGCGGTTTTCCAGCCTGAGGCGAAGCAGCCTTTGGACTGTGGTCAGCATGGAGTTTCTGTCTGATTCTGAGGGCCCAACCACTCTGTCCGCACAAGGCCGCACACCGCCTGCACATGGTTGGCCAGCAAACTGCTTTGCAAACCCAATACTTCAAAAAGATATTGCGCCCGCTGGTGTCCTGCAAGATGAAAGGATGAGGAGGAGCATAATAAGTTGTATGTATATATATATATTGTTAAATGACATTATACACACGTATATCATGAATTGTAATTATACATGCTTAAAATAAAATATAAGCAAATAATAATAATAATAAAACATCATCATCATCATCATCATATTATGTATATATATATATATATTGTTTTATGATGGTGACAACATGTTACAACATATACTATACTCTATATGATAATATATATATATATATATTATTTATATATATATATACCTGCAACTTCCCTGTAATCCCTGTATGCAGAACTTCGGTCTATGGATTTTGGGGTATGTAAATATGATTCTGAGTGACACAAAATGCATCTGATTTATGTGCGGGGAACATTTCAGGTTTGAGGATTATATCATTTGCATCGATCAATGGTCGATGGTTTATTCCATCTCAGTGATGGACGATGACCACATGAGGAGTGGTGGGACATGTTGGATCTTTGGCCCACTCCCCGTTGGGCCTTCAATGGATGAGCGGAATTGTAAGAAACGACTCAGATTTGCAGAAATCAACTCCAAATCACAAATCAGGATGTGTCTCTGAAGGCAGAAATGTGCCCTACGAGGATCCAGATATATGTAACATAACAAGTGTCTAAGCAAATGCATGCTACACACCCGCTGCTATACCATGCTGTGTTGCACGCCCCTGTACCCCATCCGCTCCATCCGCCACGCCTCGGAGGGAGCATTTGCGCTGACCGATGGCTTACACCAGTCTGCATCCGAGTCCAACGACTGATCCAAACCTCGGCGCATAGCTGCGCTGCGCCAAGGCTGGCGACGTCCGGGGGGATGGGTACCTGGACCCCGATATACATATCCCTCCAGGTCAAAGACCTCGTAAAACTTGGCCTTTTAACTTTGCTGAAAAGGACCTACTATTACTTGATGAGGACCTACTATTACTTGGACCTTTTGGGTTCAAAGTTAAGATGAGCCATGGATGTCCAACAGTAATATATAAGATGCATAAACCCATAATTGTTGACCTAAATTTCAGGATAGCCACATCCCTTCACCGACCAAATATCCAATTTGCGGTTTATCATAGGGTACCCCACACTATTTTATCATTGGGAGTCCAGGGCTGGAACCACCACAAACGTATGGTTTTTGAATTATCAGGGGCCCAGAATCGCTAGCGTGAACCGAGCGTGAACCGAGCGTGAACCGGACCAACTATGACCGGCAAAAGACCAACTATGACTGGCAAAAGACCAACTATGACCGTGAACCGAGCGTGAACCGAGCGTGAAACCCTAGGAACCATTTTTTCAGTGTGGAAATTTCTGCCAAACATATAATTTCTTGAGGGGAAACGCCACGAATTTGCTTTGCATATGCTCCGGAATGTCAGCCTTAGTGGCTGTTCATTGCAACTTGGAAAGGCCCATTCGGGGCTATGATCTGTAGGTGATTGAATGCTTCCCAATCATGCATCAACAGTTTCAAATGGGGTTCAAGTCAAATTCAGCATTGATGGGAAAAAGGGCTGAGCTCTATAAAATCAAGTAAACCAGAGGACCTCGTAAAACTTGGTCTTTTGCAAAAGACCTCGTAAAACTTGACCTTCCGACTTGCAGGGTATAAAATGTGTATGTAGACATGACATGTATATGATTTATGCATGTTATTGCATGTTTATTATTGTTTATCCCACTTATGTATACTTTTTGTTTGATTTGTGTGGGTACTACTTTGTAGCTATGTAGAATGCCACAGGCCGACATGCAACCAGCCATTTAGAATCATGTACAATGGGGTAAAGACTACCATTTTACCAATCGGTACAAGCATAATTTTTAATTGCTGAGTTTTGTGACCCTTCCCAGCCCTGATATGGTTCGGTTATGGGTGCTTATGCCTTCACGCCCATATAGATATATATCTGTGCTGCTTAAATGGTCTAAACTTCAGGGCACTTGCAAGTGCTGTTTGGAGAAAAATCCAGCCACACTTCTGGAACTTGTGTTGAAGAATCTTAAACCTCTACTCTGTGAAGGGCCTTTGGCCGTTGAAAGTGCTCCACTGGTACCGTTTGTTCGCTGCAAGGCGCACCATTTTCGACTCCTCGTGCTGCAATCATGCAACGGGTTTAAACCAGGCCCAGAATGGCCTAAGGTGCACCAATGAAGCAGTGTCAGTCCTCCACTAAATCCTTAACTGTAAGTGTAACTATGAAATTGAATACTTTTAAGTGAGATGCTGAAGTTTAAACGGCATCCACACGGGCAATGCAACAACAAACAAAAAAATCCAAAAACTGATCGTTGTTGAAGTTGATGAAAATTGGAGTTCCTGACGCGCTTGTTTTTTCTGGGCTCTTTGTGGGCTCGTCGCCTTTGTGGCGCAGAATGCCCGGCCAGCGCCGACGGAAGGTCGGCCACGAAAACAACTGCGCCCCGTTCTGTCGCTGGTGGCGGCGTCTGCACAGCCTGCATGCCACTTTCAAAACACCTTCGGAGCAATGTCTGAACAATCTGATGCTTCAACATCTTAGATGAACCTTGTGATGCACCGAGGCAGATTACCAATTACTAACATCATCCAGCTGTTCAACGGCATGATGTCATGACTCATGTCAACTTGCTCTGTTGGCAATGCTCCGACCCCTTAGGGCCGGCCGGCCGAAGTGGCTGCCAGACCTTCTGCTGGCGGCGCGCTGCTCAAAGCTGGCGCTTAAAGGCATGCACTGTGTAATCAGGTCGTGGGGATCCTTCTCGTGATAGAAATTCCCACCAGGCTCAAGGCTGGGTAATGCTTGGACCATTGGATACTGTATGGCTGAGTAGGCCCACATCAAAAATAGAACAACATAGAACAACATACAACATCAAAATCCTACTAAAATTGTTGCAAACAACTGTTTCCAGCTATTTGGCGGCTATTCTGGGTGATCAGCGGATCTCGCTGGTTGTTGGTTGAGCCCAATCGTCCCAGGCTAGTTTGGAAATTGAAAAGGTAAATGGAGGACCAAATGTCAATCATCATCTTGGGATTATTATTATATAGGATGATCCCCGCCGAGTGCCATTTTTGAGAATTCGTTGGTCGTTCATCATTGCAATCAAACTGAAAGCTATCCACTGCGGACATCCAACACCAGTTCATTGTGAATCACAGTAAGTCACTCAACAAACCCTACAGGGATAAACATGACAAAGTCACAAACACAATCAACATATATCAACATGGATCAGCATCCAATGGGGTTATTTTAATGGGACACAACATGGGACATCGCGAGGAGGATGTCTCCATCGTGGGAGAACAGGGGAGCTGTGGCTCCTTCGCACTGAGGCGGTATCGATGGAACTCGTGACCCAAGGCGCCAAAATCTGTGCCATTTGTGACGATTTGCGTGGTCGCCACCGAGGTTTGATTCACCAAGGCCTTACCCAGTTTTTCATGTTTCATGTTTCTCCTTTATTTGGAATATTGTGGAGTGGTGCCACAAAATGTCTATATATTCGATTCATGTTGGCCAACATTATTATTCATTGCCAATGTGCAGTTAGACCATTGAAATATCCAAAAACCGAGATATGAACCAGCAACTAGTTGTGAATGATTCCATATAGTTGCTTGGTTCACTTCAAAATGACTTCAAATTTCAATATCTACAAAATGCTGCAAACATTCCAAGCAAGTTGCCCATGTCGCCTGTGGTCGAGGTTGAAAAACTTGAGTTGCTGTGCAACTCCTGTGGGGAGACTGTATAGCCGTACATTGTTGCTGCCGAAAAAATCCGCAGTGCAGCAATTCCTTCCACTCCGCTTCCGAGTCAGACTGGCCGCAGGCGAACGGCCGGCCAGTCACCTTTCAAGTTCTGTTTCTTTCATCTACTTCCACTGGCGAAAGTTGAGAGTGGGATTCCCACTAGCGAAAGTATGCATGTATACATACTCCCTGTTTAAAAGTAGTGCAATTCCACAAAACATCGCCCAACCATCATCTAGTCAATTCTTGCAGCTTACGACCCCACCCTCGAATGATTAAAAAAACACAGGCTGAATGTCCGCTTAGTTCTTGATACCCATCGACAGGGGACCGCCGGCATGCTAAAGGCATCTGACCACCTCAAACTGATACTTTACTTATAGCTGAACCATAGGAAAGTCTAAGGAATCTATATTGGAACAAAATAGCAATTCAACAAATAGCAGTGAAGGCAAAAAAAAACACAAAACACATGCTCAAATGAATGCAGTGATGTCGTTGCTGCTAAAAATTGTCGAGTCTCGGAAGTCCATCGGGGGGGACTCAGCTCCTCAGCTCGCTTCAAACGGGCTGACCGAGATCCTCCGAAACGGAGACAGGAAAACGGCTGATGCGCTTTAAGCGCATGGTGTCAGGGTCGCTCAAAGGGGATCACCTAACCACCACCAGCCTGAAACTAGAAAAAAACATATACAACTTACAGCTTCTGAAAAACCGGAAAACATGTGAGCTTTATAGATAAACAAATGCTAAAACCAAGTGAAGGCTTGCAACATCACTAAAGAACCTTGCGGAAATGAAACCCTAAGTGTGACCCTGACTTTAAGAAAGGACACAGGTCTTCCTTGCACTCGCTTTTTCGAGAGTTCCCATCGTCACATCCATCGTCTCATCTGTGTGCCCTGCGACAGGTTGAGCTGGTGGTACTATTTTTTCTCCTGGATTGATTAAATAACGCCCGGCATGTTAATCCAGTGCAGGTGGCAAAGGCACTTTTCCTTTTCAGATATATGCATACATATAATTTATATATATATATGCTTCATGTATGGCCAGCAATGATCTAAATAACATCTTGATCTCGAATGATCTCGACATATATTTTCCTTCTTTGGGCTCATTCAGCTCATCCTTTGGTGATATAATATATATATATATAATGTATGTATATACTATTATTATATACTATTAAAGTCAAAGTTGCTAAGCATGCCATAGCTGGGGCATTTGATTGGACACCACTCATAACTGCCCCTCCAAGACCTTCTTGGGCGTCAGCTTCATTTGTTATCCATGCCGCCACCACTGTGATGTCATCCTCCTTGCCACCCGGAAAATGCAGCCTGCCAACCGGACTCCAGTAGGATCCCCATGGGCAAACACCGCTGTATATTATGCTAAGATATTCTAACCAAGGGAAACAGCTACCAGACTACATGTCATATTACCATATATTACCGAACATGTGCGAAATATTGTAGCATGCCGGGCAAGCATTGCAGCAAGATTTGAAGAGTATGAATAGACAGGAGTTACAGGCAATTCCCGTGGTTTCGACACAAAGGTTAACCTGTGGTCGACCTATCCTGACCTCTCATTCAATATTGCCCCTCAAAATCCCAGCGGCCGATTTCGACGAGCAGACTGAGCAAAGGGTGTGTTAGCCTGCATCAGTTGGGCCACCGGTTGAAGTGTGCGGTGCTGCACTGTGGAACTAAAATATCAAATTGCACTTGAAAATTCTCAAACCTGGGCACTACCCCTCTGGCCCAACAGGTTTCTCTTGTGTTTTTGAGATCATAGAATCATAGCATGAGCGATGCAAAACAAACTGAGCCTGCAAAATACATCAAAATACGTTGATAAAACAATGCCGGGCTGCATTCAAAAGTTTTCACCTTAGGCTGATCAAACTGATCAATTATCTGACAAGAAGGTCTAAGACTAGTAAATGAGTGAGATGGATTAAGAAATTGAAATATCATCGTCTTGGATATTTTGTAGTATATATATATGTGTGTGTGGATCATTTCTTTTGGATAACTTACATACCTTATTTCATGGCGACCCTGACACCCTGCAACCTACGTGTGTCCCATGGTGTCCCCTTTCCATGCCTTTGTGTCATGTGAGCGCTCTTCGGCTGTTTTGGCGAGGACTTGCGCGAGCTCTTCTGGGGGAACGATACGGCCTCGCGGCTTAGGCCAGCGTCTGGAACCGAAATGTCCTGTATTTGAAAAATTTGAGTCGGAGGGTTTTGCCCCAAAAAACTTCGCAGGTTCAAACAACTACGCGTCCAATGGAATACCCTCTGGTGAACTAACATAGCAATGGAAAATGGCCATAGAAATAGTGGATTTTCCCATTCAAAATGGGTGGATTTTCCATAGCTTTTTGTATGTTCACCAGAGGGTAAGCGTAACAACTGGGCTCAGTGTAGTTGGATTCTCCTGGATTAACAGCGGACTGGTGTTCAGAATCCCCAGAAAATAACGAAGCCATTCCAATAGGAGGCCTAGATTTGCCTCCAGCTGATAGGACTGCAGCCCTATGTAACAAAGATGTAACAACTAACTCTCCGCAAGTTTCATATAGATCTGGGCCTTTGGCCAGGGCCACTCATTGATCCACAATTGATCAAATTTGGTCATGTTTATACCATTTTATACCCAACAATTCAGTGTGGGTCAATGATTTTCAAGTATTTTGGCCCATAATTACCTATAAGATCATATAACCCATCTGCATGGTGGATCTAATCATTTGCATCTTTGTGTGGTCCTGCACTGCGCCTTTCTGTCCCTCGTAGCGCTCGACTACTTCATCAACTTTACGCAGCACCTGCCACGGTGTGGCACGAAGTGCCTGAGGTGAAGTCAAGTGTAGTTCCGCTATCTAAACAACTGCTTGGTGCTTCAAACTCATTTTAAAAGAGTATAGTTATCCCAACCAATAATCCCAAGAATGGTTGAAAAACAAAACATATTGACTGTAATATTGGAAACCCCCAACCAAATATGTAACTTGTCACGGGGGTCATTCCATATAATTACTCTTTGCTTTTTAGGATCAAACACAGTACTGTACAGGAAAACAGGGTGCCAACAAGAATGCACTCGGCATGTGGCCAACTATATAACTTCCACTCCGAAAAGTTTTGGCTTCTCAGGTGCCTCATGCCAGTGCAAATTGTCTGTCAGCCCGTCTGTGAAAAGCAAAAGAAGATCGCCTGCATGACAGCTGGACGAGTCGCACTTGCATGACTTGCATGACTAGCGCGTCGGGATTGTAGCTCAAACCATGCAACCTGCAAATTGATACTTTGTGATAGATATTTTAAATATACAATCAAGGCTGTGGCTATTTATATAACTTTATATAACCGGATTAACCTGACCTGCCTAAAATCAAGCACCAAACTGGGGGATACACGGGACAGCAAACGATCAAACAAGGAATGTCCAACCACCCCTTGGCCTCTGATTTTTTTTTATAAACTTGATCCACAAATCAATGGGATTTTCAGGATCCTAAACTGGAGGTACCTACCATATATAAGGCCTATATAAGGCCTATGTAAGTGAATATCACCACAAAATATGGCCTTATATGGTACAGTACCTCCATTTTAGGATCCTGAAATTCCCATTGAACAAACATGGGGCATAAGTATAGAACCAACGGCCTTTTCCCAACCCACTATGAAGGCGTGTTCCAGGATGCTGATCACTTCATCCACATCTTTCCCGTTGCAGGTTTACCCAGGTTCCATGGGACCCCCATGGAGCCGAGCCCTGTTCAACTTTCAGCTCGTACTTCTCACAGTCAGATGCTGAGTCAAAAGAGATGCCGCTGTCCTTAAACAAGGCCTGGCGGCAAATGACGATCAACTGCCACACAAAAACATGTGTTTTCGTCTCATAAACCACATTAAACCACTAAAATCCACCCATCACTATACTCTCTAAACACATCTTGCGGAAATCTCTCACGACACCTTCTCTCGAGGATTTTGATCACCCATGATAACCCCCGCTGAATGATAGTCAAAATCCACACTAGTATCAACTGGGAGTCTTGGCCACTGCTCAGTTTGCTTGAAACCTATGCGCCAACTTATTTCCAGCCTCTGGAACACGTGTAAGCTGGTACGGGCAGTTCCAGCCATGAGTTTGTTCTCGCGATGTCCTTGGGCTTGGGATTCTTCGAAAAACCGGGATCCCTTGTTTCCTGGTGCAACTTGAAATAGTCCCGTATTTGGCAACTCAACACATTGGCTTACAAAACTATGCCATGTGGTTGAGCAACATGCCCTCAGCAGCTCCCATGACCTTCACCCAGTGACAAAATCCCACTGAACTGCACTGGCATCGATTGCCTGCATGTCTTACCCGCCCGAAAGGAACATCAATGGAATCAATGGCAAGTGCATCATGGATCATCTCCAAGGGACTGCAGGATTTCCATGCCCCAAGCGCGAGGGCGCAGGTGCATGAAGCCGCTATCCCCCAGATTGGCCACCTAGCCGCAGGATGGCCAACCCAACAGCGGCCAACCGTTTTGGAGGTGCATCCAACCCATCCAACCCAACAGTTCAACATGTTTATCCTCTGGTAAACATACAAAAAACTATGGAAAATCACCATGGTAAATAGCTGGGTAAATCCACGATTTCTATGACCATGTTCAATAGCTATGTAACAAATTACCAGATGGTAAATCCCATTCAAATCCCATTAAATCACTATAAAATCCCATTCAAATACCATTAAAAATGGTGATGTTCCATCGTTTTTTCCATTGTGTATCCAGGTTTCTCCAACATTGTCCGACATCAATGTTGTGTGCTGTCGGAGGCCTGAACGATCTTCCCGTCAATGGCCATGACCTGGTACCGGCTGATGGCACAACTTGACATGTGGCTATCCACCAGATGTAGCTATGAAAATCCATGGGTTTCCCTATGGAATATTATGGAATGGTATATATATATAATATACATGGTGGATTTTCTATATTTATGTTAGTTTACTGGAGGTTATACTATGGTATACCCCTCACCCCTCAATGACGATTTCAAGATGGAAAAAAATACTCATTGACTTCAAAGAATCACCATTTTTGGATACGCCTACATGAAGGTGCATGGTGGTTCGATGGCTCCAAAGCCGGTGTTGTCATTCTTTGTAGCAACACTCAAATAGATAGAACAGTTGAACAAATGGAATTACCGTATATACATGACATGATAGGCGGAACATCATCGAGAACATCCTGGAAAAACTTTGGGACCCCTATATCATATCATATATATATATATCCAATCTACAGTACGTTTATGAAATCATCATTGATCAGTTCATGTTTGCTTGACCCAACTTCACCTACAGCTTCTGTTGATCCCATCCATCTGGGCTATCGCCTCCAACTCTACCAGCTATGAGCGGTACCATCCCAACAGTTGTTTTTTGGCTTCACCACTGCTGAATACTGATAACTATATACATATGTTCAAACCATTATCTATCAGATCTATCAGTGGTATGGGGATCATATTAAATCATTATCTATCAGTGGTATGGGGATCATATTAAATCATTATCTATCAGATCAGTATGGGGATAATATATTAAATCATATTAAACAGAACTTTACCACTGCTAACTAAACATCTAATATACTGATTGGTGGCTTCAACCGGTTCAACCCATCCGTCGCTTTGTCTTTTTTGGGATCATCAAAATCATATCAAATCCAAGAATCCCGAGATTTTTCGACCTTCAGCTTGCAGTTCTTAGATGAATACGCCTGCAAAAGAATATACAAAAAAAAACGCATCTACCTATCTCCCTTTACAATATATATATATATATATATATGTATTTTTCATATATATATATGTATATAATATATATATAACTATAAATATACAGTGTACAGTAGTTTCTTCGCCTCAAACCCCCTATGGATCCCGTCCCATCGCTCCGCACCAGAGCCGTACTGGCACCGAAGGTCGTGGCGTTCTGTTCGGCCGCCATCATAGCCATCAAGGCCCGGCGCGTGCCGCTGCTCTCGTGGACGAACCTCGAAGGTACGACGTGGGATGGCAGGGGGGATCTATAGCCATCCAGTTGGGAAACTATGGAAACTATGGAAACTATGGAAAATGGCCATAGAAATAGTGGATTTACCATGATTTACCCAGCTATAAAATGGTGAGTTTCCATAGTTATGTTAGTTTACCAGGTAGCCATCCAGTTGGGAAACCCCAAGAGGGATGAAAAATGATGAAATTTGGTCATGTCGATATTTCTTTGATTTTGTTCTTGGAACTTCAAATCAAAGCCCGTGCTTTTGAAACTTATTTTCCACCATGCATGCAAATTTTGGGCAAACTCACACGGGGAACCTCCAGTAGAAAGTGGAGGTCCTGCGTGGGAAATCATACGCCGCTCTTTCGGCATGCTGCAATTCATATAGAATTCATTTAAACTTCACAACCCACTTAAACTATCTTAAACTTAATATCTTAACACACCTCAAATTGGTCATATAGTGGCTATATTCAGCTACATCTCCATGATTCCCAGCATCTGCTCCAAGGCGCTTGGCGCTCAGCTGCATCAGTTCATCCGCATACCTAAACTGATCAGATGACCGCACCCCTCAAAAACATTCAAAACGAGCTTAGTGGATGCTATTCCTCTACGTCTGGCTTCTATGCATTCTATTTCAAAGTTCATAGTTCTATTGTCAAACGGATGGGCCACAAAGCTAACACCTATGGCTAAGATCCCTAGGTTTATGCATAACCCCCAAAAATGTGAACCACACTATGGGGAACATTGTGCAGTCCTACCCTACAGGGGTAAAACTCACATCTGGGCATTTCAGAAAATTATGGTCCATATTGGGGTTGAATTTCCCCTATCAACAATGATTCTCTGCCAGGTTTCATTGATTAAATGTGCCTAAAGAATCTTTTTATGCCATATTCCTATGGTAATTTAACATAGCTATTGAAAATCACCATTATAGTGGATTTTCCCATTGAAAATGGTGATTTTCCATAGTTATGTTAGTTTACCAGAGGGTAATATTCCTATGGATTGTAAACCCATAAATCCACCATTTCCATGGCTTTCCATTCAAATCCATCCACCATCTCCCATCAGCAAGGTCACTTGGCCGCATCCACTCCATACTCTGAGAACTGCTCCATCTGCCCCACACCGTCCGCCACCCCGGCGGCTTTGGAGCTGAAGAAGAAGGCATCCTCGCAGCGACCTGAGGCGCTGCTGCTCATGTTTCTTTAATGAATGACTGTATATAAGTATTATATTATGAATTATGACTATGCAATTATGTATGTTTTTTTTTTAAATATATTTGCTTGTGACCAGGTCTGGCATTTGAATGCATTTGATGTTCTTTTTTGTAAGTTTAGAAGTGCCATGAAGTACCTATATGGAGATACATTGCATGTAGCGCATGATAGCCACCTTTCCAGCATGATTCTCCGTCGCATTTAAGTGTTTCACACTGTTTCATCAGATCATGCAATCATATCCCACTTCTCATCAAACGTCATTGGCGCATTGTGATTCATGCAGCATGACATACACTTTTGCGACACATTGGCATTGGGTGAGCAAACTAGGAGCAGGTTTAGCAAGAGGCCATCAGGAACTAATTACTGTGAAAACTTCAAACTTAAGTATATACAGTAATTGTGTTGTGGGGAAGGAGCCTGGAACATCTGGAACAGAATAAATCATCAGCTTGTGATGGTTTCGCTGTTTTACTATGCTTTACACACAATTTTCTCAGCAGAGTAAGGGCTTTCTCAATGTCAGTCCGGCTGAAGGCCTGATGGCTTGGAGAGTCGGTGTGCTCCTGCCTCGAAGCAAAAAGACCTCGTTGTACCCCATCCGGAGACCCCTGGAACCGGGGGGAACCTCGATGACCGGCATCGGACCATGCCTGCGTTACAAATGGAAAATCACCATTTTTAATGGGAAAATCCACTATAAATGGCCATTTTCAATTGCTATGTTAGTTCACCAGAGGGTAAATGGCTCTGAATCAGATTTCGACGAAACATATCGCAACAATCAACATTGTGCAAAGTTACCGGTAGTGCTCAAAAAAAGCCTGCAGTCGACTTGAATTAAAGGACCATAAAGGACCCTTCTCTTCGATGATCGTTGCAATCAACCCATGTTCACATTATATACCCCTGTCTCTGCCAACTGATCCCCCTCGACAGTTCCAGTTCCCCAAACCACCCCCAAGTTACACACCGTGACCTTGCTAGGGTTCCTGGGGTTAGGGCACAATCCATACATCCATATACATCCAACTACCATGAATAAATGCACAGGATCCTTTCCAACTCCCAATTTTCCACATCTCCAAGTGATTCCAAGTGACTCCACTTTGAGATTCACCGGCTCCACCGGTGTCACCACGGGAGCCTTCACAGGACTCGCAGCCCTCTTTGGAGTTGCCACCCTCCTTGGAGTGGCCACCTTCCTAGGAGTCGCAACCCGCCTCGGACTTGGACCCTTCTTGGGACTCGGAACCTTCACCGGCGCCACCACCGGAGGTGCCGGTGGGGCCACAGGCACCTTAGCGTCCGGAACCTCCTGGAGCTCTGGGGTGGGGCGTGGCTCCAACAGCTCGGGGGTGGGCTCGTTGGTGAGCTCAGCCTGGTGCGTGGGGTTAAAGGTGGCCCCTGTTGAAGTGACGGGCACATGGATAGTCTTCCAACGCCTATTTGACGCCCATGCTGGCTGGAGGAAGTCTGTACTCTCTTAGCCAAGCCAAATTCAAATCGGAAACTGGAGGTTGCCCCTTCGACTAAGTCTACATGAGTGAACTCATCATGGCCTATTCATCATAGATCATCATAGAATAAGTCAAGTGGGATGGACACACACGCACACACACACACAAGCAAGCTTTCGGCATTCATGCGTAGTAGCGGGTATAATATATATATATATAGTAGTTGGATGTAGTTGGGCTATCCAGGGTTGTAACATGTTGCTATCATGTTGCTTAATAAAAAACCACCTGCCCCCTAGTAATCAAACATGGCTTGCTGGAAAATTCACCCATTTATTGATTTATTGATGATTTTTCCATATTTGTTCCTTTTTTTTTTTTGTTTTTTCTGCGACACCTTTTTCACCGCCATTGGCAGGGAAAACCTTCACTTTTTGAGTCAAAGGTCCATCATTCTCCAGATTTTCCCATGACTTTCCCATTGAATCCTCCATTTCAACAGGTCGGCCTTCGGTGACTCGGCAAGCTGTGGCAACGTTGCCAAAGAGGAGCAGGGCGACATCATTCCATCGCCGTCCTGCGATCATGGCTTAAAAAACCATCGTAGAGTCGCTTAGGATTCTGGGCAAATTCTGGGTGATGTGCCAAAATATATTTACATGATTTACATGCATACAGCCAATCCAATCCAATCCAATCCAATCCAATCCATGCGTTACATGACATGACATTACAATACATTACACTACAATACATTACAATACATTACAGTACATTACATTACAGTAACATTACAATATATTACATACCATACCATACCAATGCACACACACAAACATTAATTTATTATATGCATATATCATAGTTATACTGAGTACTGCAAAAACCAAGAAAAACACAGTAGCATGCCTACACATCAACATTCAGTCGAATCCCTCTATCAAATGCATACTGTCCATCAAGGCCGCCTACTATGCCCCAGCACCACCAAGAATTCCAAGTCATTTGACAATCCACTTGGGGATGGTTTCTGGCCTTGGGCCAAGGCTATACCGCTGTTATAAAGCATTGATACATAGCAAAATGTAACCAACAATCTCTCTCCATCGCCCTCTCCGGGAGTTCGTAACCAACAATCATATCCATTTCCGGATGATCTCCCCATGTCTTGGCAGTAAGGCCATCTAAAAGCCAAGGAAAAAACAAATACATTCATAATTTCATCCAAAAAAAGAGGAACACACCCAACAGCTATATCAGCTATCAACAAAAACACCTCCAAAGCAACGACTTTCCATCTGTCAGATATCCCAGCCCGCCGGGCCCGCCCCTCCTCCGAAGCCAGGTAGGTGGCCATGGTGCTCATGCTCAAGACGGGTGCAAGAGCTGGAAGCTGAGTCATGAAGGGGTCACGAGCTTCGCCAAAACCTCAAGGTTTGGATCGACTTCGAGGCTGGGAATGCCAGGATTTGGGGCCAAACAAGTCACCAAACAACGGTTAATTCACAGTTGCAGTTGACTTTTTACGGTTCCTTTCTGGGGAATTTGCCTTCGCCTTCACCAAAATTCATGAGATCAATGAGATCAACAATCCTGGTGCAGTTTCCTGAAACCATCGATTTTTGCCGTAAAAAACATCAGTGGCACATCCAGGCAACACGCCACATGTGGAGGAAGGCTCTCCATCCTGAGCCAGAAATGGAGGGAACATGTCTGAATCCCAGGGCCCGGGGATGGGCATACACCTTTCCTAGAATCTCAAAACATGGAATTCTCATGAATTCTGTGAATCTCTATGTGTCTCTATGTATCTCTATGTATCTCGTAAGATTTGGTTTTGGACATTCCCAACTGTGATCCCTTTGGCTTTCAGGTTAAACCCGGACGCCGGTGACCCCCAGCAATCTCTTGTGGCTCAAAGCATGCAAATGCAGCCGTGCATCGTCATATCTGAGTGCCTGGCATCAGCTGGACTAAAGGGCCCGACATAGATTCTCGGCTTCATGGGGATAATTTTTATGCTGGTTTTCATGAGGTCTCGGAAAAAGGATGAAAAAGAGAGGAGGCTGATCCTATAATGTGGTACTGGTTTGGATACAAAGGCTAGGTACAGAGATGTCCACTAAGTTGCCTACAGAATGTCTAAGATCTTGAAACTCGTGAACTTGGAAGGTTTCATGGACTTATGAATTCTTTTTGGTTTGTCATGTCATATCAGTTTATATACTATGCAAAATATTCCACCACTTTTTGCAGAGGTTACTGGTTCGACGTCCATGTTCTTAGGCCACATGTCAACATGTCCCTATGGAAAACTGCCCATTTATTATTTATTCCGATGATTTGCCTATGAAAAAATTGCCCATTTATTCCCTGGCAAAAACTGTGGGTAATTCCCAAAGGGAGTCTTACCTGTGCTTAGTAGGGAATGGGGGAATGATCTGATCCAGAACTATTAACAATACTAAGGGGATACAAAATAATTACTATATATAACTATTGTAATCTTGTAGTCTATCTATGGTTGTGCTACTATTGTCATCCTATTCCCCCATTCCCTACGTCCCAGCCCTCCCAGCCCTTTATCTTCCAATCTCCACTGAGCTGCAATTTCAGTGGGAGAACTCGGTTGGCTCCTTCCTCCCACTCTGCCCAGCCGCCCGCGCGTTGGATCACGAACTTGTACTCCTTGGATTTTCATGATGTAATAGATGCACATGTATATATAATAATATATATATATATATGTATGTATGTATGTATATACGTATGTATGTATGTATGTATGCATGCATGCATGCATGCATGCATGCACGGATGCATGTGTATGTGTATGTGCATGTGCATGTGCATGTGCATGTGCATATGTATGTGTATGTGTATGTGCATGAGCATGTGCATATGTATGTGTATGTGTATGTGCATGAGCATGTGCATATGTATGTGTATGTGTATGTGCATGTGCATGTGCATGTGCATGTGTATGTGTATGTGCATGTGCATATGTATGTGTATGTGTATGTGTATGTGTGTGTGTATGTGTATGTGTATGTGTATGTGTGTATGTGTATGTGTATGTGTGTATGGTATTTGTATGTGTGTATGTGTGTATGTGTGTATGTGTGTATGTATGTATGTATGTATGTATGTAGGTATGTAGGTATGTAGGTATGTAGGTATGTAGGCATGTAGGCATGTAGGCATGTAGGCATGTAGGCATGTAGGCATGTAGGCATGTAGGTATGTAGGTATGTAGGTATGTAGGTATGTAGGTATGTAGGTATGTAGGTATGTAGGTATGTAGGTATGTATGTATGTATGTAGGTGTGTCTGTGTGTATGTATGTATGTAGGTAGGTAGGTATGTATGTATGTGTATGTATGTGTTTGTATGTATGTATCTATGTATGTGTATGCATGTATGTGTATGTATGTATGTATGTATGTATGTATGTATGTGTGTGTGTGTATGTGTATGTATGTATGTGTATGTATGTATGTGCATGTATGTATGTGTATGTATGTATGTATGTATGTGTCTGTATGTGTCTGTATGTGTCTGTATGTGTCTGTATGTGTATGTATGTGTATGTATGTGTATGTATGTGTATGTATGTGTATGTATGTGTATGTATGTGTATGTATGTGTATGTATGTGTATGGATGTGTATGTATGTGTATGTATGTGTATGTATGTGTATGTATGTGTATGTATGTGTATGTATGTGTATGTATGTGTATGTTTGTGTATGTATGTGTATGTATGTGTATGTATGTGTATGTATGTGTATGTATGTGTATGTATGTGTATGTATGTGTATGTATGTGTATGTATGTGTATGTATGTGTATGTATGTGTATGTATGTGTATGTATGTGTATGTATGTCTATGTATGTGTATGTATGTGTATGTATGTGTATGTATGTGTATGTATGTGTATGTATGTGTATGTATGGGTATGGATGTATGGATGTATGGATGTATGGATGTATGTATGTAATGTATCTGATATTTTTTTAATTATACACACACACATATGTATATATACAAAAAATATCATAAAATTACATATATACACAACAGATTCCCATATGAATTGGTGGATTGAACAATTGACCGCAATGCACCAACTCCAAGATTCCATTTCGATGTCACGGCTCTTGCGGATATCCAAGGGCATCGAAATGGTCGTGAACCACACCTTGAAGCGCCCGAGTGGATTGAGATTAGAATGGTTAATTCAATCCATGGCCTGCCCTGTCCAGCGATGGGAGTTTCCGGAAACCCAATCACTTGAAACCACTCTGAGATTCTGGGGTGATTGAGTATCTTTCGTTTGCAGGCCTTACAAGTACCTTTAAACAATTGTATGGCAATGGACAATCACTCAACGAAGCGGAACGAAAACATGATGGAATCGTATGATTGGCTCACTGGTTGCCCTGGTTTTTCCTTTCATATATTTCTTGAATTGATACCCCAGTAAACCAACATGAAAATATGGAGGCACCAATGTATACATTATTTTTAATGTACATATAATTGTATATATATATATATTATATATATATATATGTAGATAAGGGGCCTGAGAATCAGTACATAGTGGAAATCCCATGATATGCTCCTCCATGTTCAATTTATACTCATCTGAATTTTGTAAATTGTATGTGCGTACATACTTACGTATGTATGTATGTATCTATGGAAAAATGTAAGTATGTATGTATCTATGGATGCATCTATGGATATATCTATGGATATATCTATGAATGTATTTATGGATGTATCTATGGATGTATCTATGTATGTATGAATGGATGTATCTATGGATGTATCTATGTATGTATGAATGGATGTATGTATGTATGGATGGATGGATGTATGGATGTATGGATGTATGTCTGTATGGATGTATGGATGTATGGATGTATGTCTGTATGTATCTATGGATGTATCTATGGATGTATCTATGTATGTATGGATGGAAGTATGTATGGATGTATGTATGGATGTATGCATGGATGTATCTATGGATGTATCTATGGATGTATCTATAGATGTATCTATGGATGTATGTATGTATGGATGTATGGATGTATGTATGGATGTATGTATCTATGGATGCATCTATGGATGTATGTATGTATGGATGTATGTATGGATGTATGGATGTATGTATGTATGGATGTATCTATGGATGTATCTATGGATGTATCTATGGATGTATGGATGTATGGATGCATCTATGGATGCATCTATGGATGCATCTATGGATCTATGGATGTATCTATGGATGTATCTATGGATGCATCTATGGATGCATCTATGGATGCATCTATGGATGTATCTATGGAAGTATCTATTGAAGTATCTATGGATGTATCTAGGGATGTATCTATGGACGTATCTATGGATGTATCTATGGATGTATCTATGGATCTATTTATGGATCTATCTATCTATCTATCTATCTAGTTATGCATGTATCTATCTATCGATTTGTCTATTTGTCTATCTGTCTATCTATCTATCTATCTATCTATCTATCTATTCATCTACCTATTTATGTATGTATCTATCTATCGATTTGACTATGTGTCTATCTATCTATCTATCTATCTATCTATCTATCTATCTATCTATCTATCTATCTATCTATCTATCTATCTATCTATCTATCTATCATCTATCTATCTATTTATCAATCTAATCTAATCTAATCTAATCTATCTATCTATCTATCTATCTATATCTCTCTCTATCTATCTATCTATCTTTCTATCTATCTATCTATGTATCTATGTATGTAGCTAACTATATATCTATCTACCTATTGATCGATCTATTTATTTATCTGTCTATCTATCTGTCTATGTATCTATGTATCTATCTATCCATCTATACATCTATCTGTCTGTCTGTTTGTCTGTTTGTCTGTCTATCTGTCTGTCTATTTATCTATCTGTGTGTCTGTCTATCTGCCTATCTGTCTATCTACCGATCTGTCTATGTATCTATGTATCTATCTATCTGTCTGTCTGTCTGTCTATCTGTCTGTCTATGTGCCTATCTACCGATCTGTCTATCTATCTATATATATATATATCAATCTATGTATCTATCTATCTGTCTGTCTGTCTATCTATCTGTCTATCTATCTACTTATCCATCTATAGATCTATCTATCCGTCTATCCATCTATCTATCCATCTATCCATCTATCCATCTATCCATCTATCGATCTATCTATCTATCTAGTTATGCATGTATCTATCTATCGATTTGTCTATTTGTCTATCTGTCTATATATATATATATCTATCTATCTCTGCATGTATCTAAATGTATTTCTATGTATCTGTGTATGCATGTATGCATGATTTTTTTTGTACACATGTTGAAGGGTGGCTCTCGGGCCGAGTGGCAGGATAAGCCTCTTCGTGTGTTCGCAGGAGAACGCCTTGTTTCGGGGTCCACTCACCCAGCAAGTCGCCAGGGCCCACCACATAGACGTCGTCACCAAAGTCTCGGGACAGAGGGCCGTCCAGAAATTAGATATTTGGCACATATTTACCTGCATATTATACAATATACATTGTTGCATTTACCGACATTTATCTGCACAGTGGATCACAGTGGCACAAAATATAGGAATATAATTATGATTATGATGTAATTAAACATCATATTGTACGCCGTTCATGGAGGAAATGGGATCAAGAATTGGAGAATGTTAGGCCCTTTTCTCAACAAAGCTGCCAGTACATCTGCACTGAGAACTGTAGTGGCCTTTGCATTTTGGGCTGCCAGGTCTCTCATCAACATTTATACTTAGATGTCTGCATCCATTGTATATAATATATATATATTATTATTATCCACTGATGCACTGCCCTGTAACCCACCTTGGCATTGGAGAATTCAAGAAGCGCATATCAAACATCTTCATAGATCATCGATTCATAAATTCATAAACTATAGAAACTATAGGAGACTATCTACGAAATGGATCCTTAAAATTCCTTAAATTTTTATTCAATGGATTGGTTTAAGGGAAAATCTACAGGAAACCATAGATTTTCCCATTAAATATGGGGCTTTCCTGTAAATTTTCCCTTATCCATTGATAAATGGATCATGATGATCATCTGCCATCCCTGACAGTAAAAGAACTTCTCCAAGAAACTGGTCTCCACCCGGACTCGGAAGGTCACCTGGCGGTGGCTGGCGAGCAGAGCGGTAACGACGCGCAGTTAGCAATGGACAATCATCTTTATAATCTTTATACAACAAGTAAATTATCAAACTAAATGATGGCTATTTCCAGCCATTTCCATACTGTCCGACTAGTTATGTCAGGGTACTGGGGGATCTGGGGGTTTGGTTTTGCTTGATGACTTGATGATGCCTTTTTTCCTGTGCAATCCATCATGACCATGGTCTGCAGGTTGCTTCCCTACTAGCTGTACGTACCTCACACTTCAAGAGCAACTTGAAACCTACTTACACAATCTTTCACAGGTCTTACACATTGGAAATACCATTCATTCTTAATGCTTTTAGTCACCTATACTTTCCCAGACCAATTCAGTGTTGCTGAGTGGCGGTCGCGTTCACAAAGCCATTGGAAGGGTGGTTGGCCACTGATGTAAAGGCCGCCATTGCACTGACACTAAAACCACTGCGATTTCACAATTTCTCCCCGCAGGGTGACGGCTAGAATCAAATGAACAGCTGCAGACGGACCAAACACATCGATAAACCATGCAATTTGGAGGTTGGGGGACCCAAATAAGCCACCCAGGCCGGGTTGTAATGAGACACCATCCATAAAATTATATTCATGTTTTGGAAAGTCTGCTGAATCGCTCAATGCTCCGAGAATCACACTTCCTGACCCTCCAGACTCTCCAATCAACAAACAACGCTGGTCTCTCAAATCTACCAGCTTGGACAACCCCTATGATCCCTTTGTCAACCCCGGAAGTTCATCAAGCATCAGAAGTTCCCTGGCCGCACTTTTTGAAAGCTGTTCCCTGGCGCAAAGCAACAACTCTGTGGCCGCATCAAACTCTGCTTCCAACTGCTGTTGTTGCTCCTGAGACCCGCGATGCCAGTTGGTGAAATCCATATGGATCAGTCAGCTTCAAAGCCAGTCTTTGGGATTTCATATCTGAGGAAGATCACACTCTATTTATATGACCCTGGGGGAAACAGCTCGCTCAAATGGCTGGCAAGTATGGACAAATTTCAACTGACACTCAATATGTTTTCAAATTGTCCAATCTATATATTATATATATATACAGATAGAGAGAGAGAGAGGTCATTTTTTGGGTGTCCCCCATTTCTGGGCAATTCTGTGTTAAAGCCAACAAAACGATGCCACTGGTAGCACCTAACAGTCCCAACTCATCCAAAAGTTGCATTTGCAACTGGGGCACGTGGTATTCCCTCTCCAATGCTTCACGCGAAGTGCGGCTTGTGCTCAGTTCCTGGTAAGTTTGCATTGCAGATGGGCCGCACAGGGCGAACTTCATCAGCTAAATCACTGGAGCTAATGCACTACCAGAAGGCGCTGAGTTTTGCACCATAATGAATCATGAAGTGAAATTGTTTTGCACTTTACCCTCTGGTAACTTAACGTAGCTATTGAACATGGCCATTTATAGTGGATTTACCCATTGAAAATGGTGATTTTCCATAGTTATGTTAGTTTACCAGAGGGTACTGAACATAGAAATGACAGGACATCAGGGAAAACCAGCAGGCAGGTCACCTGATCAAGACTTGTCTCAGGGAGCTCGCCATAGGCCCTGGCAGACTCGGGCATCAATTAGCGCCAATCAGGATGGTCAGTAAACATCAACAAACATCAACAAACATCAACAAACATCAACACACAATATCCAAAAATCACCAAACAGTTGGGCGGTGTCTGCATCACATGGCTATCATCTTATTATATCATATTCGTCACCTCCTCAGTTCCACGTTGGTCTTTCGCTCGCGCGCCAGGGTATCCTGCCAGGGGCAATGGTTGAGTTTACGGTCAGGTATTATATATATGTAAAAAAACACATGAACAATTTATGAACATTGGACGCATGCTCATTACTGATCTTTGTAACCGTCCTCATGTAGTTGGCAAAACTTTATAACCTTTCAGTGAGTCATTTGGGAGGCCATCCCCCAGCTACCCAATGACCTCCATGACTTGCCATTGGTCTACCAGATTGGAAAATATGAATAAAAGACATCCCACAATGGATCAGGTAGACATCAATAAGTGTATAATTAAAATCCGTGGCATGGGAAACATTATGATCATTATGAATCATTGTGGGGAAACGTCGGGAAGCGCTATGGTGCCCTCAACTTTTTCAAACCCAGCTTGCGGAGTCGTGTTAACATGCACCTTTGAATGGGTTTGAAGGCATTTGCCGAGAGAAATTTCAAGGAGTTTGGAATCGACAAACTCTCCAACGCAGTGCAACCCGCAAAAGCGAGCTCACCAATGTGAGTCACAGACTTTGAAATCGACAACCTCTTCAAGGCATGGCAATTGAAGAAGGAGCAAGGCTCAATGTGAGTCACGGACTTTGGAATCGCCAACGTAATTAAGGAGCCGCAAGAAAGGAAAGCACCAACTGGGATAAACGCCAAAGACTTTGAAATACTCAGGCTTCTCAAGGAAGCGCACTGAGCGAAAGAAAAATCCCCAATGTGAGTCACAGAGTCTGGGATATCCAAATTCCATAAGGACCTGCAGCCGGAAAAAGCTGAGGTCCCAATGGAAGTCAGAGACTGTGGAAGCGTCAAACTCTTCAAAGACTTACAGCCAGAGAAGGATGATTCTTGAATCTGAGTGACAGAGTTTGGAATCGTCAAACTTTCCAAAGCATTGCAACCATAAAATACGTCCTCTGCAAGGTCAGTCACTGAGTCTGGAATGGACAAACACTTCAAGGATCTGCAGCCCAAGAAGGCCGCAGTCCCAATGTGACTCACGGACGCTGACATCGACAAGTTCTCCAACGAACTGCAGTCATAGAAAGCCTCGGTCGGAATGTCCGTCACTGAGAGTGGGATCATCAAAGTCTGCAAAGAACTGCAACCGGAAAAAACCGCCTCACCAATGTGCGTCACTGAATTTGGCATTGCCAAACTCTCCAACGAACTGCAGCCAAAAAAAGCGTGGTCGCCAATGTAAGTCACAGAATTTGGAATCGTCAAAGTTTTCAAGAGACTGCAGCCAGAAAAAGCAGCCTTGCCAATGTGCGTCACTGAGTTTGGAATCATTAACGTTTTCAAGGAACTGCAGCCGGAAAAAGCATAGTCCCCAATGTGAGTCACAGAACTCGGAATCATCAAAGTCTGCAAAGAACTGCAACCGGAAAAAGTAGAGTCACCAATGCCAGTCAGGGAATTTGGAATTGTCAAAGTCTTCAATGAGCCACAACCAGAAAAAGCAGCCTCACCAATGTGTGTCACTGTGCTTGGAATTGACAAGGTTTGCAAGGAACTGCAACCAGAAAAAGCTGAGTCCCCAATGCGAGCCACAGAACTTGGAATCGTCAAAGTCTTCAAGGAACCACAGCCGGAAAAAGCAGAGTCACCGATACGGATCACAGAATTGGAGATCGATAAGGTCTCCAACGAACTGCAATCGGAAAAAACTGAGTCCTGAATGTGAGTCGCAGAGTTCGGAATCGTTAAGTTCTTTATCAAACTGCAACCTGCAAAAGCAAACTGCCCAATAAAGGTGACAGAGTTTGGAATCGTCAGGGTCTTCAAGGCGCTGCAACCAGAAAAAGCGGAATTTCCAATGTGAGTCACGGACCTTGGAATCGTCAACCTCTTCAAGACATGGCAACCGAAGAATGCCGAGTTCCGAATGTGACAAATGGAGGTCGGAATCCTCAGTGTCCTCAAGGCACTGCAGCCAAAAAATGAGGAGTTTCCGATGTGAGTCACTGAACTTGGAATCTTCAATCTTTGCAAAGAACTGCAACCAGAAAAGGTGTGTTCTCCAATCTCAGTGACAGAGCTTGGAAGCAACAAGGCCTTCAACGAACTGCAGCCTGAAAAGGCAAACTGCCCGATGCTAGTCACAGACTTCGGGATTGTTAAGGTCACCAGCGAACTGCAACTGTGAAAAGCAAACCTTCCGATCTTCTTCACGGAGTTTGGAATCGTCAAGGTTTTCAAGGAACTACAGCTACGAAAAGCAGCCTCACCAATGTGAGTTACTGAGTTTGGAATTGTCAAAGTTTGCAGCGATCTGCAATTGGGAAAAGCGGAGTCCTCGATGTGAGTCACAGAGTCTGGTATTATGAGGGTCACACCCTTGCTTCCTGCCCCGAAGCGCTCTGGAATTTTCGTCCACCCAAGAGGAATGGGCGGAATGGGTGTGAAGCCCCGCCAGTAACCTCCACCCAAGGCATACCAAGCCACCAGCATTGTGCAGCTGTATAGGCGCCGCCGTCTGGCCATCATGGAACATATACATGCTGCACAAGGCTGCAGAAAACAACTCCAGCAAAAGCTGAGCCTTCAAAAAATGCAATGATTCAAGCACTTGAGTCGAAACAGCTGAGGTACCCATTGGTTACCCATGGGCACATTATGCACATTCACCACCTGGCAAAGATGTTGATCAACGAAGCACATGGTTCGCCGTATCTTGGTAGCAAAATGCCAAAATCATCACGTGATGTTTAAGTGCATCCATTGTGGCATTACAGTAGTGTTTAGTGCAGTTGAACTTTTCACATTTCCAGAGGCTTGACCTGAATAAACCCTACAGGATCCCTATGGGTCTTCAAGCGCGACCTTGTACCATTGCTAATTGATGTGCTAGTCTTGTTCAATTGATTATACCTCCCAAGAAGTCGATTCCAACCTCACAACTGGCAGGTGGTTTCAACCACCCTGAACATATAATATAGTCGGTTGGGATCATCCTCCCCAATAGGATTGCAGTTAAGAACTGTTTGAAACCACCAAGTGATTTCCCCCACTCCACTGCCTTCAGCTCTTGTTGCAACTGCATGTGATGCTCCAGTTGCATGTGTCGTTCATCGAGTTCTCGATGGAGTCGTCGGTAATCCTTGGCATCTGCCGGATCCATCCACCCTCTGCTGCTCAAACATTGCAATGGGTTGATTCCCATTTTGTCTGAAAATAGGGTATCCCAAAATTTAATGGTTGATCACAATTTTCAGTAATATATATTGTATATTATATATAACATATTAATTATCAAACTGGCAAAGTGGGGGCTTTCCTCAAACTGGACCTCCACCAAAATCTGGCCAAGGAACAACAAGGCCTTCGGCCTGTGTGCAACTGACCTATGCTATGCTGAGTGCCAACTTCTTGAGGTGAACGGTTCCATAAGGTGAATGGCTGATGGAACCAACCCAAGTGCATAACCTCTCAATTTCTGTGAAATGGGTTCAACAATGCAAACTTGTCCGCACCACTACTGCCTCAGCACTCTCGAAGGAATCGATTTCAGAGTTCACCTGGCAGGGTGTGTGCTGACTCTTCCTAAGAGATGCAAGTTGGCGTGCAATGTTGGTGAACAACAATATCAAAAGAAACAAAGGAGCCAAATCCCAAACCCCAGGCAACTCCAACAATCTGGTTTTATTCTTATGTTAGGCTATTTGGGAATGATTCACCCCTACCCACTATCATTCCAACCACCATTCCAACAAATGGAACCGTGGAGTGCAACCGAAAACTGCCTCTGAACGAAGGAAGCGTAGCTTCTCCAAGAACTCTTCTCCCTTTCTGTCGAAGTCTTGCAGATGCCTCCGGGAAGGCCATTGCGGCATGCCTTCCTTTTTTGGGATCTTGCGTCAAGGGATGTTTGATTAAAACAACGACCTTGAACATGGAATTTAGTCATCACAATCTCCTCGGAGTTTTCACCAAAACTGGAGTTTGGCAAAATTATACAGTCTCCATTGTCCGCATCAACGCAACAAAACTGCCACATCTTCTACTGTGACAGCATTCAAGCCACCTGCCGCGTGCGAGAACCCCTGGAGTCTCATTGAGGTGCACATCTTCTTTTCTTTTTGGGAATCAAATAAGGACAACATCCAATAAGAACATATAAGAACTCCCAGCTGGGGATGGTTTTCCTCGTTGGGTTTGCCTCACTACTCCCACCAGTTTTGCTGTCCGCAAAAAAAAGAAGATCTGTCCTGCAACAGCGACATAGTCCTGTACACCGACTGCTCCCGAGGCCAGGTTTACAGTAGTTTCCTGGATAAACAACTCTTTCATTCAAGGAACACCTATTACTCAACTGCCTTGTTGAATTCCTGATTTATGTCCGTTCATATGCCTTATACCCGACCAATCCCTATTCTTCCGAGATGGTTGACCAACAGTGCGGATCATCCAACAGAAGGCCACGAATGTCAAGTTTGTGAGCACGGTTCAAGCATTAATTAGTTCATCTCCTTTCGCCTAGTTGGCTCAGGCCTCGATTCCCGTTGGGGATTGCCATCAAGCAATCCCAATTCAATAAACAACATACTATAAATACTATACATAGGAGTCATAATTAGTATATATATATATATACAATTACTATCAATTACTACCCATACTTTGAAAACATCAACGGCCACGGCTTAAAGTAAGACGATTGGAACAACCACCTGAATAGTTTGTGGCAGTTGGTGGTCATGTACGTTCATTTCATACCCATTCTTTGTGAATTATATTCCTATGTTTGTCATGAAATCCCCGAACAATCATTATTTTGCGGGTCTATCCCTGAAAGTAACTCCTCATTTCCTTGGTTCGTTTCAGCCAATTTTCCTGGAAAAAAAAACGACTTTCATTTTTCTTGGTGTCACACTATTCCTAGTGAACATGACGCTGTCATTGAGATTTACGAGGATGTTCCACCATGTTCCAACAATCTGAAAATGGCTTTGTCTGAAAATAGGGCACCCTATTAATGTCAATGATCAAATCATGTGACCATTCATTTTCCCTAAATGATCATAAAATGGCCGTTTAAGGCTGATATATATATACACACACCATATGTTCAGCACCCAAATCCCACCATGGGGGATCCATGGGGATCATGCCGGGCCCACCTTTCCACCACGTCCATCTCAGCAGCGCGACGCTCGCGGCCGCTGTGGATCAGGTCTTTAGCGCGACCTGAGATCCGGACACGTGGACGACCTTCAGTGAGCGACCCACAACAAAATAAGTACACGATAGATTAAACTATGTAAGTAGTACAGTGTCACCTTTGCACACTTTTTTAAATAGGGGTTTTATTAAGCTACTGTTGGCAAAGCAATAATATGAACCACCATGAACCACCCATATCCCGGATGGTGCACACCATTCATCACAGTAAAATGGTGATTTGGGGGATGGTTTAGTATTGCTTTACTAACATTAGCTTAATTCATCACTATCTTACCCATTTTTTTTTAGACTTAGTGTACCTTGCACCTTGCTTAAAATTGCTACACATGGTTTTGCACTTGTCATACCACCAATAGCAAAGGATGTTTCGATATGAGGAATCAAACCATGCAAGAATTAACCACCACAAATTCAGGCAACCTGGCGCATACCAAAAAACTAATGTGGCGGCCTGTTGCTGTTGGCCAAGGTTCTCATGACTTGGGAGTGTGCATCTTTGCGGTTTGCTGGGACCTGGCATGCCAAACAGAAACCAGGCACGCTTCGTTTCCCTCAACTTGCAGTACAACCATCAACAGACTCTGCAATGGTAATGGAAAACAAACAAATGATTAATCTGTATAGGAAACCTTCCAAAAGTGCCAACATGTTTCACTTCCAACACATTGAAAGAAAAAAAAATAACATTGTTATTTCCAGCTAGCCCAGCCTCACGCAGCTTATCTAGACCTGAGCGATTCAGCTATGGGATCGCCACTGTGTCGCAGCTCTTCCCATGTTTGACTTTCCCCAATGGGGATGGCAAACCCAATGCCATAAACCTACCATTTGTGGGGATGGTTTATACATACCATACCACTCATTGATGGTCATATTGGGGATGGTTTATTGTTGGATTTACATGGATTTACCATATTATAGCAAAACATGCCAATCAAACATGGCTTTTGAACCATGCCCATGCTTGATTACCAAAAAACACGTTGATGTTTTAATCAGCATGTAGCATGTTCCAATTTTGTCCATGGTTCTGCCATATTTAAATCCATGTCCCACTGTTCCTAATCTCCCTGCTTAAACCCTGTCTATTCCAATTTGTTCCATGGTTAAATCACAATTTGGCCATTCTTAAGTCCCGAATGTTTTCCCATTTTTCCATGGTCAAATCATGTTCAATCCCAAATTTGTCAATTGTTTTTTGCCGATACTTATATAATTACAAAATTCCATTTAAATCCATGTAAAACCCTATTTTTTCATATTTTTTCTGGTTATGTCCACCATTTTTCAGCCCTAAAAACCACTCTGACGCCACTCGCGCTGAGCAACTTGGTGGCGATGAAACGCTGGGCCTCCTCTCCCTTGGTGGGATCGAGGCCGTCAAGCCCTGGGCGACCAACAGGCGATTGGCGATTTTTCATGGCAAGTTTCGACAGATTTGTTGGACCTGAAAATGGGTATATCATGGTATATCATGGTATATCCATGGTAGGTATATCCATGGTATATCATGGTATATCTCCATTGAAATGAAAACATCAACATTGCACCACAAAAACGGTATGAATGTAGATTTTCAATGTGGCAAATTTCGAGACTTTATAACATCTAATCAGGAATAAGACATATTCCGATCCATCAAACTTTGAGATCTGGAAGAAATTTACGTCACTAGAGCCACAAAGGGTTGGTCATCTTTAGGATAAACATGACTGATTCGTGCTCACATCCTGCACAGGATACGACTCATGAATGAGTAAGCCTAACAGTAAAACTGCAAAACTGAAGTTGGAAGACATTCAGCATAACAGCCGATAAATCATCGAGTGAAAAAAGCTAGCCAAAAATAGCACATTACCCATCATTACCCTATAGCTGATGATGACTTCTTGAGAGGTTAACACACACAGATCTCCATAAAGATCTGCATTTCACCTTCGCCGCAGCGGCCATCTCCAGAGATTCAATCCTCCGGTCCTGTCGTTTGGAAAAGGCCAACCAATAACGGAACGTTTGTCCCGAAGAGTTCACAGCAGGAACCCCCCCAAAACCAGAAAATATATTGTTGGTAGTTTTGCACAATATGAATCAATGAGATATTTGGATTGGATATGGGCATATATATAATATGCATATATGTGTGTATATATGCTAAGAGCCCTCTGCAAGTCGTTTGCCATGTTGAAGGTCTAGAAGACCAAGCCCTGTCCTTTGCGTCTAGTAGCCGCTGCATGCTGGACAGCTGCTCCTGCAGGGCATGACTTTCACCAGGCGGATCTGGTTCTCAAACTGACCATTTCCAGGCCTCCAGGATCTGTTCTCTGCCTGATCTTCCCTGGCACATAGCAAGAGAATAGGAATTGTGGAACACCCTGTTCAACAAGTGATTTTTGAAAATGTTACACAAATTTGTTGAGTTCATTTCGAGATCTTCGATGTGAATATGACATGCAGTGGTTCAAATGGTGCCATCATGATGCAAAGCAGTCCGCACCTTCGAAAGATGCTCCTTCAGAGCGATTTCTCGTTCCAGCTGCTCCTGCTTGACATACTTTTTCCAGGTACATCAGACTCATTTCAATGGCCATTTCAGGAACCTAAATTGGAGGTACCTACCATATATAAGGCCTATGTAAGGGAATATCCCATATGGATCATTTAACAATACCATGGATCCTCCTGGTATGTCTTATGCGTCTCATGTCCACGTTTTTCTTTTTTCGCAGCTCCTGCTCCAGTTCGGCCGCCACCCATGGAGGAATGCGACTCCAGCAGTCTCTTTCCTTGGCATGTTGGACTTTCAATGGTATAGCCTTAGCCTTTGCCCAAATCTGAGGCACTTGCTACATCTACATCTATATCATTCTATATTTATCTATCTGATCTCATCTAATCAAATCAAATGTTCTACTTATTGAAGACATCAAGGGAACACTTGTTTTTGTCGATGTCGTTTGGGATCTAATGGGACCATCCCAATCTATCCAGGCCGCCGCCGGCTGCAAGTCATCCATGGGATGTCCATCCGTCACCACTGCCTGCTGGGAGAATGATATGGTAAACATTGGTAAACATTGGTGAAGCAAGAAACCCGCCAATAAATACACTAACGGCCAGTATGGGATTCTTTTCTGTTTCCTTTTTTATATCTTCAATCTGATCCCTTTCTGGTAAATTTGGGGATCTGAAAAAGGGCCTTGCGGTTGTCACGTTGACCTTTTCGACCTGGTTTGAGCTGTTTCCAAAATGATCCGCAAGTCGATTGAAGCCAAACAATGACACAGCTGTCATGGATTGATTCATCACAATTTCGTTTAACCGTTGAACCATTGTTCACCCAACTTCATTAAGTGTGTGGCGCCCAACCATTCAGCACAACATCCTTGGGTGTGTTGCAATTCGGCCTTGTAGGCGTCCCGAAAGCATTGCAACCGTTGGTGAAACTCCTCCACCTTCATCCTGGGAACAGGTCGGGCGCAAGCTTTTCTTCACAGCATGGGACGTATAGGACAGAATTGCACAGAAGAGGAACAGCAGATTGATTTGTGGTTTTGACTCCTAACGTATAAAGTCAAGTGGCGATAAACTTTGCAAGTAGGGATGGAAAAGTATAGAGAATCGACTTGAAACATGTGGTTCAAAACCTTCAGCAAACCCTGATTTTGTCAAACAGTGATGTTTGTTGAGGCTGAGCCAAGGCACACCAAGCTTGTCTGGTCCGACCAGAGCTGCACATTCTGCATGCTGATGTTCACAAAGTGATGCAGTAAAGACCTGGACCAGAAAATGGTGGAGTTGTGGCCCGCCATGGCCCACCCTCACTGGAGGCATGTCTGACATCTGGGGTGCAGCTGGCATATGCTGGCATGCCCATGGTACAACCTGGAACCAAACTCATAAAGTCATGTCATTCCTGAGGCAGCTCCGCATGACAACTTATGGTTCATCACCAACAAGTGAACCTTTGGGGAGCTCAGCTCATTGGCATGTCAAATATCAAAGTCTGTTTTCCGACGTAACCTGGAGCGTCGCCCTTGTCCATCTTACTTTGATTAGATAGATAATTATGTTCAATAGACCCAAGCCAATGAAGTAACCAAATTAACCAGCCTCATTTCTGAATATCATTTCTGGGTTCCATCCAGATGTTTGTCGCATCAATTCTCACTCACTTTTCACCTGATCAATTCTGCAACTAATTTAATTTTGCCAAAATCAAATAATTTTGGATTGGTATCTACATGTACGTGCATGACTCCCGATTGCCGTCGCTAAAACTCCAATGTTGGGCAATGCGTTAAGCAACATAATTTCAAGTTTTGGAGGTTTATATTGCCGTAATGGGATACTATGTTTTGCACTTGGTTTGTAAAGGCCACAAAACATGAGCAGTTGGATCTCAGAACGCCGGTTTCTCAGCCAAAACCTCTCTCTCTCTCTCTGGAAATGATTCTCCCTGGAAAATTGAAGTAGGCAATGTTTGCAATGATTCTCCTTGTTAAGGCAGCAGTCGTAGTGAAGTAGCTTGCGAGGTCGTTCAAAGTTTCCCGATTATTCCCTGATGTTCTTCAAGAGCATTTATTGCAGGATACCCCTGCTCATATAGTTGAAAATAAAATCCATAATATTAATTGCCTGTAAATTATCCCTTACGAGTATTTATTATTAATCATCAGCCATTAATCACTAATTGGAGAGTAGTTTTCTTGTCCAGCAAAAAAACAATCCATCACCATTTAATTAAACTGATTGCAATGGATTGTCATGTGTTCAAAAACGAATCAGTGAATTCAATGCATTGAGCTATGCCCAGCCACCAACGGTACCCTCAATGCCCCGCGTTGCCGCCACAGGGGACACTGGTCGTTTGATGACGCGTTCGCGCACGATGGAGCGCCAGCGTGCCGCACCACGCTCTAAGCGACGCAGCCGGACCACAGGCTCCTGGGTGAAGCCATTGGTGAAGCCATTGGTAAAGCATGGTAAAGCCATTGGTAAAGCCCCAGAAAAAGGCTAAAATAATGATGAATCACTTTTCCATCCTTTTGGGGGGTTAGTTATAATGTCAATCCAATCGAATCGGGTCAATCCGCGGATTATTGAAGGGTAATGATGGGTGCAAGAAAAGAGGGCTCAACGCTGTACGGGCTGCAACTAGGAACGCAATGATATTTGATGCATTGGGGATGCGACCAGTGGATTTGATGAACAAATACCATCATATTCATATACCCTCATATTCATATCTAATTATATTCTAATATATAATCAAAACAAATCTTGTAGAAATATATACATATCATATACGTATAATTTGGCATCACTATTACTACTATCATTGTTACCATTATCACTGATCGATAATATTAATATTGTTATTGCCAGTGATTCTATAGTTATATAATTATATACTATGCAAAGATGCATATTAATGCGTGCCGAAATTTCTATACACATATGCAAATACCACTCTCTACTGCATATGCTTCCAAGGCACAAGGGTATCATCCTCCTGACCGAAAATATCCTCAATGTCACATGGTGGCTGGTGGTTTCAACGCCCCAAGGGGTTGGAATCTCAGAGGGGGGCTGGGTTGGAATCATCCCATTTGTCGGGATGGAACTCCCGCAGTGACATGTTTGAACCACCACAACAAGATTGCTGTGTTTATGCCACCATGTTGCTGCTGCCCCAAGGAGTGAAAGAAAGGTTACCTTTTTCTCTTCAGGTAAAACCTAAAAATCATGTCCAGGAATCCACTCAGAAAATCATTAAATCTGGGATGGGCACATCTCAATGACCCTGCTGCCCAGAGGCTGTCAGCACTTCAGCGCTGAATCTTAAACGCTCCAAAGGGCACATGGTGGCTGCCATCTGATTGGCCTCATCCCAGGCCATGACATGGCAAAAGACACACCCAGACACTCAAAAGTCAGTGTGTTCTTTTGATAGCCCCTTCTCAAAGTCATATGAAAGAGGAAGCGTTCCCATGGTTGAACATCTAGCGGACCAGGAGACAAAACTTGTAGGACTCAGGAGGTGCCATGAAGGACACAGAGAAAAACTGTCGCTCATCTACCCTTCTGGCCTCATCCACGAATCTGCAGACCTGTGCAAGTAAACACCACCCTGACGCATTAAGAACCCATGTGCAGGCTAAAAATGGTTCAATAAACAAGCCAAAAATTCGGACATATTCGGACACATGCGCACATGTTCAATAAGCGTGGTCGTCTCTGGCAAATACAAATACCAAATACCATCTGTGCCAATTTTCCGGCACCATGTTGGTTCTAACGCATCACATTGATGTTGTTCTATTGAATTATTCGGAGCAACATCCGTTGGGATGCCAACAGAAGATGTCTAAAAATTGATTGAAACATGTTGACACCATCAACCAGCATCCTTTTGCGTTTGCCCTTCCCGACCGCCATCCTTTTTCCGCTGCCTTCTTGAAAATTATGCGAAACCTGAGATTTTCACTGCGTGGCCCGAGGCGCGGGATCAAACCTGGTAACTTCGCTACAAGCTGATTTGGATTCCAATATATTCCATAGCTAGAGCAAAGGAACTAAGCAACTTGAAAAGACTGGGCCCAAAGCATGCAGGAGCTGTGGCAGGAAAGGTGGTCTTTATCGGATTGGCGTGTCAGCTTGTCCCAGAAAATTCTGGGCACCGATCTCTGACTGGATGGCTGTCCCCAAAAATGCCCAATAATAGGCCTCCAATTGGGGTGGTTTATGATGTTTATGGCATAGAGATGCATTGGGTATATCACATGATATTCAGTTGTCCCCGACCTTGGTCTGCTTCAGTTTCCTGACCTGTATCCCTCTTTTTCTACCAGCCAAAGCTCTGCTGAGCACGGATCTCTCCAATCCGACTCTGGAAGTTTCTGAAGAGTAGCAAGACACGCCTCATCGAACCAGGGCAAGGGCTTACCTAAATCCATCACAAGAATTCGTGGGGAAATAGGGGTAATTATGGATAATCCCGAAAAGGGCAGAAAATTAACCCTGTAAGAATCAATTGTATGTGATATGTTTGAAACTGCCAGCCAGGAGTCACCGACCATACTCAGAAATGTTCACTTTGGATGCACTCCCCTTGAGCAGCTCCCTTGATTACTGGTGTACATAAGCGGCAACAGGATGTGATATTGAAGGTTCGAGGCACTGATAGTTCGGGTCGTCCTTCATTTCCACTTCGTCCAAGGCTGTCCTTAAAAGAAACTCGTTTAGCTACCACTTCGATGTTTCAAAGCACCCAAAAACGTAGTGCTGTGCTCACAGTGGGCCGCTATAGGACGGATATGAAGCATCAACTAAATCAAGAGACAAGTCTTCGACACGTCAATCAGTCCTGATTACTCTATCAACCGAGTTTCGAGGTAGGCCACACAATTGTGTCACATGAAACACTACGGTCCTGTACTTCAAGGCCATTCTGTTTTTGAGATGGTGTGAAAAGCCAGGTAAACACATGCAAAAACGCATACAGTGCTACTTCTTGATATGCTTCAAAATCAAGCAAACTACACATGGACTGTGAATACGTGCATGTACAGGCCCTCCCTTGGAAAACAACCACTTATGTTCATGATGTCACACAAGCAATGATTATATATATAATATTGTTATATATATTATAATTATATATATAGTGTGTGTGTGGATTACATATTTGCAAATTAATTATCATGCACATACTTGAGGTTGTGATACGAAATACATCCATCTTGCAGTTCAGCCGAAATTCTCCAAGGGCACATCATCCGCCATGTTGCTCTCACTGGGGATCACCAAACCTTTGTCCAAGGCCCCCAGAACTTCAATCTTTCACCCACCATGTGCCCGAGTGATCTGGCTTTAGATCTGGGTGTAATTTGGATACAGCTTGGGTGGGTAGCTGGGTAATTTTTGTACCGCTATGCAGCGCTCAAACTCGGAGGAAGATTTTCAGAATGTCCCCACCATGACGATGGATGACTCTAGCTGCCAAGCAGCGGAAACAAAAGGCATGCCCTGCGATGATGCGGTCGTTGTGACACAGCACTGCCTGAGGTCAATGACCGAACACCCCGGAGGGAAAACACAAAGCTCAGCCAAATGCACGTTGCACCCTGGAGTTGAATAAACATATCAGCTATAACATGATTTTAAACAAACGTTGGTCCATCAAGCAGGACAGGCACAAATGCTGGATGACCTTCATCTGGACGATTGTCATGCGTTATCCTGCTGTATATCAACTGCATCATGTCCGCATTCTTCATGTCATCCAAAACCATAATAATATATATATATACATATGATATGATATGATATGATGTGATGTGATATGATATGATATGATATGGCCCTGAAACGGGAAAATATGTATATTTTTGTATATGTATGTGTGTGTGTGTCTTCATAGGCAACCCCATCTATACACATCCTCCAGCTACCAACCATGACTCCCTAATGGAATCATCAGCAGGCCTTGGCCACAGATGTTGTATCCTTAGATTCATCCCCTACGAGGCGACCATTGAGTAGGACGCGGCCAGATTTGTAGTGAAGAACCACCTGACCTAAGCGCCACAAGGTGCTCTACCACGTTTAAAGAAACAAAAAAGAACCAGCAAAAAGATTAACAAAAATGGTGGAAACCAAGAATCATACCACATATCAAATTTCATCAGGCATTTATGCCAACACCTAACCCACCAACAAAATCCAATCTCAGCCAACATTAAGAAACACCGACCAAAGGGCATGTTTGTTGAGCCAAATTTTGAAGAGGGAACGCATCCATTTCCCACAACCCATAATTATTCCTGAAGTGAGGGTCAGCAGTGGAGCCTCCATCAGTGGGATATTTCACGGTGCTCAGGTCAGTTAGTAGCCATCCATATACTTGCAGCACAATTTTGGAGATCATCCCAATACCTAAATCGGTGGAAATGGAATGAAATGGACAAAATCCAGTCTTTTTTGGAGCAATTCGATTATTGTTTGTTCAGATGTGTTTATATATTTTATATAAACTGTCTATCTGATCTACTTTTTCACCTTTCTTAGAGCAAGCTTTAGCCTCGTAGTGCATCAGCTGTAGCTTTTGCACAGGTTTCCCATCCAGCTGAGGCGCAATTGTCAACGTTGTGAATCTCCAGCATGTGTGGCAACATGCCCAAGCCCTTCAAAGAGATGGTGTTGCTTCGATCCTGGGTTTCTCCGTTCACATCGAATCGTGCAGAACCCAGCTCAACAAATGTGCCATGCACATATTTTTTGACAAGATTCGCTCCCCATAGTGCAGGGCACCTTAGCTGAATGAAATGAATGGGGGAAGCAGCGACCGTCATGTTTGGCCTAGGGACAATTGCAATGCTACGAGTAAGTATGATCCAGTTGCTCAGTTGCAAAACCCATATGTAAAGACGAAGAGCTCCCAACGACATGATTGTTGGACTGTGTTGCAATACTTGCCCAATCAATCTATCCCAATCTTATGATTTGCAACTGACACCATCGAAGAAACACAATGCATTCTCAGGCACGCCCCTCCTGAGGAAGTATATCAAGCAACCATTGAGCTCAGGGTCATAGCAAACCTGCACGATTGGTGCACTAATTCACAGCTGCGAAGAAAAACACATCACATGCCCGTCTTGGCAGCATAAAGAAGGTGTTGTAACACTTGAAAGGTCCCACTTATCCACCTCTTCATGCTCTATATATCTGCAAGGCAAACACCAAAAAAAATACTAGCCACCAACTTTTCTAGCATAGATCATGGATCAAACAAGTAAAACATCAAATTTGAATGGTTGAGTTGAGCACCATAAATGACATCAAATGAACAGCGATTTCTGGTTGGAGTGGCTCTTCGACATTCTTTGTCACACCATTTCGCCGGCCATATAGGATCATATGTCGCTCCAATAAAGGCCCCCTACAAACTCCATCTAGGGGAGTATGAATTATATACTTTTAAGGGAAGGAAGGAATAACAAAAACCTGACCAAATAGATAAAGATAATAAAGTATAGGTCACTCAGTTTTCGGTCAAGTTTCATTCAGCAAATGCGGCGTATGATCTTCCAAGCCAACGCTCTTGGACATCTCCTCGCCAATGAGCCAACCATCACCAACCAAGGAATAGCAAAAACCAATTATGCAACAAACAACGGCATAACTGATATAATCGATATAATTGACATTAATTGGACAATTAATTTTAATAATAGCTAATTGTGCCTTTGAATCAATGGTGATGGATGCATCCGTTGATCATCATTGGTTCCAACATGTTCAACCGCTCCAGCGAGGTAAGGCCGGCGTCGGCCAACAGCATCTCTCGTTGCTTTTGCAATTCGTTGGCCAATTTCCTCAGTGACACCAGCAATCACCAGCAGGGCTGCATAATTGATCGTAGAATCACTTTGTAAGTTGAATATATATATATATATTGTGTAAAATGTTGCAAATATATTACATGGGATATAGTTGATATATATATATATGTTGATATTACTGGCATGTCCCTAGGATACACTTGGGATGTAATGTATGCAGCGAATCGCCTCGCATGCAAACATCATCCAACCATTGGGGAAAACATTGGAAGTGCCGCCCAGCCGCAGCTGCTCCTGAAAGTTCCGGCCGTACTTCCTGCAACGAAGTCGAAACCGGATCTTCCAAATAGTTCTATAGGCAATGGATATCCGTCCCCCAACCGCCGCAAAAAAGAAAGGAAACAATATACCTACATATCCACACACACACACACACGTATTTATGTATAATATATATATATATTACATTTTTATTGGTTGTTATTATTATTGTTATGATTATTGTCACTATTGTTATTGTTTTCATTACTATTCTCTATGTATATATATATATAACATTATATAACTATATACGCCTTTAGTGAAAATATGTGAAAACCCATGCACACAACGAACAACGATTGACTCAACAAGTTTCAGCGACTTGCAAGAAATGAACCAATGGATCCCAGGCAAATGGAAAGCAACCTAGTAAGGCGCCTCTGCATCTCCTCTAAGGCTGCAAGCTCTTGAATTTGGCTCTGGCCTGTGACAGGTTTTTTTTGTCTACGGCTATGGCGGCTATGAGCTGGGCAGCTGGGGATTCATTGGTGGTTTCTTGGGCCAGTTATGGCTGCCGATCCAACAAGTTTGTTTCTGTTGTCAAAAAGATATGCTTTAAACATCTTTAAACATTGTACATTAAATGATCACCTCCAAACCCATCCAAACCCAATAGACTGATGTAAACTGCACGTGAGACACCTACGGACACCTCCAGCGGACGGCGACACTACACATTTCTGGTTGCAAGGCTTACCGGACGTAATTTCTTCACAAATAAAAAACATCGACATGTGATTTTAAAGTTTTCAATCGTGGATCCCCCCCAATCTTCATCAATCCTGAACCAAAAACAAAACCTGCGATAACCTGCCTGCGCCAGTCTCCACCATCTGCCGCAGTCGAGCACATTCAGCCTCCAACTCTTGCATCACATGATCCTCGTGGCACGGTGGCTGTTGACCCATTGCCGTGTAAGGGGTGAGCATTGCAAACTGTGAAATATATGTGAAATAATATGAAATAATTATTATGAAATGCTTAGTCAAATTTCATTGAAATTCCACTTGATGGGTCATGATGAGTCATAGACCCAAAAGCACCTCTTGATTCAGATTCTTCTTGGCATTCGTTTTCACAGCCTGCCAAACTCGCCAGGGCACTCCGAGGACACCAACATTTGACTTACACACTCACAGACTGACAGGTCCATGTGCAGTGTCACAGTGTGAAACCATATCGTGGTATTAAGTCGTGGACATGCATTAGATTAGAGTAGCTGCTATACACAATGATCTTTCCACATAGACCGCTCTTGGGCTGGACTGAGGACGCATCAAACATCCTGCCTTCACATGCTGAGCAAACCTGGGATCGCTGCTGGGCAAACAGGTGCATATATTGGCACCAATTACACAATCAAGTTGCTGACACAGAGCCCTCGCATTTCAATATCTCCGCCTCTTCACCAACATAATCAAAATTACAGAATATAATTGATATATTATAATCAATTGGCACATGTGAAAAATACCTGAAATACACCGACTTTCAGAGTGAAGTCGTTTGAGGCTATGGAACCACCACGCGCAGGCCGCCCAGGGCGGCCGTTTGGGGTATCGAAACCGAGTGACTGCAAGGTACTTGTGGTCTCATCATGGTCAGAACCAGCTGGAGATAGGGCTGCAATCATGGCCTCGGAAGGTGAATCTCTGCCAAGTCCTTGCATAATGCGATGTCCGATAATTACCAAAAACAACACGCCCAACCAAATCAGAAATATAACTTACCTGAAACTGATTATTTTTCAAGAAACCCAACAAGAATCCAGGTCACAAAATCGCTGGATCAAGACGCCAACAGCTCGGTATGCCCATCCATCAGCTCGGATCCCTGCAGTCTTTGAGTTGCCCCTCAACGAGTCCTCCAACCTTGGACGGAAAACCACAAATTCGGAGACCCCTCAGAAAACCTGTCGGATAGTTGTTATATGAACTGCTACATAGCACCCCCCAAATAGATAGAACAGTTAAAGACTTGTTTTTTTTTGGGAGACATCATCTATAACATCCTGGAACAACGTTTCAATCTTTTTGGGGGACCCCTACGTGAGCTATATGAAGTCTCACGCAAAGTCTGTTCTGTACGAGTACCCCGGAAGCCCCGAGAATGAGTGCTATGGAATGAGGATTCCCAGTAGGAAGAAACTCCCCTATAGACTATAGACTTAGCTGTTTGCTCTAGCACGATCCTCTGTTGAGAAGTTGTCACCGGATATGGCTTGAATATAACCCCTAAACTGGCACCTGCCACACACCACATGGAGCAAAACACCTGACCTGCCACAACAAAAAGTGGATATTGCAACAACAACAACAACAACAACAACAAGAAGTGGATACTGCCAAGGCCAAAGGTGTGCTGCCACAAAAAAATGGATACTGCCACAACAAAAAGTGGATACTGCCACGGCCAAAGGTGTGAGTTGCCACAACCAACTGAGAAAGAGTTCAGCATGGCAGTATAGGGCCTAGTAGTACTATAGACCCATTTTTGAGGATTCCATGCCAGTGTTCCAGGGTACAACCTGGCTTGGCAAAAGTGGAAAGAATATCAGTGCTAGTCTGCAATCTGCTCTGCCCAAGCACAAATGCTTCACATATGTAAAAATGTCACATATACACACATATATATAATTATATACATATTATATATATATATTGATATATGTCAATCTATCTCTGTATAATATATATATATATATAATTGAATTATATATACATATATATATATATATATATATGTAAGCAAGCGTCCTAGAAAAAGGGCGCACACACACACACACTATGTTCATCTATTTGTTTTGGAAAGATACGACCATCTGCCACCAACCCATGGCAGCAGGAAACAACTATACTAACAAAAAACAGAATCTCAAAGCACAGGACATCACAGTGAAATGGTCCATTCATGCCATGATACTGGTTCCATCTGGTTGTATTCCATCTCAAAGCCACAATTCAAACCTACCCTCAACGAGGTGGCCAAGAGGCAGGAACGTCAGCTTGGAACTCCTGTCCGACAGTATCCGACAGTGGAAAAAACGAAGAACATGGCGAACATGGTCGGACTCGTTTATTGAAAACACAATTCAGCATATGCTAAAGGAATAAGTACAAATAGACGCATAATAATAAGAAGAAGAATAAAAATATGTATAATATGTACATCATCTAATATAATTACATATTATACTATGTAGTGTGCCCTGTGATATTCCCACAATTTATGGCTGAACATTAGAGTACCTCATTTGACGAGCCAAATTTTGCCTGCTACTACTGCACAATCTGTGCACAACCCATCTGCTACGGCGCAGTAATTGCTGCACATTGAACTTTGCAAAGCGCTCCATTGAAGGGATTGTTTTTCTTCTGCAACAAGTATTTTTGGTATTGGCTAAGAAGTAACATTGAAACATGAATCACCCAAGTTACTAAGTTCCAATGAAACAGTATAATGCTACCACAAAGCCGCATGCACATACAATAACAGTCAGACAATCTTGTAGTCTTTGACATCACTTAAGCCATGGCCATAGTTTTTCGGCAAGAACCCCAGTTTCATATGTACCTCATCTTTCAACCTACGGTACCGAAATGATGGTGCCTTCTTCCGAAAGCAACGACAATATCAACCCCCCGTCTCATCTTTTCTCAACATCCTGCGGCGCACGCAGTGATAGAATCACAAGCTATCTTCAGAACAAATGAAAGTCAGCCTGTACAAAGCCATCGACATATATCGCAATAAGCCGCTGACTACTACGTTGCTGCCTTTGCCGCACCGTGCTGAGCCACATACTCACCCACCGTCATCACCTTGCGAGTCGCCCCCACAAAACTCAACGGACATGAGCTCTTGATCAAGCCTTTACACTCCGAGATTGGGTGCTGAATCCTGAGGAATCCTGAATGGAATGCCACAGCCTAACCTCCAAAGGACCAATTGGGACATAGAAAAAACAATGATGAAACATGTTGAAACATGTTGCCATACCTCCCAAGGCTCTCACCCAAACTTTCCACAACATTGACAACATGCCCGCAAACCCGTACCCTGCAGAACTTGTGTATTGCAGATCGATCTTCCTTGACCCTTAAAGAACCAGTACGAGTACCGCACAAATTCCACCCCCGCACCCAAACGGTCAATTTCTGAGGATCAATGATGATCAATGGCTCCATGTGGCTCAAACCCCAGGTGCCTTGTCAGGCAAATAATTGAAGTAATCAGCCAGGCAATCCTCCAGCTCCTCAAAGGCTTGCTGCAGTGCAGCCGCTTTCTTTTCCTCCACCTGCTGCTGCATCACCTAGGCACCCTGGAGGAATGATGATCCCTGGCTTGTTGGTATGTGCGGCGTTAAGAATCTTAAATATTGCTTGACCATGATTAAACTATATATATATATATACATACGTAAATGTATAATATAATATATATAATACATATATATATATATATGTATATTACAATATGATTGTCACTTTTTTGAGGGGATGGTGTCACTCGAAATTGATCTACCAGGGCTTAGGGCTTAGGCGCCCTTGCAAAGACCATGCTGCCGCAGAAAGTGATGTGATGGCTGGAAGTGGAACATGAGGGTCCCGTTGCTCATAAGCCATAGGTACGTATAGAGAATGCAAAGAATGTTACTCGACAGCTGATAGATAGTATTGAAATTGTTAGTTATGTTAATTATATATACTCTATGACATGGAATTACCTGAGTTGACGACACAGTCTTGAACTCTGGAGCATGAGGGTTTCAGAAGGCTAGAAGCGCACCCTTTAGCAGGTTCATTTACTATACATTTTCTGAATACCGTTACTCCCAAACAAAAGCAGCGAGCTGCTTGGTCACATCTCCAAATCTCTTGCCGAAAGACTGAGCTCAGTTCCTGCAGCACGGCCTTGAACCATTCATTCGCTGGCCGTTCATCCTTGTCGGCCTTGACACCACAAGAGGTGCGGAGTTCCTCCATCTGTGCCAGCGGCATCAGTTTCACCTCACCGTCATGCTCGCCGTCTTCGGACCAGTGGTATGGAGCTGGAGGCCAAATCAACTGGTCCTCCACCTCCCCGTCGCAGTAGCTCAGCTTGTAGGCATTGTAAGATGCTTCCTGGGCGAGGAAATGGATCAATGGTGCAAGAGGTGCGAAAAAAGGGGTTTGCAAATAGAGTAGGCACAAAAAAACACTTTACAGATTTTCATCAAGCAAGTTTCTGCATTGATGATCTCAGAATTGCGAATCTGAAACAAGACTGGCCGATTGCCGAGTCGTGCAAACAGCCTGACAAGGCTGAACAAAACATGACGGATGGACATGGATAGTGGGCCCAACCCAACTTCTTTGCTGACCTCTTAATCTAGTACATATCCTTGAGGTTCTCAGCCACCATCCAAACCCCCAGGGATCTTAAATAATATAAACATTCCATCTTAGGCTGCCCAAAATTTTATGGTTGATCATCATCTTGCCCAACAAATTGCCATATACCTTGGGGAGGAAATCTCCGCATTTGTAGTCCGAACCCGGTTTGATAGCTTAAATCCCAATTTCTAATCCATAGTTTTTGACCATCTGAATTTTGAATCCATTTGATACCATTAATTTCACCTCTTGAATCTCTTAAATCTCTAGCCATCTCTAGCCTTTTCATCCTTTTTCCCTAGCCTGGCATAGGTGAACAACACCGGTGAGTGGAGCGCTTGCCCATGACCGGTGCTGAACTCGCAGCGCGTCCAGGTCAGGTCTTTGTCGCCACTGGGCTTCTCAGGCAGCGCAGCTTTCATGCGACCGACGCAGCCCGCCTGGAGCTTCTCCAAACGATCCGAGACCTACCAGGATCTGATGGTTTCAAGCCACACCAATATATGGGTCAATATATGGTCATTTCTTTGGGGGGTCAAGTAGGATCATCATCTATTATCATCCCATATGATTTGGATTTATTTGGGCCACGATGTATTTGATCATATTATATATATATATTAAAAACAAATCACAATTAGATGGTCCAATAGTCAGCAATAAGCGGTATAGAAACCCCTTACTGACCGGTTGACCGGCCCCCCATGATGCCTGCGGACACCCTTTCCGAGGTGGTGGGGCTATGGGCCATGGGGAAATGTAGATGCTGGGATTATTGTTGATCAACCACTTTTTTTTGCAAGTTGAGGATTATCTTATGTTATATAATATAAAGATAAATATTCATATATGCATATATATATATGAATATATTTATTTATGTGCTTGCGAATAAGGGATGCAAACATGTTAGCTTTCTTTCCCAACCCCTTGGAACAATGCGCTGCGGCGCTGCGGAAAGTTTTAAAGCCAAAGTAACCAAAGTCAAAGTTTCGAAACCAAGGCGTTGATAAACGTGAAAGTAACAAAAGCATACAAAAGCAATGTCTGATTTGGCATTCGTGGGACTGCAGCAGGCCAATATCTGCACACCCATTTCGCTCCATGACCCAAAGAAAATCAAAGAAAGCTAAATTTTCCCCATCTTAAGCCGCTCCACAGCCCCATGATGCCCCATGTATCTCACTGGTTTCAATCCAAGTCACCAGTTTCAACTCTTCTGGGCTCAAGTTGGAAAAGAGCTCATCATCTGCTGCTTCCACCAGTTGCATCAGCAGCTTTGCTCGCTTCGGGGGGCTCTCCTGCGCTGCCAAGGAGGAAGCCGCCGCAGGTGCGGCCGGCCCTTCGCGCTTCACGGCGCGGGAGCGGGAGGGATCCTCCGAGCGGTATTGAATCCTTGGACCAACACAGGGGGAAGGTATAGCAGAAAAGCTTGGAAGAAAACACTCTACAAGTACTTGAAGAAACCTGGAACCTCTGGGGACATCATCACCCTATTCAATCCCTATTCAGAAAGCAACCAGAAGAGAAATAGAAATTAGATGAAATTAGAAAGGGAAAAAGGAACCAAAAGATCTTACTGCAACAAGCTGGTTGGGGGTCTCAACCCCGCAATCTGGAAGAGTCAATGATGAAAATGAGTGCTGAACAATGAGCCTTCACATGGCATTTGGATGCATTTGGCACTGTGAAGAGAAATCAATCATGCCAGAACAACGGCACACTTCCCGTAGTCCCCATCCTAGAAATCTGCGTCAATTGGGGTCCCAATTTTTGATGGGAGGATTGCAAAAAAACTCAATGTCCCCTGAAATCAAACCTGACAAGAGACACCTCCTGCACCATGATGAATGACTTTCTTATGAAAAATAGTGGGTCCTGCGGTATTGCCATGTCATTCAAGACTCATTTGCTCCAGGTCCACCCGCCATTGGTCCAGCACCACCGGTTCCTTTTGCCCTGCGTGGAAGCGTTGGAAGCCCGCCTCCAACAGCTCTGACTGCTCCTTGGAATACGGGGCCCAGCCCCGCGCCACCTTGAAGAACCAGGCCATGTGCGACGGCGAGCCGTTTTGAGAGGAGGATTTGTGGTTGGGATTTTGAGGGGATGGGAAGCATCTGGCATCTGAAGGCCGACATTCAACCGGCCATGAAAAGGGGATACATGATGATACATGCCTTCATTTTTCACTCGCATGTTAAATGATGTTAAACGTAGTTCATTGTCACATAGGGTTTGTTCTTGGTGATGGGGTTTGATCGTCAATTTAAAATCAAACTGAGAAACATCAGTCAGTAGTGAACTAGCAAACTCCAAGCACTCACTGAGCCAATGGCTACAAAGGCCCACGGCACTGCGCATGGACGCACATGGACTCCCCCCACAGGCCCTCGCTGAAACTACCTCGCCTGAAGGGAATGAAGTCCAACGCTTTCTTGTTTTCCTGGTTGAGCTCAATTGAGCAAAGTTGCCACACATCCATGATCATCCATGGATCAGCGGTCAACCCACTGATGCTGCTGGAAAAAGCTGAACATGGCTGAGGCAAAGTGTGAGCTCTTCAACTGATGATTTGGATTGATTGACCACTGCTAGCTGCTAGTGGTGTGCCCTTGCAAGTTGTGATTCAGTGCTGCTCAAGGCCTTGTTGATATTCTTGGCGAGGAAAGCCAATCGACCTCACTGTAGGAAGTCATTTATCAGGATGTATCAGGATGTGTGTGAAACGTGTATCAACATCGGTTGGCGATCAAACCAGAAAGAAAATCGTGGGGCCGGCTGCATTAGAATCACAGGGTTGCAAATTAGCCTTTGACAGGACCAAACGCCAGCCACAACTGTACATGAAGAGGTCAAAAAATTGACTCCTTCAATTCCACTTATGGATGCCATAAGCTTTCAACCCTTTATCACCATGCACATTAATTACTGAACCCAACTTTCTTGGTGACCCCAGTTGCATTCATACAAGAGACTGATCACCAAGGAGAGGTTCGATAAGCTTTGGTTGACCATGGCCTTGGCTGAAAATATCCAGCTTGCGAAAGGCTGCGCCAGAAATTACTCCGACACCAGTGTTTGGTTCGTCAAGAACAGGACAAATAAAATACACCATTTCAATGTCATGCTTCATGCTAGGAGGAAACGCGGCTGGGTCCCCTGTCCCAGTTCTGGACTCATTCCTGCTGGTTGACATCATGTCCATGTATGCTGGTTATATCGGTTACATCCACATCCACCTATTTATCGTCATTTATAGTGACACCCCAAGACAGCCAAAGTTGTTTGCTCCTGTTTAGAGGTTCTATCTCTATCGTTTTTCCAGGTTGAATCTCGTCCTATTGGCGGGTCAATGTCTCATCGATGTTCCCTGTATCTCCCTCTTCCGCCTCTGCGAAACTCACCTCGACTCAAAGTCAACCAAACTCCACCTGTTTCGATGTTTTAATGGCACTATATAATTAATTATATAATTCCATAAGATTGACATCAATTGACCGTAAATCCATGTAAATCCAATGAGAAACTTCCATATAAACTTACCATTTCAAGCCATTGTGGGATGGTTTCTACCAGGTGAGTTGCCCCCCCCCACTGACGCCGAGAAACGCCCTCCTTGAGCCGCGTGCCGCTGGTCTGGGACTTCTTCTGCCTCTCAGAGCCTGCCAGGTCGACCACGTTCACCTGACGTGGCCGCAGAATTCTTGATCCCCTGCCCAAGACTTAAGTGACCCATATGATGATTATATGACTAACAAGTGTATATAATTGTATAATTATGCATATATACATATATATGTATTAATATATGTATCATTTATATATATATATATGCGTGTGTGTGTATCTATCTATCTATATCTATATATATAAATATACTGTATATTGTATATGTGTTTTTTATATGTATGTATATGTATAAACAATTACACAATAAGTGTGTGGCTACAACCCATCCAGTACACAAGACATTCTGGGGATTTGATCATTTGACATTCTGAGGAATCTAAGCAGCACATCATGGTCAGGTAGCAACATGTAGCAACATTTTTGTGAATCTGGACTTGGTTTTGATCTTCAGTTCAGGCGTAGAGAACGAGTAACCCGGCGCCTTCGAGCGAAGTTGTGTGCGATTGCCACCACTCCAAATTTTGTGGACAATCTCCATGCTGAAGATGCAGTGTGATCGGCTGGAAGTTGCCTCACTCTTCTTGAAGCTAGGCCTTTGCGGCCTTTATCTTTTCATCATGTTCATTTACACATCTCTGCTTGCAATGTGGGTAAGGGCGTGGTAGTATGCACGCCCCAGGCATTCGAGGACCAGCCAAGTGTTACAAGATTCTGAGCTTACAAGCCCCCACCCAAAAAAAGCAAGAAACCATCGCAAATACAAACTGCTGCAACAAGAACACTCACAACTAGAAATGACACTTGCATTAACACATGTATATCATCTCTCTATATCTAGATAAACCTACGTGTGTGTATATATATATCTCTCTCTCTCTCTCTCTACCTACCTACCTAATTATATATCTATCTATCCAGATCCATATGCCTATCATCATCCAACCGCCTCCATTTTTGCCAAGGAACGTTCATCGAGGTACTGGCCACGGCTCGAGACTTGACACCGAAGTCCAGCCAGGCCTTGGTGTTTGGCCAATCCTCGGCGCATGGTGCTGAAGGCGTCACAGGGATAGGCGTGGGAACGGCAAGGAGGGTACTCTCTCTCTCTCTCTCTTATCCTGGATTATTCTTGATAGTTTATCACCAAAAAAAACACACATATATATAGACTTATTGGTGCTAGTTTTTGTGGCACCACTACAATGATAATAGCATATAACTGCATATAATAGCTGATTGGTGATATATTAATTACTGGCACCACTATATTCCACTTCTCCCGGGGATCTGTATTTTTGTTGGTGGCACCACTAATTATTGACAATTAAAATTAGTGATGATGATTCTGTCTACCCTCTTAAAGCTCCTTATATAGATGAAGGTCCCCCCCCGTCCTACTCTGTCCATGCGCCAGAATCAAAGTCAAGTTGCCATGACCGGAACCTCTTTCACTCCAAAGACAAAGTTGCCAAACTTTGGATGCGCGCGAACCTGAAGAACTACTGACTGAGGTACGGTAATTTCATTGAACCAGTTGAATTGGCGGATCAATGGCTAGCATATCTTCACAAACATGCCAAGCTAAAAGGCTCGTTGCTGTATCAAAGGGGTCCTAGGCGATCTCTTCAACAGTACAAGAAATCGCTTGTAGATGTTCCCGCCCAAGCTGCCCGCATGTGGCACCTCCAGTTTGTATCTGGGTTCCTCCGGCGAAACCAGCAAATCCCGAATCTGCTCGTTGTAAATCCTTGAGCGAAAAAAAACGCATGGCCTACGGGGCCTACGACTTTTACAAATCAGGGCGGTCCCTCATCCCCTGAGGTCGCTTCTCCAGGTAGGAGATGGTCACCACAAATTCGTTCGTGGAATTTCTGTCGTCCTGGATCCGGGTGAAAATGTCCTGCATGGCGGGAGGTTCCATGAGCTTTGGGCATATGGCCCGGTGAAATCCAGGTGGATCTCTACGAAACGGAGCCAGGAGCCAAATATGCGTTAACTATATAAACTATATATATATAGACTATATATAGACTGTATAATAAATCAAAGAGCCTTTCAGTCTTTCATTTTTTTCTAAGTAAGTTAAGTTGCATCTATTCATACTCCATAGCATTTTTTTCGATGCTGTTGGATCTGATGCTATCCCCAGCCTCTGTGATGCGCGGGAGCAAACCAGCTTGCTCTGATGGAGTCTCGTGCCCCAGAATCGTATAGGTCTTCCCGCTGCCTGCGGTGACTTCGTATGACCGTGGCGGCACTGTGGCCAATCTACTTGGTTTCTAAGCAATGTCACAAGTGAAAACATAGGGATACAATGGGTTTACGGTTTGTACATATATATATATATCTACAGTCAATGGCGTGTATCCAACTTGGAACTGGGGCCACCACATTGTAGGCGTTACTATTCTGGCAATGTCTACAGAGATGCCAATGCAAAAACTGTCCTTGCTCTTGATGGATTTGTTCTATTCAACAGGCTACGGCTATGGCCCAACCATGTGGTCAAAAATATGTAGACAACAATGGATCGCCACATTTGGTGAGTTTGAGTATCAACCGATAGAAATTTGGAGTTGATCACCTTGAGCCAAGCCCAACAGGTTGGGTGTTCCCAGCAAACGCTTTCAGCACCTGTCTGCCCGTAGGCAAAGAGGCAAGCATTGTAACCATCCATCCTTGGCTGGCCATGTGCATCGATGAAAAGGAGGGCCACTGGGATGTTCCAATCATGTGCTACTTGGAAACAACAACATTCCAAAACAGATGATCGTTTGAGTGATCTCCCCTATCAATCTTGGTCAATCATTGAATCCTCAATTTGGAGACTTGATCACCCTCATCTGTGCGACTTGAACTCTCGAACTTGGGTGTTGAATCCCTATTCTTTTGCGGCTTCCAAGTTCCTGTGGGTATTCCCACCACTTTGCAGGTTTCTATAGCATCCCGTCTTCGCCCAGGAACACATGTGCCACCAGCTCAGCACCCAAATCCTCCATGATCGAATCCTAGAAGCGTAGTGATGCCAGTTATCTCACATGGTTTCTTCAGAATCTTCAAAGTCAGAATCTATAAGTCTATCTATGTACATATACATATATGGTTAAAAAAAAAAAACAATGTGATACACGCATACCACACAGATAGATAGATAGATAGATAGATAGATAGATAGATAGATAGATAGCTAGATAGATAGATAGATAGATTGATTGATTGATAGATAGATAGAGAGATTGATTGATAGATAGAGAGAGAGATAGAGAGATAGAGAAATAGAGAAATAGATAGATTGAAGAGACAGAGAGATTGAAGAGATAGAGAGATAGAGAGATGGAGAGATAGAGAGAGATAGAGAGAGATAGAGAGATAGAGAGAGAGAGATAGAGAGAACGATAGATAGATAGATAGATAGATAGATAGATAGATAGATAGATAGATTAATAGATTAGGTAGGTAGATAGATAGATAGATAGACTAATAGATTAGGAGATTAATAGATTAATAGATTAATTAGATAGATAGATTAATTAGATAGATAGGTTACTTAGATAGATAGATTAATTAGACAGATAGATTAATTAGATAGATAAATAGATAGATTGATAGATAGATGGATAGATTGATAGACAGATAGATTGATTGATAGATAGAGAGATTGATTGATAGATAGAGAGATAGATAGATAGATTAGATTAGATTAGATTAGACTAGACTAGACTAGACTAGATTAGATTAGATTAGATAGATAGAGATAGATAGATAGATAGATAGATAGAGAGATAGAGAGATAGAGAGAACGATAGAGAGCTAGATAGATAAATAGATAGACAAATAGATAGATAGATAGATAGATAGAGAGAGAGATAGAGAGAGAGATAGAGAGATAGAGAAATAGAGAAATAGATAGATTGAAGAGACAGAGAGATTGAAGAGATAGAGAGATAGAGAGATGGAGAGATAGAGAGAGATAGAGAGAGATAGAGAGATAGAGAGAGAGAGATAGAGAGAACGATAGAGAGAACGATAGAGAGATAGATAGATAGATAGATAGATAGATTAGGTAGGTAGGTAGATAGATAGATAGAGAGATAGAGAGATAGAGAGATAGAGAGATAGAGCGATAGAGCGATAGAGAGATAGAGAGATAGATAGGTAGAGAGAAAGAGAGATAGAGAGATAGAGAGATAGAAAGATGGAGAGATAGAGAGAACGATAGAGAGATAGAGAGATAGAGAGATAGAGAGAACGATAGAGAGATAGAGAGATAGAGAGATACAGAGATGGATAGATGGATGGATGGATGGATGGATAGATAAATAGATAGATAGATAGATTGATAGATAGATAAATAGATATATGCATGTGCGTGTGCATTTTGCCAAATATAATATGAACATGTTTTACCTGAAAAAATATAAATCCCATTTTTTCTGTAGATATGTTTTGAAAGGAATATATATATATATTATATGTATATATATTTATATAAACAGAATCAAAGGTGTAAGATGAAGCACCAACACATTAGGCAAGCGAATGACAAATGGTTGGCTTCGGGAAGTTTCTGTAGATGGAAATCTGGTCCAACAAATGTATACGGTTTAGGGAGCTAACCCCTGAATATGAAAGGAACACATGTTTCCCAAACATGGAAACTGGTCAGGCTTGATACCTGATATTACCCTCTGGTAAATTAACATAGACCCTGGCAGATAGGGTTTGGAAGACTAGCTTCCACTATAAATTGGTCATTTTCAGGGTCTATGTTATTCTACCTGATATTATATACAAGATATAATTCACCCTCCTTGCAACAACCATAGAATGCCACAGAACTGCCCAGGTCCCCCAGGGCCCCCAGGGTGCCTGCGTAGCAAAATGGGTATCGGAGGGCTTGACCGACCTGGGCTGTGGCTGAACCATGGGTGCCAACTGCCAACATGCCAATAGAGGGGTTGGTCATGAAATCTCTCTCTCCTTTTCAAACATGCAAAGAAAAAACATTTGCTGAACAAAGAGCCAGTACCCAACTGCTCTCCAAGGCTTTCTCTTGACCAAGGTGGAATTTCTTCAGTTTATCATTGTTTGTCTTTCCCGTGGCACAAACAAATTGAGACGCTCGTTTGCAGTTCTAGTCTCTGAAAGTGTTTTTTTTGAAACATAATAACAATTCTGTCAGGACAATCAAGTACGAAGCATAAAGTATAGAATGCACACACACACACACATTTGAATCTTGTTTGAATGTATATACTGCAGTATTATATGTATATGTATTGTAAACTATGTGTACATGTATATATATATATATATAGAAATATTGTACTATATACTATATACTACATACGTGTGTCTGTGTGTTTATTCTTTGTGACAACTTCTGGTGCCAATGGATGGAGGATTTCTTCATCTTGACGATCCGCTTGTGCGACAATAGGGCACCCGCAAATTCCACTGGTTAATCGCCGATTTCCCTCTTACTATGGGCCATTTGGCGTCCATGTTCAAACACACCCAAATATCATATATATATATATATCATTTATATATATATATATATCACATATATATATCATATATATATATCATATATATATATATATCATATATATATATATATATATCATATATATATATATATATACATCGTTGGTTGTATCCGTTTTATATCCCCATTATGTCCCCATGAAATGGTTCGTTTATCCAAATCTACTCGATGTTTCATGGTCAAATCCCAGCAGTCAAGGGTCCAATAGGCCCTGTCAAAGGAGTAGTTCTTGCTGTGGCTCAGGTCCACGGGGTTTAGCATCATCACCTGGCCGCAGGCCCCCGGCAATCGTAACCAGCCAGAAAGAAAGGAAAGGATGATTTATATTACCAATTTAAGTATATATATATAATAATAATAATATAATACATATAGGAGGTTATATAGATGTTTTTAGCAACTTCTATTTTTTGGGGGTTGCTATGAAATATGCAAAGATACAAAGTGCAGGAGCCAAGTGTAAATTTGATCTTGATTGACCGTGCATGAATACTTAACTCAGAGAAACACCCTCGATGACCATCATCGAAATACCACCACACCAAATTGGAAAACTGTTGCAGCCAAGCTTCTGTTGTCGGGTGGGGTGATTCGGGTGGAATGCGCACGCACCTTTGCCGCACAAACATGATTGCTGTGATTGGACAACATGCCTTAGCAAAATGATTGAGGCCTTTTTGGCAGCCTGGCTTGCTCTGCATTGGCAAACCCAGCCACCAACACAGCCATGACTCGCCAATTTCAATCCATTTCAATCCTCACAGAAAAACATAGAAAAACCACATCCTTTGGTGTCTAAGAATCATCAACATGATACTGTTGATGTGAAAAATCCTGCTCATTCCTGCTCTCACTCGGGGATGGAGAGTCCAACCCTTTTTACGCTGAGGCACACCCGCTAATTGTTTTCCAACCTCAGAAGAGGTTGGCTAAATCAACGCGGGCCTAGAAAATGCGGCATACTCCCCTGCTCCTTAAACTTAACTCAGTTAATACGGTTCCTCTTGGTGCAGAAACATGCAGAAACAATCCTTGGTCTGGCATTGGTCTTCCGTCCGTGCTCTTGAAAAATGCCATAGGGCGTGCATCGCCGCAACCGGGGTTCTACTATAACTTCGACCAACTTCCAAATTGTGATAACCTCAATTCTACCCTCTGGTAAACTAACATAGCTATTGAAAATGGCCATTTATAGTGGATTTACCCATTAAAAATGGTGATTTTCCATGGTTATGTTAGTTTACCAGAGGGTACCAATTTTCCCTGCAAGAATATCCCAACACACCCTAATCACAACTGGTACACTGGCTATATCAAGCCTGCTTCAATCCAATCCCTCACTGCAAAGCCTGCAGCTGAGAATCTCCTTCTGACCTCACGGGCGCAGAATTTCATGAATTTGGGCATGCTGCCGCCTTTCCAAGCAAACTGTTTGGAAGTACCTCAAACATATAAACATCCCAAAGCCATCCAAAGCCAACATAACTACCGGTTAAAATTTTAGTTCAAAAATATCTAAAAATATCTAAAAATCCACCACAAATTGGGATCCAACCACCGGTTGGGCGTTTTAGCTTTTGAGGCCTTCACCCTGCAAGGCCTTCACCTGCCAGGAAACTCAATGGCCTCACCCGCACGCAGACCTTGATGGCCTCCGTCTGCATCAAAGTCATAAGGCTCTTGGCCTGGGATCAGTTCAAGGGTCATCAGTTGAGATCAGTGAATTACCCTCTGGTAAACATACAAAAAACTATGGAAAATATATAACCATCTTTGATTGGGAAATCACATATAATGGGCCATGTTCAATAGCTATGTTAGTTTACCGGAGGGTAATCCAATCCCATTCATCATAGCACCAATATGAAATAAATACATTAGAAAGATCCAGAAAACCATGGTTTAGTGTTGGATCTGTTGACTTGGGGGCCAAAAATAGCAGGGGGTTGTTTCATATTCGGGCGATGAATTTCATTACTTTTATGTGGCCAGAAATTGAAATTGGGACCATTTAGTGTTGAGATGTTCTGAGCATCAAGGAACTGCCGGTGCATTGTGGAGCTTTGAATTTCGGATCAATAGCGGCCACAGCGGAGTGCTGCCGGTTTTCCCTTCGCCCATGATGGTGGGAATATCTGATGGCCTCCATCGACTTTATCCCTGTAGAAAAGGTCCCATCTCTTGGTGAAGTTGGCGGCGTTGGCCAATTCACCTGGCGCCCGGTGGCCAAAATGGGGTGGAAATACAAAAAGGATCTAATGGGATACCTCCACACTGAAACATGCATTATAAATAATATATACGCACAATATACATATAATATATACATGTCTTCTATAGCTGTACATCCTACATATGATATATATATATAATTATATACGTATATCCTATCATTGTGAATGGGGGCAGAAGCCGCCAAGAAAACACGCATCCCAAGGCCTCGTTCATCGCAGCAATGGGGCAGCTGCCCACCACACAGGCACGCCAGTCGCCCGAAGCATCAGCACGTTCGGATGTTTGTAATTACAAGGTGGGTTTATAACTCTCTCTCTCTCTCTCGTTTAATGGTGTATGGTGTCTGTATGTCTCTATATATATATGTGTGTGTGTGTTTATATATCTATTTATTTATTATTCATTTATTTATTTAACGGGGGTTGTAAACCAAATTATAAATGTGGGGCCCTATCTTGTAGATGTTTGAAGCAGGTTTGCATCTCTGTATCTATGCCTGGGTCTGAAGAACTAAACATCAGTGGATATTGGCCGCATGCAGAAGAGAAAGGCACTTTGCCTACACTCCATGACGTGCTTGAGGGAGTTTGACCCAACTATATAAAATGTCGCAGTCGGGGAATGCAATACATATAATATATATATGCAGCCACGTGGCTCAGTGAATGAAATCGCTCTCCAACAAAGTTTTGCTGAACTGACTTCTGAGCCAATTTCAAATACCCTTCAAGTGTTTGAAAAGGTGTATATATATATTATATGTATGAGAAGAAAGCAAAACTGTGATTACATTGTTCTTTGCCTCATCAACCCATTAAGCACAGCATATCATTCACATAAAGCATAAATAGTGTTCTAAAGTTTGGTTGCAACATCCACTTCATGATCAAATGTGGTGCAGCGCGAGTTGACATCATGCACCCATCGCAGTGACCCAATGCATCCAGCGATATCCAGCGCCCAGCGCAGCGGCATTTGTTTCCTCGTCATTGGGTTTCCATGAGCTTAAACAAAACCAGCAGCACCTGATGCCTCTTATGTTTCGCATCAGCAGAACTGGCAAGGTTCACAAACTGCCAAAACCGCGACGAAACGGGCATGAGGACTCCGTGTGAATCTACTTCAGCGCCGGCTTTCTGTACAAGGGCAAAACCGACTTTGCGTCAGGTGGTGTGTGTGCAGTCCTTAGCTTATGTGTGGTTGGCCCGGGGTCACAGCAAACAAATACTGCACAATCCAGGCATATTTATTTGATGGTGTTCGTACCCTACCGCCGCCCCCCCCCCAAAAAAAAGAAAAACAACACACAAAAAAAAAAAAAAAACATACCCAGAAATGAAACATCATCACTATGTAACCATCCTCAACTTGCCCTGAAACTAGCAACACATTATATACCCTCTGGTAATTTAACATAGCTATTGAAAATGGCCATTTATAGTGAGTTTTCCCATTAAAAATTGTGATTTTCCATAGCTATGTTAAATTACCAGAGGGTAAATCAAAACGATGAAGAAAATCATCCACCGATTTCAAGCTGTGCCGCCATTGCCACCATCAACTGCGCTTCTGTGCTTTCTGCGCAAGTGCTTCCAGCTTACCAACTGCGGCCTTCCAGGAAGGCTCCTTCAGCCACCAGGTTTATGCCGGCATCTCAGCAGAGCTCATACACAAAGCTATGGATGAGACATCAACGATATAATGTAAATGTGTGTATATGTATATAAATAAACTATATATATATATATATACATATATTCAAAAAGTAAATGAATAACACCCAAAGAATATAGTCTTTCTGACAGCTTATTTCGCGCAAACCACCAATTTCTTTACAACTTTCACCTTCACTTTATCCCCCCTTGAGCAAATGTAACCCGTTTGTTGCGAACATGTCTTTGCAGCCATCCTCTGGGGTGCATCCCACCTATAGTTTTTAATAACCTTAACAAATAAATACTATATTGTTATAACCCAGTTGCCACATATGATGGAATATAATGGAATATTCATGAATATCCGCAGTGAGAGCTTAGACACAACCCTTGTATAAATGGAATGCACCTCTTAAGCATTGTCCGTCCTGCACCGTTGCCGCCAACTTCTCTTTGAGCTTCTTGGCAGCTTCCGACAGCATGTAGCTGAAGGACGTTGCATGGGCCTCGCACGGCAAATGGCCATTGAAGTATGGCAACCCAAAAAATCGGGACCAAATGAAGTCTTTGCGACATAACTGGAAGAACATGGATGTATCAGAAAATGGGGCATGCGGCATATCATCAAATGATTATTTTGGTATGGAACATGTTGATACACCACCGGATTTGAGGGGGGTTGTATGATCTAACCTAACAAAGCCAAATAATGATACACCTGCCCTTGAGAAACAAAAGAGGCATATTTACCCAAGGTTAGCGATGATTTCGCTTTAGCCGAAAATGCTCTGACTGTAGTTCCCCAGTGGCTCCAAAGGCAAAGGAAACCTCTCCAAAAAGGAAACGGCCGAGTTGATACAAGTTGTGCGAAATCAACATGGCTGCGCTGTACATCTTCACTTTCAACTCAGTGATTTCCGTGACCAAACTTGGCACTGCTCAAAATCATGCCCCAACAATTCCCGGTTGAATTAAGTACAAAGAATGACCAAAGCCCTTGAAACACCATTCACATATTCACCACCTAGGGGGCAATGCAGTGCTCTTAACTTCCCCACCATTTGCCCGGCCTTGGCCATTTCCTTTGTGGCTGGGTCATCCATGGTGCTGTCAATCAGGTTGAGACATTCGAGGAAATCCTGTGCTGATCCCACAAGCACCGCTGCTGTGACAAGGGCTGTCAGTCACAACCATTCTTGAACAATGAGTGATCTATTTGATGTAATCTGTAGATATACCTGTACATTGTTTATGCATCACTATTTGTGCATACCTGTACGATCATGTACGATACTTTATAATTAGATCCACCTCCGCTCGAAAATTGTTCAGAATGGCTTCTCGCCATGCTCAGCCTTGGAAACACCTCCCATTCAGGTACTGTAAATGTCCTGCAAGTTCTCCGTGAAAATCTCTGGGTCCTTCTCATCCTCAGCAGGACTCTCTACAATCCTCTACACTTACACCGTGCCACCCCAGAAGGGCTTCACACTGAGGTCCCAACCCACAAACGTGCCTGCACTCCGTGTGGCGGATCAAGGTGAATTTTGATAAACTCTCCATAATTAGCTCAAAGGAATACAAAACGCCCACCTGCTCTGAATGGCATGGGGCATGCGGCATGCCCCCCTTTTGGAACAAACATGACAAAAACCACATAGAATCCACGTAGACCATGGGCCCCACCTGCAGTACGCGGCACTGCCTTAACCGGCTTTCCAATGCCCCGACATCATCACCAGCAGCTTCCTGCGGGGCCATGAGGATGCCATCTGATTTCTGAACAGCTGCCCGTCTCGTTGGAACTAGTGCGTGTCCCAGACAGGTCCAGACAGGTCCTGCAAGTGTGCGTAGAAACCTTGGCACTTGGGATATGATACACTGCAAAGGGCACGGAAATTCTCCCAATCTACACGTATTTCAACCCAATTCAACTTACCTTTATTATATAGGGTTGGAATGTTAAGGATTGTTAAGGTATCTAACAGCCCAGCCTGGCTGAACTGGATTAATTGTCCATAGCTCTCCATTTCATTGGGAATCTTCATAGAAACTGGTTAGTGGATGTCAGTGGTTTCAAATCCCCCTGAGGAAAAAAATCTAGTCAATTAGGGGATCATATTTGGATATAATTAGGATCATCATCTTAGGATATATCACCTAATATATTAGGACCATCATCTTAGGCTGCAAAATTGAAACCACTCGCCGAACACGCCGAACAGCTGCGATCCACCAAGCAACTCCAGAAGTCAGGGCGGGAGGCGGTGTGATCTGTGGCAAACTTGTAGAAGTCCAGCAGTTGTCGCATACAACTCCTGCCACTGGCAAGGAACCAGCGAACCAGCAAACCAGTGGCCATGCCTTTGTTTCGTGGCTTGGAATGCATTAACTCTTGATATATTTTGGAGGTCCAAACTCTGACAAGTCACAGATTGAAACTGGTACTGTAAATTACAGTTGTCATCGCAAACATACCTGTGGAAATTGTTCAGAGACATGGAAAATACAAGTGCTGGGGTTTAGTCACCCGGGGTCGCAGCAAGTCATCCTCCCGCATGGGCACGCTACGTTAGTGGTAAGTCACCCGGAAAAAAAGAAAACACCATGTGAACGCTACATTACAAGATCTTCCCAAAAGAGTTTGAAACAACGATTTTCTTGCGCACGCTGAGGTAAAATGTGCATGTTCCTCGATTCCAAATCAGCATGTGCACGCCGATTTGATACGACTACTACAACCTTCAAAAAGTGTATGAACCACTTGGAAAACTTACGGTACAGACAGGCACACAAATCTGCACTACATCATAAACAATTGCGGCACAGGAAAAGTGGCTGAGCGCGAGTGCCGAGTCCCAGCTAAACCCCCAGCCCAAGCCTGCCAAAAACTCAGGTCATCGCGGAGCTCGCCAAAACATCAAAACACCACACGCACGCCAACATCAATGGATTGCCCCATATTTAATGGGAAAATCTATGGTTTCCTGTAGATTTTCCCTTAAACCAATCCATTTACAACAAAAATAAAGCTTAGCAATCATTGCATGTGTTGTCAAAAAAACTGAAACATCAAAGTGCCCAGCTGCACGCCGCATCCAGACGACTTTCTGCAGGACAAGACGACTTAACCCAAGTTCCTTGTACAAATCCATAATTTCAACTATTGAATCGAGCGTCCTCTCCCTTCCCCACACCTCACTTAAGTGATTCCATTGCAGCATTCAGCAACTGTTCTTGGCGTCTCCTACCGGACCGCCCTTCATAGAGCTCGGGCATGTCAGTGATCACCGCCTTGATGGGCAGAAAATATTTGGTTCAGGCTCAATGCTGAGCCAAAGCACCCTGGAATAAAGCACACGCATGTCAATTTTCAAGGGAACACATGACAAATAAAGAATATCCAAGCAAAACCAACCAAGAAAGCATGAGCACTTCCGTGGAAAATCAGCACTCAGCACTTTCACTGAAAGCATTCGACAACGAAATAATGGGAAAAATGTGGTATCTTAAAAGATCTCGATATTTTCAAGAAAAAACGTTGGGATTTGTCATGGACCTACGCCCCCACACACACACACAAAACAAGCATACTAATAAGATCTAAAAACTAAACATTAAAAAACAGTTTGCTGTAATCCATTTTACGTATGCACAACTAAGAGCAGGAAAAAAACAGCTTAAAATACCTAAAAGCAATTTGAACTGAAACATCTGGACGTGTCAAGTTTCAAAATTTCGAAGCTGGTTAGGCGCTTAGACCTCTCCCCATCGCCATCTGTCAAGACTGCCGGTGGCAAACTATTCGTTTCAGTGGCCTGGTGCAAAAACATGGGCTGTTTGGGTGGAATCCGCCACAATTAATTGGGTATGGGTCAAAATTAAAGACCTAACAGACAACAAATCAATTAGTCTATGTTTAGTATTAACCAGAAATCAACCATCCAATGACTTTGCGTACTCAATAATAATCATATACTAATTATAAATAGTAATTAACCAGAAATCAACAGATGAATTAGTCTATGTTTTGACCCATACCCAATTATAGAATCATGGTTTACCCTCTGGTAATTTAACATAGCTATTGAAAATCACAATTTTTAATGGGAAAATCCACTATTAATGGTCATTTTCAATAGCTACGTTAAATTACCAGAGGGTATTCATCGTTGACATTGCCCTTCGGATCCCAGGCACCTGGGTGACCATGCCCAAGACCTGGCGTTGAACCCGACCCATCTGATCCAACTCCACCAATCGACGCCTCTGCGAGGCCCAAGCTGCAAGGAGATCCAGTGGTAGACAGGCACAGATTTGTCCACATATCTATCTAACTAGATATGTTTGTATATGTGTATATATATATATATGCAAATATATTTATATACAAGTATAATATATATATATATATATACATTGTAATATTTTTGTGTACAGTGCTTCACTGTCAAATTCAAATCAGAATCTGGAGGTTGGTGCCCCAATTCCCTATGAAACGATTGGTGATCAGATATTGTCCATTTCTTGCCGGAAAGGTTTCTGGGGCCATCACTCAGCGAGCAACTGCCACAAGTTAGTGAAACCAAGAATCATCCAGTACATTTTCATGCATTGTCAACAGCTAAGCCCCTTGGACATGACATAACATTCATCCTTTGTTTCATATCAAATCTAGTCCATCTCGGAATTATGCAACCTTCCCCATGTCTCAAAAGCAGTCAGCGCAAATTCGCATAGGTACTGCTTACATGTCTCCTTTTGTGACTTGAAATCTCCCCGAAATTGTGGGAAAGCACGGCTGTCATTTCAACCGGTCAACAGCTGCAGGCTTTTCCAAACGCGGTTTTGGTAGTTGGCAATGTGCTATATACACAGGCAACCAGCACTGGCATCAATAGGGGGTTCATCTGCAATTGTGATGGGTGCTGGCTGCCATAGCTTCTGATCATCTTTGATCCTGCTTTGCTCAGCCACGGAAAATCAGCACCCCAAATCTCAAGATTTTACTGGCTGACTGGTGGTTTCAGGCAACCTCAAACATATCAGTCATTGTCATCATCATTCTAATTATGGTTGAACATAGCAATGAAACCACCAACATCATCCGATTAATCATTATATCCCCATCAAATACATTCAAATACCAGAATTTCATATATACAGTACGCATTAAGTTGGTGAAATCCCGAAAATGCACCACTAAGCGGGTGCCTCTCCTGATGATTTTGGGCTCACCACCACTGCATTGGCCATGCCGCACCCATTGCCTGGACGCTGCTGAAAAGACATCCGAAGCAGAGCTACAGAATGGATTGTATGTAGCGAAATGTAGCGAATCTCTCTCTCTCTCTCTCTTTCTCCCTCTCTCTTTCTCTCGCTCTGTGTCTTTACATGCATGCATATATATATATATATATCTGTGTGTGTAACATCTGAACAAATGTAAAACTTCTACTTACGCAGAGGGTGCCGGAGGCACTGATGAGACCGGCACTAACAAAGACACTCATCAAATGCCTGTGATATCGATGGGGACGCTCATCGACGTACCTGCTTTTTGAGATTTACTGCAATGGCACTGGGCTAAGCCAAGAACCCCTCTCCGACATGTTCATTTCGAATTATGCACGTTTGCCGCAATCTGGTATTTATTTATTCATTTTATTTCATCCTGCGTATGGCGATGGCAGCTTCGAGGATTTGACATTGTATCGGTCCTGTTGCTCTGTTTATTTGGACTTTATGCTAGTCTTTGTCGAGATTTTCGGATTACTTCATTGAAGACTTCCGCATTTACATCCATGGTCTACGTAGGCTCGTATATCATTTCTGGTTACATATTGAAGGGATTCAGTTCCCAACGGATCACTTAAATGATCCAGCTCTTGTCTAGTGAGTCTAGTGTGTGTGTGTATGTACGAGTATGTATGTACATCATGTAAAACATATATATATATATAAATTATAAAAATAATAATTATTGTAATAATTAAAATTATATATATATGGGTTTCGATTCAGAACTGGGACGCCATTCCGTCTGACAATGTTTGCACCAAAAAAAACTGAGCAGTCCTAACATCAACGTTGAATCTCTTGAAGGAACACTTGGCTCCAGTGGTGACATGATCTCTCGAGATGGGAGGACCATGGATGACCCCAAGCATGCAGCATGGTCGTTGATCAACCAAAAAAACAAGACAGGACCAGGTCCAACTTACACATGTGCAGCACTTGTGAGCATCTGTAGATGATTTGGCACATCGTTGTTGATCCGCTGTGCAGCACTGGAATAGTGACGGAAATTGCAACAAACTCGGGTCTTTGTAACAGTGTTTCACGTGTCTAACGAGTCTAACGTTTGTTCGAGGTAGAATGTTCATTGTGTCATTGTGAAATTCTGATATGGTTCGATAGTTGGACTACAGAACCATGGATGCCAAAATTCTAGGTGCAGTTGGGTCTGCAACTTCAAATGCATCCCCAAAACTCAGTAAAAGAACAAACCAGCCACTAAGGTATGCAAGGCTATTCAGTCCTGACGAAGTTGCTAGTGATCTGTATTGCTATGTATCTCTTAGGCACACCCCTAGGAAATGCGAACATTCATATAGAACAAAAAGTCATCTTTCAAAGCAACTGTTTGCAGTCCATCTGGATATGATTCAACATGATTTAGCCTCAAATCTGACATACTTCTGGATATTTCATTGGATTCGTTGACGTGAAAATTTATAGGGCATCCATTTTCTTTGGGTAAAACAATGCTTTCCCCGGGTTCCCAATCCATTTGTTTTTACGCCAAGGTGCACCATAGCCGCCCCATGGGTCCTTACCACCTTTAAGCCCGCCTTTGCAAGCACCTTGGAATGATGCCATATGATGCCATGGGCTGATTAAGTAAGAAGGAATGCATCTACAAGATATGGTTATACATCTGGTTATCAAACAATATATAATCATATGATTAAGCTGATTTAGAGTTTAGAGACCATGATATATACTGATAACTATATGATATAGCCCAGTCATTCATAACCATATGGTTCTGACTTAAGGTGTGATATAATATGTTCAATGGACAGATTTAATATGCACGTTTTGTCTGATATATTCAAACAAAACTTTCTAGCTTCAAACATTCAATATTGAGGGTTCCCGGCATTTTGCCCATCATCCAATCGTGTGATGTACGTCAACATCTTCATTTGGGTGTCTTTAGAGGCTGCCCAGCTATAAATGGAAGATTCTGTGGCTAAAACCCAACTGGACTATATAACTTCCTCGTGCCAGTGGGCCGCGTTTCGCTTCCTGGTCGTCAAAATTTCTGGGGCTCTCAGAAGTTACCATGTGCCTTGACTTACGGGCATCCCTATCCCATCCCATTATTATTGGTTAATGACAAGGTATCCCTGTTATTGAGCATTATATGATATTATATGATTATATACCACTGTGATTCCCAAAAACCAGTTGGTCAAACCCCCTATACTAACCAATCAAAATTGGTATCTGACCCAGGTATAGGATCTGCTTGTTGCAAAAAAGCCAAGCCAAAACCAGCCAAAAGCTGTGTCTGCACACTTCTGCACATCCTATGAAAATGGCGGGCAAGGCCTCAAGTTTTTCTATCCATCTGACCTGAAGATTGACCCAGAGGGCACTAGTATTTTACCCTCTGGATTGCCCATTTAACATAGCATATATGGAAAAGCATCATTAATCATAGAAATAAGGCTATGGAAAATCATCAATAGCTAATTAAGTATCATCATTAAATCATATAGCTATTGATGATTATACCACAGCTCAATAAATATAAGGCCAGGCCATGGTTTCGCAAAAAAAACACTGAGTGCTGCCCAAGATCCCATCGATGGCATTCCCCAACCGCACCCGCCCTTGAAGCCATGGCTCCTGGCACTGCAGTACATGCAATCCTGATAGTTGATCAAAGTCTGACAGTATGACACAGTATGAAGGTATTTAAGACCGATACTGTTGCATGTGTGCATGCATACTAGACATATATGCATAAATCTATATAAATCTTATATATAATATATGTTTATATTAATTGGACATAAAATGACATAGATATACACATGTGTGTGTACACATGGCTCCCCAATAACTCCGTATCAATGTCTTTCCGTCCGTCGAATCTGTCTAGTGCCAGTCGAGGCACATCATAGATCCCTTGCCCTTGGGTGTGCTGCCCTTACCTGTAGCCGGCTGTTGACACTTGGACAGGAAACGTCAAAATGTGATAGGAAACACCGGCTTGACACATAGATGTTCAAAATTTGACCACAATTTGACAAAGTTGGGTATGCAAAGTGATTAAACTAGGACAACAGAAAAGAATAGAAAAACGAATTGCAGTCTGGAAACTCACTCCTTTCGCTGCTGTTGCTTGTGCAGGATTTCTCCTGAGAAGTCTGGACATGCCCATCATTCTGCGGAAGATTTGCCTGAAGCCTTGAACAAATAGTCAGAGATGTCCATGAATATTGACACATCACAAGGTGCCCCAATATGAGTCAACGTAAAAGTAAAATCAAAGTAACATCCAGTGGTCAAGCAGCATGGCACGCCTTTTGAATTTCTTGGGTCAGACCGCCTCAAACCAAGACATTTCAACCCCCAACAATCCGACATCCATGTGTGCTCAAACTGACGGAAAGGTAGTTGGCAAACAAATGCAACCCCACACACACAGTCCCAAACAACTACTATCCGAAAATTGAGAAAAGGTGAAAAGAATGTATGTACCAAAGAACTATTTGGCTCTGTCTGAAAGTAGGCCCAAGAATCCCAGGCTATATCATTATTTCCCATGGGATATACCGCCAAGTGACACGGAGGGCGGGCACCCAGGCTCCTTGTGCTGATAGGATTGGGATGGATGCAGCAACAATCACCATATGGGGTTTGGGGGGTTGTCTTGGTGGATTCAGCGAGCTTGATAGCATGAATGCATTTGAACCAGTCTTCAATGCACGAAACATATATATATATATATCAAAACCAGGAAAAACCATGAAGCATGCTATATACATTTTTTGATATAGTGCATGTTGTTTACTGCTTTTTCCTCACGCTATGTGGCTACCAGTATGTGATGATACAGTCTTTTTCAGGTTGAGAATGTATCGTCGCCCACCCTCCTGGCTGTTGGATTTGCAACTCCCAGGAAATCACGTGCAGGGCGTAAGTGAAGCTATGCCAGGCATAGGAAACCACAATTTTGCATACTTACCTTATCCAAGCACAATTTACACTCTTTTTGATGAAATGTGGCAGTCAAAGTCTTAACCCCTTCTCCAATAGCTCCTCCATAATATCGCCTTTCTCGAAGCACTCGAAGAAGGTCATTAAGAAGGCAGTATCGTGCGCTTCAGGCTCCTGAAACTGGCACAACCAAATCTTAAGCGCCACTAGTTTCTCAAGTTGAAGAGTTAACCATTCGGCCTGGGTCAGAATTGGTGAGCTGTTGGCAATGACCAAGCAAATTTCATCTGGGGCGGACACCACAACCCGTGAAAAATATATGAAACAGTAGGACAAAAACATTTAAATCAATCAAACCTGTTCCTTTTGCTTTTATCTCAATTTTGATGGTTTGTTTCTGTCTTTTTGGTGGCCTTATGCCGTAGATCCTATAATTTTGGATAATTATTTTTCCAGCGCTCTTATCCCATCTTCAGAGTATATACCTTCCAAACAAAAAATTGAATCGGAATTCTTGATAGCCGAGTGCTGGGGCTCTGGGGAAGTCTTTAGTCACTTTAGTCCTTGTTTAGCAGCCAAGTGCCCAATCCTGTGTTAGCAGACTTGCTACCATTCAGAATTCTAAATTTGGTATTTACGGTATTCATGTGTCCAAAAAGTCGGGGGAGAGCACAAACTAAGGATGCTTTCTGGGCACAAAACACGCATTCTCACCGGCTTTAAACATGTTTGAAGGCTACATGTTTGTCGGCAGAAAGCCTGACATTGAACACTGGATTTTTTTTGGCAAGGCACAAGCTTCCCACCAGCATGGACTTTGCCTCAACCAACACGAACGACACGCTCTTTTCCAGTGCAACAATCATGGACAAAGCAAACAACGGGTAAACATTGGAAATGATAGGAAAGGCGTAAACATTGGAAATATTGAACGTAATGTGTATGGATATACACATATTACTATATTATAGAATAGTTATATAAATGTATTTATATATATATACAGATACAGTACACCCAGCATCAATGTGCATCAAATTGAAGCATGTTGAAACAACAGTAGTAGTAGTAGTAGTAGTAGTAGCAGCAGCAGCAGTAGTAGCAGCAGTAGTAGCGGTGGCATCCCAATGCAGTTCCAGCGGCAAAAGCTCCACCAGAGCACTCGGCCATTTTCTGCGAGTTGGAGTTTCCGCAGTTTGTCCACCAGCTGTTTCTTTGGATCCACAGGTGGGGGGGCACGGGCAGCAGCTGCCTCCTACCAGCAATCTGTTGTGTGTGTCATGGCGAAATATTCAGAAATGCAGCACCATGGACATGTCATGCAACATGTCCACATTCAAATCCTGGGAATTATATGGAATTATGGGGAACGTGAAATCCACATTCAAATCCAAAGGCATAGCCACATTTCCCAACTCGTCCTCCGCTTTTTTTTTCCGCGCTTCTTCTACCGCTTTCAGGTCCACCCGCCCCACTGGCAGCGCGACCACAGGCACAGGCGCTGGTGCCGTGGGAGGGCGGGCCAAATGGGCGGCCTGGACAAGTCATCCTATACCTATATTACGGTATAAAATTGTGCCTTTTATAGCAAATGGTTTAGTGGAAATTCGACAGATCACACATTTGTTGATCATCCGTGATTCCTTTTGTTCTTGATGACCGCATGGGACCCATGATAACGCGGTGATATGTGTTCGATACCTGGCTTGGGGAAGACGGAATCAGTTTGAATGACTCCAGAGCCGACGACAACAACAACAAAACCTGATATAATTATGTTTCTGATATGGAGAGCTGCCTCGAGTTCCTTGAACAACTCTAACTAAAACGGAGCAAAATCCACTCTACAGCTGTGTGGCCCCTAAGACAACACATAGAACACCATCGAAAGCAAGAAAACACGACATCATTTTGAATGCATCACCATGATGTGACCGCACCATTTTTGTATATGTTTGTCCAAGTTCTAATGATTTCTAATTCTTGTTATATATATTTCAGATGTAAGCTTCTCCATGTGAAATGTTTTTCATCCACCTCCATGCCTCCCATGGCCCATCCCATGGCCTTGGCCGCTTGGTTCTGAGGCCCCGGTTGACGGGGTCTAGGGCCATAGGGCCCCAGCAGCGACATGGCGCGGTCAACGCGACGCACGCGGACGGCGCGGGTGTTCGAGCCATGGCCTGGCGGTGTCAACCCATCCTGGCCTCAAGTGGTCAGAAATTAACAGCAGCATTTAAGACATGAGACGCGGATATATAAAATATGTATATTATAGATTATGATATGTTCTAGTGTTCATAAAATAAATGTGGTTTTGCTGGGTTCACCCAGTTTTCAGCATCAGCATCAGCATCCATGCTGAAGAGATGACCAAGACCTGAACTGCTGGCGGTGCCTTCAAACCTTGACCCTTAAACTTTGCAGGCGAGGCACAAGGACTGAATGACGCCATTGATGTCCCGGAGCCTCAGCCAAGAACGCACCCATTGGCTGAACCAGAGGACGCACCCTCAGCTAAGATCAAGGAGGCAACCATTGGTGCAATGGTTGACACATTCCATTTTTCTGGTTGCAGCTTAATCAACCTCTGACACGAACGGAGTCCAAATGGGTCACGAAAGGTAGGTCCCCATCATAGGTGATATATATATATAATAAATTGCTCTTGGGTGGCTGACGGGTCACCATTTTGCGCTCACCTTTTTGCACTGGCGCAGCAAGAGTCCTGGCCACTCAACACTCAGGTCCTTCAAGCCTTCTTCTGCTGAAGGGTCTCCAGTGCCTCAAGAGAGGCCAGGGATGGTGCCCGCCACCAAGACTTCGAAGATTTTTTGGGTCTCCGGAAGTGGATCTATAGGTGAGGACACGAGCACATGTTAGTAAGTCCACCAATGATTGGTGAATAAAATGGAAACTCCCTAACTTCCACAACACACAGCATACACCCAGAGTGCCAGAGTGGAACTACGGGCACCACCAGCTATAGAGGGTTTAACATGGTGAAGTGACCCCACTTCTGGTTGAAAATTGGTCTTGCATTCTCTGAAGAAAAAAGGTTCCGCATATTATCACCTGAAATTGCGGATTGATGACTCTCAAACCACCATCTCAATTCAAAGTTTAAACCCCCAAATCTGGAAATACATGGGCCCCCACTGACCTTCACTGCAGGCCCCACCTGGACTGCAGCTTCTGGCTTGGCCATCGTCAACTCGGACAGCTTTTGCATGAAGAGACCGCCATCGTGAAGACGAGTGTCCATGGTGGATTGGGTGCTCTGCAAGTGCCTTGACCATGGTGGGGCGCAGCTCAGTCTTTCAAGTTTGGCCTCCAATGTGCTCAGTGGCAATCTATATTATATAAACGGCATATTGAGCCTCTTCCTTGGTGCCATCATGAAATGCCATATAGTTGGCAGGGTGAAGTAGAAAACATTAACCACACCGTTCTGATAATATATTTATATATTTTTGGTACCATTCAAAAATTCCAATCCCTTCGCAAGGGTCACCAGTCTGGGACCTACCGAGAATTATCCTCCCCATCTATGGCTTCCAGCAAATCTTGCAGATCATGGCGCTTATCCGCCGTTTCCAGCCGCGCATGGTAGGAACTCATCTTCTCCAAGGTCTCGTTGAGGACCTTCTGCTGAGCCAACAGTGCCTGGTGTCGCTTCACGCCGGCCTGGAAATCTGCCTGGAGGCTGCAGCTGGAGGCGGAAAAAAACAGCAAAAACTCAGAAGAAAAGGAAAGCATGAAATAGGAAACATATGTATTTATTTGATTGCCCGTCTTAAATGATGATCTACTTTTCTGCCTAGTAGTCAGTAATTCTGATTATAATCTATTATATATATAATTAAATATATATGTATACAGATGATATAACTAGTAACTATCATGATTGCCCCCCCCCCACAGGTCTCCTACTTCCCCATCGTCTGATATACCCCTGAAATCCCCCCACCACACAGGATCCCAGAACTGGATACAACCGGCCAATCCAGCGAAGTGTGTCCTTAAAGAGGTCCTTCAGCTTGGCTTCACTCTCTTGACCCTGTTTCTTCATCACCTCAGATCTCTCTCAACATGCCATCTGGGATCCCAAAAGGCTGAGGGCTGAGGGCACTGGATGATACTGGATGCCCTTGGAGGCTTCTCCGGTCTGGGCCCAGGGGCTTTGACTTCATTGGCCAGCATGGACAACAAACTCTCCGGCTCCTCAACTGTCTCCTTGGGCTTTTCATCTTCCTCCACTTCCAAGCTTTCCTGAGCTTGGGACTAGAGGAGAAACAAATGCTTTTCACACACCATCCCCCAAATGCACATAGACCCAGAACATAATCCACGTCTGGAGGAAAGTAATTAGTCTTTCAGCGGCCAACTCGCGGCAGGATCGATGTTGACTGGAGATATAATGTAACTTCCACATAGATCTGTATGGGATGGGTGCTTCACTTTGAGTGTTTCACCTTATATATGTGTATGTATAAAGAAATAATAGAGATATGTACTGTATATATTTGTATTTATCTATTGTAATTTCTAGCTCTAAAGGATGCCAACATCGCGGCCGAGTTTCCGACATCTCCAAGAAGGACAGTGCAGCCTTTTGCTTATCATCCTTCAGCACTTCGAGCTCGGTCGCCTTGCTATCCTTAAGGATTTCGGTTATTTCGGCTGCGAAACGGATCGGACTCAACATCTGCAGGACACATCGTTTTTCAACGCCAAAGATAGATATGATAGGGGTTTCTAGCAGATTTGCTCCCAAATCTGCAGACATGGAAAAGTGTTCACACATCACCAAAATCTTTGACGATTGAGAGTTTCCGGGTAGGATGGACAAAAACAATCATTTGAAACCACCAGCCAGAAAAAGAAAAACAACATATTCCCAACATATTCCCAACAGATTCCAGTCAAACTATATATGTCAAACTCAAAGCAAAAGCATACCTTCTGCACCTCCGGAGATCATCGGTTTGGGTGAGGGAATCTTGCAAGAAGTTCTGCGCAGCCGTTATCTGGTCCTCCCGAGCTGATCGATGGTTTTTGCATGGTTTTCCTATGTTCAATTAATATCAATTAATTGCCTGTCATGCAAATGGCATGCAAATACCATTCATGTTTACCATCATTACCACGCCATTCTCTTCATCAAAAACATGACATAGACACAGCTATCCCGTGATTTCATGCTCCTGCAGCATCTTCAGCTCCCCATGGCGCAGCGCGTTGCCCTTCTGCAGCGACTGCGCGTGCTGCAGCAACTCCTCGTTTTGCTTCTTCATCGTCCTCGTGGTTTCGGATGTCATGGGGATCCAACATATGTCACCACCCATGGGATGAAAATGAATGGATCAGCCATGGAATCTGGAGCTGGGCCCCAAGAATTGCATGTTGATCCCAAAGAATATATATGCTATTTAGACTTCTTCAGCTTGTTTTTTTTGGATAATAAGGCGCCCCTCAAATCCAATGAGTATGATAATGGTCCCATATTTTCCAAAATATAATAAAAATGACCATTTTGGGGCATTGCCAGTTTCCAAACATACACATTTCCATTAAATAATGTACGTTTTGGGGTGAAATCCCTAAGATGACCATTTCCTGATTGGGATTTGGGAAATTAGATGTAACATTTGGTCATCTTAGGGATTTCACCCCGAATCCTGCACCAGGTTGGAGTTTGTTGTGCGGCGATTCGGCACCCCAAAAACTGGGTCAAACAGGGATCACGTAATGCTTTCCAAACTATGAATGTTGGATGATACAGGCAATCTTTACCCAGTTTGAGTGTTTTGTTGGAGAAACCACATCTTTGAGAACAAACCACTTGACTGCTACTTGAATGCGGCCATAGAAAGCACTGCGAGCAGCAAAAAGTCCAGCGCCCCAGCAAATGACCACCAGTTTGTCAATGTGCATGGTTGGTTGTACAGAAAATTATTACATAATCCGGACTTTAAAAATTACATTTCGATACCGTCTGAAATGGAACTTCAACAGGGTCCGTTGACCCTCTTTTTTGCCCGGGCGTCCAGAGGTTTTTCCCGATTCTGATCCCTTGCTTTGTCCGTTGTCCCTTGGCAAACCAAAATATTCAAAACCAAACCACATCAAATTGGTGTCTCTGAAAATAGGGTGCCTGAAGAAGAATGATGATTCAAAATCAATGTTCTAATTCAATAGCAATAGCATTTTGTATTGGTACCCAACATGTTCAGACTTAAACCCACATATCATCTCAACTTCATTAATTAGTTGTGTTCCATGAATATCTATCCCATTAAAAACATATATATCCTCGGGTACATTTAACATTATAGAAAACAGCCCACTTAACACCATGTGTAAATAGTGTTGTTGAATTACCAACAGATCTAACTCCAAGTGCTGCAAGTTTCATGATGTTCTGAGCAATCTTGGCGTTTTCCTTCACCACCTCGCGATTCTTCTCCTCCTGTTCCTGCAACTTCCGGTCGAAGACGGCCTTCTGCTTCTGCATGCGGGCAGCGTTCTCCTGCAAAGGAGAAACTCCACGAAAAAATGGTCGATTAAACCAGGATTTAACCATGATTGACTTGATCTGACCGGGGGATACAGCGCAAATAATGAGACTTACTCCTCAATGATAATGGGTAGTTGTAGTGGTATTTTGTTGTGTCTGAAGATTTGAATCTGAACCCTCCCTACAGCTCTAAACTCCATCTCAGACTGTATTTGAGGATTTTTCTGGGGTGAAGCATTAAGAATCATCTTCTAAGAGGATATGAGCACTACGGTAGGGTCTGGTGCTAGAATTAGCTTGTCCTGTATGAAAAGTTTGTGCATGTCATACGTACCAAGGAACCAGCAATAAAAAACAATCTGACCTTGCAAGGGTGTGGGTTGATAACGTCGAATGCAGGACTCCGGATTTCACATTTCAAAGAATGAACTCAAAAGATTATTTGAAGGTACATTTACATACATTTACCATATGCCGATGCCTAAATCATCTCGACTTTTTTTGTTTGATTCCCGAATGCGTAGCAAGGGTTCCCGTTTCACTCTGGGGGTCTGGGGGTCGAGGGTGTGTTCGCTCGACGTTGCGTTCACGGTCGCAACCGTCCGCAACCGTCCGCAACCGTTCGTGTGAGGACCGTATGGCCGTGCCTATGGGAAGTTCTGCAGGAGGGATCATTTTTGGAGGTTTCAGACGTCTGGTTGCTTCGTTTCGCGTGGCAGGCGTGGCACTTCGTGACATTCAGCAACGTTCTGTAACGTGTCGAAAGTCGTTTTGTGTGGCAGGCGCAATACTTTTGCGACGTTTTCAGAAGATGTGTTGCATTTTTCGTGGCAGGCGCAGCACTTTGGACGTGTCCATCGTCATTTTTCCTGGCAGGCGCAGCACTTTAGACGTGTCGTGTTGCGTGTTTATTGCAAATCGCATTGGCAGGGCTGCGTCAAGTGGCGACAAGGTGCAAATTCCGTGGCAGGCGTGGCATTTGGGGCGATGTGCTGAAAATTGACGGAAGCCTCGCACGAAACATCGATTTTGAGGTTGCAAATTTTCAGGTTCTAAGGAAAACTCGTAGGAAAACGTCGATTTTGAAGCTACAAAGTGTGAAAATTGGAGGAAGTCTCGCACGAAATGCTCGTTTTGGTGCTCCCACCTGTCTCGTCTCGGGTCTCTGGTTTTCCTGTGGCCTCGCCGTGTCAATGGGGGAAGCTGCAAAACTTGTCCTTTTGTCATGTTGCCATCTGTGAAAATTGGAGGAAGTCTCGTACGAAATGCTGGTTTTTCTGCATCCACGTGTCTTGGCTCGAGTCGCTGGTTTTCCTGTGGCGTCGCCGTGTCTATGGGGGAAGCTGGAAAGGCTCTCCTATCCGAATGTGTCCAAGCAGGTTGTCATGTCCTTTTGCGTGGCAGGTGTGGCATTTCGTGACATTCCAACCTGTTTGATAACGTGTCGAAAATATCAAAATTGGAGGACGTCTCGTACGAAATGCTTGTTTTTCTGCACCCACATGTCTCGTCTCGTGTGTCTGGTTTTCCTGCGGCGTCGCCGTGTCAATGGGGGAAGCTGCAAAACCTCTCCTTTCCGAAGGTTTCCAAGCAGGTTGTCATGTCGTTTTGCGTGGCAGGCGTGGCACTTTGTGACATTCGAACCTGTTTGCTAACGTGTCGAAAATGTTAAAATTGCAGGAAGCCTCGTACGAAATTTGTGTTTTTCTGCATACATGTGTCTTGTCTCGAGTCTCTGGTTTTCCTGTGGCGTCGCCGTGTCTATGGGGGAAGGTCCGCACTCCACACTCTACACTCCACACTCCACCATTTACACTTTAGACTCCACACTTTACACTTTACCCTCCAAACTTTACCCTTTGCACTTTACACTCCTCACTCCTCACCCGAGACTTTACACTTCACACTCCACACTTTACACTCCACACTTCTCACTCTACACTTTACACTCTACACTCTACACTCCACACTTGACATTTTACACTCCAGACTTTACACTTTACACTCCTCACTCCACACTTTACACTCCACACTCCTCACTTTACACTCCACACTCCTCACTTTACACTTCACACTCCACACTCCACACTTTACACTCCACATTCCAGACTCCACAATTTACACTTTAGACTCCTGACTCCACACTCCACACTCTACACTATACACTCCACACTCCACACTTTACACTCCACACTCCACACTCTACACTTTACACTCTACACTTTACACTCTACACTTTACACTCTACACTCCACACTTTACACACTCCACACTCCTCACTCCACACTTTCCACTCCACACTCCACACTCCTCACTTTACACTCCACACTCCACACTTTACACTCCGCACTCCACACTCCACACTTTACACTACACTCCACACTTTACACTCCGCACTCCTCACTTTACACACACTCCACACTCTACACTTTCCACCCCACACTCCGCACTCTACACTTTACACTCCACACTCCACACTCTCCACACTCCACACTCTACACTTTACACTCCGCACTCCACACTTTACACTCCGCACTCCTCACTTTACACTCCGCACTCCTCACTTTACACTCCACACTCTACACTTTACAATTTACACTCCACACTCAACACTTTACACTCTACACTTTACACTCTACACTCCACACCCCACACTCTACAATTTACAAACTCCACACTCCTCACTCCACACTTTACACTCCAAACTCCACACTCCTCACTTTACACTCCACACTCCACACTCTACACTTTCCACTGTCCACTCCACACTCCACACTCTACACTCCACACTTTACACTTTACAGTCCTCACTCCACACTCCACACTTTACACTCCGCACTCCTCACTTTACACTCCGCACTCCACACTCCACACTCTACACTTTCCACCCCACACTCCACACTCTACACTTTACACTCCACACTGCGCACTTTACACTCCACACTCTGCACTTTACACTCCGCATGCTACACTCCACACTCCACACTGCAGACTGGTAACAGGGGAAATATGTACAGCAAAAATGCACCAAATCTCAGGAATTCATCTTCGCGCAAGGTCGCGCAAGCTCAGTTTGAAAAATTGTCCGCGCGCAAGCTCTCATTGTGGTCGCGCAAGGATGGCGCAAGCAAGGATTTCGCGCAAGGATGAATAATTTCCATTCAGTTTTAATTGAAGTTTTGAACACCGCTCAAATAAACTATTGCAGAAAAGTGTTCTGCGTGATTGCATATCCATGTGTTTTGACATCTGTACCATTAACATACGTGTGAGCATTCGGGTTCGTGGGCTGCATCTTGTTTTTTCATATTTTTTCACGCCCTGTCACCCATGAACACTTTGTCGAAACTCCAATGTCCCCATCCTGCTGTACGTCCAGCATCTGCTGCTGAAGTTTTTGTGCCTGTTTGCTGATTCCGCTCAGCGTCTGGGTCGGTGCATCCAACATGGCCGACACCGTGGGAAGCTCAGGGAAACCGCTCTTGCCGGCAGCCACCACCTTGGAGGATGTGGCAATGTTTGAATTGGGGTGTGGGATTGTGAAGTCGGAAATCTAAAGGAACCTTCTCCATGTGCAATTCTCATTGCAACATATTAAAATGCTACTTTCCCATACTTTCCCCATATTCTACCACTTAGTGTATATACATGGACCCATGGAAACATCCTGCAGGACCAACTTGGCCATCTGATTCTGCACGCGTCTAGGCAAGTTGCTGTCGAGATGTGTGGAGCCGCCCCGGCCAGCTGAAACATCTGAAAAACCAAAAAAGAATAAATTACTTTACTTCGTGTGATCCCCCAATGACATTTATACATTTTGTTATTGGCAAATCTTCTGGCATATGTTCTGGCATATCTTCTGGCATTCTATCTGGGATATTATCTGGCAAATCTTCTGGCATTCTATCTGACATTTTTTCTGGCACTTTATCTGGCATTCTATCTGACATTTTTTCTGGCATTCTATCTGGCATATCTTCTGGCATCCTACCTGGCATATCTTCTGGCATATCTTCCGGCATTCTATGTGGCATTCTATCTGGCAGATCTTCTGGCAGATCTTCTGGCATATTATCTGGCAAATCTTCTGGCATTCTATCTGGCAAACATTCTGGCACTTTATCTGGCATAACTTCTGGCATTCTATCTGACATTTTTTCTGGCATTCTATCTGGCATACCTTCTGGCATTCTATCTGGCATATCTTCTGGCATTCTATCTGGCATATCTTCTGGCATTCTATCTGGCATATCTTATAGCTTTCTATCTGGCATATCTTCTGGCATTCTATCTGGCCGTTGAAGTCCAGCGGTGCACACTGAGCTGGGCAGGTCCCCGGTTGAGGTCCAGGGGTGCACACTGAGCTGGGAAGGTCCCAGGTTGAGGTCCAGCGGTGCACACTGAGCTGGGAAGGTCCCAGGTTGAGGTCCAGCGGTGCACACTGAGCTGGGAAGGTCCCAGGTTGAGGTCCAGCGGTGCACACTGAAGCTCCCAGGTTGGTCCAGCGGTGCGCACTGAGCTGGGAAGTTGGCGAAGAGCTTGGCGAAGAGTTGGCAAGGCGGAAGTTGAGGTGGAAGTTGATGCAGACATGGTCGAGGAGAAACTGGAGGAGGAGGCGAGGAGGAGGAGGAGAGGCGAGGAGGAGGAGAGGCGAGGAGGAGGAAGAGGATGGCGAGGAGGAGGAGGAGGGCATCAACTCTGATAAAATCCAACAACCCTCACCTGGCAGGTGGGGAATGTCCAACAACTGCAGTACCCTCGGCCAATCAAAGATCACAGTGGAAAATGACCCATGTATAGATGATTGTCCCGTCGAGACCTCCATTTGGTTGGCGGATTTCGCAGCACAGTTTTCTTTTTCGATGTAGTTTTCTCTTTCCAAGGGACATTTGGCACGGCAGGGAGCGGAACCTCATCCGGGTTTGGGGGAGCCTCCTTCACATTGTGCACTGCAAGCACTGCCTCCACAGAGAGGAACTTCAAGGCAGGAGCCACCAGAAGTGCCAACTTCATTTCCTGCCGAGCTGGCAAGGTGGGTCAAGAGCCTGTACCCCTGAACCCCAAACTTGGTGGGATTTATGATATATATATATATATAATATGTAAAACAAAATGTATACACCACAGGTATGATATATCCCCAGTGCACCTCCCAGATGGCTCCACCCATCGTTGGATGTTTATATATGGTAGTCTTTACTCTATTCATCCACATTTTTCGTGGTCAACCGCGTGTCGGTTAAATCATGTTAAATCCCCCACATGTTCATCCATTTCCTATGTAATGGAATGTAATGGACAATTGTCCAATTGTCCATCTTTCTAGGTGAAACCATATTCGTTCCACATTTTCTAGATCCCTGCAGTCTCCCATCAGTTTCCTACCACACAAAGCCATGCACTCCATGCGTCCAAGCATCGGGAAAAAAGTGGATCCCAGTAGCGAGCTGCGCGCGAGAGAACGGTGATCCAACTTGAGCCACCAATGGCAAGGGGCTCTTCGCTCACCAGCTTTTCCCATTTTGCATGAATTTACCAAGGCTATGTTGATGCCATATGCTATATGCTATACGTAATATGAAATATCAATCATCATCATCATCATCTACATCTATCTGTATATATATATAGTATGACAACGTTAAAAGAGGATCTGTTCTGTAATATTGTTGTAACCTGTATTTTTTATGCATGTGGGTAGATATTCATTAGATATGGCATTGTACATAATACATTATATCTATGTATATATATATATTAAAAAACAAATGTGTGAGTGTGATACACACATGGTGATTCATGGAGCAACCAGTCTGCCAAGTCCAGGGATGCACCCCTTAGGCCCCATGCTTGATGCAAATGCCTTGGAAGCTTTCCTTGGCAGGAAACCACTGGACATCACCCCTCTATGGATGATAGATCTACTGAGTTTCCATGGCAATGATGGATCACTTGAGGGTACCCATGAAATCCTCCAAGCTAACTTAATTAAGCAGCTCAAGCACTCTAGACTCTAAACAGAATCAGTTCACGAGTACAAACCAGCCCAGCCTTTGGCCACCTGATTTCTAAGCCAAACGGCCCACTTGCGCCAGTTCTGTCGACACCTGCAGGCCACAGCCAGCAGGAGTTCATGCATCCAATTGAAAAGAAAACAAACAAAACCTCAAAAATGAGACTCTCAAAATCGATTGATTGGACTGGATATGACATACACACACACACATATGTATATATATATATATACATATGTATATAAACATGATTATATGAATATGTGTGTGTAGTATTGTGTCATATGAACAAATATTAAACATTAGACTAGATATTTCCCATAGGATCTATATATATTTATATATGTATATAAAATAGGACTACCCAAATTCACCACACTGCAATGCCCTGAAGGCCCCAGGGCACCAAGCAAATTAAGTGCACATTTCAAGAAGCCGCGGCCTCTTGGTGGCTTCCACCATGCAGGTCCGTGCTTCTCTAACCTCGGAGCTTCACAACAACCAAGCTGGGATGTACTCTCAGAAGACTTGGGTGCGCCAGGATGTCCGAAACCAAAATGGATTCCAGGGTATGGCCGGAGATACCTCAAATGGCCATGTTCATACAACAAAATTTTGGGGGCACTCCGGATTCCATGGTAGGCAGAGTCAAAGCCCAAGACATCAAAACCAACAGCCCCAGTTGTGAAGCCACAACCTTTTGAGTGTCCGACCCTGCTTTGGTGCAGATGCACGGCCGCCAGGTTTGCCCAAGCTTGACCATCCTGCCAGCAGCGTGGCGTGTTGACCCTGTGCCATCTGACTTCTGGTCACGTTTAGTCATCAACCACCTTTTAGGATGGCAATAAAAATCTAGAACGAATGTTCTAAGGGGGCAACTATGCACTAAATTCACTAAAAGGACCAGTTGACCTATCACCAACTAGCTGAACATCTGCAACGTCTGCTCATCTCAGTGTGGTCTCACCAACCATCAACCAACATCACTATGATCCCGCTCGCCCCATGTCACTGCTGAATTCCAGCCCTAAAAACCGCCACCCGTGTGGCCTCGTCATTGATGGACAGGACCCGAGAAAAAGCGACCATGGCTTCATCCATGCGCTCCAGCTGCATCAAACCCACACCTGCAGGGATGCCAATGGACACTTCAGCTTCAACAGATCAACAAGTTGTGGAGCAACAAAAGATGTGAACACTTGTCAAAAGAAATATGACATGGATCTACACATGGAAGTGAAGATTCATTTCCAACCAAATGTTTTTGTAAGTCAGAATTGATGACTTCCAGGGAGGTGTGGCAGTGTGGCCTCTCATATATATATATATATCTCTGTACAGCAAGTTCCTGAGGTCCATATGTTTGCTGCTTCCTTGGTCGTTTAGGTCGGCTGCCCAGCCTAGAGTGAACCAAATGCCTTCGTACATTGGGTTGATGTCCAAGGCCAACTTGAAGGCTTCCACGCTCTTGGCAATCTGCTTCTTGTCGTAGTAGTACCTGCGACAATCCGACCCCAGCAATGCACCACCTCCTCCTATAGGAACGACCCTAAATTCGCCACCTGGTTTGAAGCCGGGACCTAATCCATCATGAATCAGGACTAGTTAAATTGTAGGTTGGTTGGTATATATCCATCATATCCATGCCACACATCTGCAGTACACACACACACACTAAACATGTAATTCCAAGAGTTAGGAATCATCCAAGCATGACCTGCCTGCCAAGCGAACGCTGGGCTCTGGCGAAGCGCTTGTTGGAGAGCTGCCAAGCAGTCTCATAGTGCGCTGGGTCCCTCATGACATCCTTATGCTTGAAGGCAGTTTCGAGCAGGGCTCATGAGGCTCATGACCTACTATTGCATTCAGAATGTTGACCTCACTCTTTGGACATGAAACATCTATCAAATATCTTTAAACAAATACATCCTGATAAATTGCAGTCGTCCTACCTCAAGTGGCTCAAGTCATACTGCTTACCCTCTGGTACTTTAATAATATAGAAACTGATCATGAAATATACCGCTAGATGGTATTCCCATTAAAAACCCCAATGCCTAGGGTATTCCCAAAAATCACACACATAAAAAGGACGATGTCAACCAACAAATAACATCAAATAAAGCCAGGTCAGCTGAGCAGCACCCAAGCAACACCACAACCGTGGAGACGGATGCTTTTCGATGAGGCCCTGCCGACAAGATGGGTCAAAGCGTGTGGAGAACCAACTGGCCTCCTTGGCCAAATGGCCAAGCCTCCGTTTTAGGTGATCTCTGGGGCGAAAAGACCCGTCCAACTTGTGTTTTGTGTGTTCTTTTTAATGATGTTTTTTTTGTTTAAAGTGTTGATTGCTTCTGAAATCATGCATTTGTTGTGATGATTTTAATGATTCCAAATGTGAACAAACAAACAAACAAACATTATGTTATGTTATCAATATCTCGGTTTGTGTGCGCAGTTTAGATAGGTGATTCAACATCCCCCGTCCTTCAGCATGTCCTCAGCCTCGACATTCCGCTCAGCGATGATCAAACATTCCACCGCTTCAGGCCACATGCGCAACTTCTTGAACTGCTCATGAGCCGTGCTCACCATTCCTGGGCGGAATGGAAAGGCTCCCATGCTGGACAGGAACCTGGAAGTCATATGATTCATCCACATCTCGCATCTATATAGAACCTATTTCCAAAAAAATATGCCAAGCTAATACGACTAAAGACCCTAAATACCCTAAGAAATCTAAGAAGTGTCTGGCTTTACATTTACATCTCCTTGTGAGGTCAATCGAGTCTGCCTCATGCACACTGCAGTCCAAAGATCCCATTTTCATCATCCTGGAGGCCACTTCATGCTGCAGGTGGAATCGTGCAGGGTAGCCACCTTGGTGAGGGTCAAAGTGGACCTTCAACACGGCCGTTGCAATGATGTGTATAGCATACAATGTATGCAAACATGATATTTAGATCGGTATATATATATATATGTAAACATATAATATACTGTACAGATAATATATATATAATTATCTATATATATATATGTATAAGAAGCTTATAATCTATGTTTCCATGATTTCCATGTGTTTTCCCATGTCAGGCGGAACATGGCATCATTTGTGTTCAAATCGAACAATTTGATCGACACATGTATATTATTATATATATATCCATCCACACATATGCAGCACATCTATATTGATGTACAAAGTAGGAATACAAAGAAATAAAGAGAGAGCAATCGGGAAAACCTTCCCATGGGATCCCATGGGTATGGCGGACTCTGGCACCGGAAGTGGGCCAAGGAAAAAATGCCACAAAACAAAAATGTAACTAGGCCATAGCGCTTTCTTCAAAGGACTATGTGACTATGGGCCGGAGCAGCCAAAGGAAAGACTGGGCGAGTCAATCCGCACCCTCCACCTGTCCTGTGCGCAGGGGAGCAACAGCCAAAAGGTTCGGCGTAGGAAGCCAAAACAGAAAAAATATGGGAATAGAGAGAGAGAGAGATATATAGATTATAAATATATTATAAAATATATATTATTATACAAAACATGCATAAAGATGATAAAACATGAATATGAAGTTAATCTCTGATTGGCGACAGAAGACACGAGTATCATGCACATTTGTTGTTCATCCATTCGGCTGCGGCTAAGGGACAGCTGTGGGCCATTCTCAGGCGATGTCCGGCCGAAGGTTTCTCGTCCGTGAACTGATCAACCAACGACTGGAGCTGGAAGGCGGCGCGCTCACGGGTCTTGTTGCCTGGCTCTCCCATGCTCCTATGCCTCCCCCATGGCCATGGCTTAACCACTCCCAAACCTTACAGTTGGACCTGAGTGAAAAGCGTGGAAAGGTGACGAGTAACAATCCTTTGTTCTTGAACTTCCAAGTTAGAAACATTAATGAATGACGAAGCTGTCAATGTAGCCACCACTGGTCAAGAATTGGTCCATTATAAACACAAATGTTCTGCCAACAAATCAGCCTTTCACACTCAAAGATTTCAGTTTCTTGCTGTCGTGGCGCGGTGATGCTCTGCCCGGCAGCGGAACCATAGGCCGCAACTGAAAGTGAGCCAATTCACAGTGAATAAGGGTCCCTCTCCGGCTTCCTCCTCAAGCACTTGATCTTGCCTAAGGAGCTGAAGCTGAAGAGAGCTGAAGCTAATGAAGCTTCACATAGCTTCACCCCAGTGGAAAAGGCAACGGTCATAAGTGGCTGGTTGGGGCATCCCAGGGGTTCAGAGAAGAGCATTTGGAAACAAAGAGCTCCTGGAGTCAAGCCAGTTCTGTGCTTGAACAATGCAGCTGAGATTCTTCTTCAGCACACGCTGTGCCAGTGCATTGACCTCAGATTTTCAGGAGGTGGCATGACCCCATCGTGGTGGGAAACCTGTCACAAACGTCCACAAAAGCAAAACACAACTTGAATAAAGGCAGAAGCTGGACCATCTGGACTTAGCAAATTCAAGGCGCTTCTTCCAAGACCATCTCATCATTGGGGTTACTGGACGCCCAAATGTAGTGACATCGCGACAAAAGAATCAACTGCTCTGCAGCCTTCAGTGGTCGCTCAATTTCATGACGCTCGGTCCTGGGGTCAAGCCAGTGGCAAGCTTGGTGCTGGGTTACCACTTGCCAACCGTAGAGGGGCCCTATAGGTTTAATCACCATGGCCCCCTCTAACTCTACGTTGACAAATGAGAAAAAAAGAAAAGCTTCGAGACGCGCCAACTGAGAAACTCTGACAATGACTGCGACAGCTTAGGCGTCTCCAGCACATCAGTCATGTCATCCACCGTCTTCAGGCTGAGAGTGCCAGGAGCCTTGGCCATCTCATCGACTTCCACGCCTTTGACGTTTTCCTTTCCCTTGGCCTTCACGACTAGCTGAGCATACTCCGTGGTCTGATGTTCTCGTTTGATGCCTAGAACTCCTGTGAGTTCATAGTTGAAATCCACCACTTTGCAGGCCGCATCTGAGGTTTGCTGCCACACCTTCAGGGTGTCAACATGTTCCAGTTTGGTTCCAAAGGCTAAAGATGTAGAGAAAAAACAAAGAAACCATAGTTGAAGAGACCGACGTGTCATGTTGCGGCAAACTGATTCCTAGAAATTTCTAGATGTGTGGTAAACCAAAGTATGTGTAGGTAAACTCCACTTGACTACAGTCTACATCAAATTTCCATGTATGTCATCAAAATATACAGCAAGGCGCCCCTAGACAATTACTTGGGTTGGTTGAAAATTAAAAGCTTAGCTTAACTCGAACTTATAACTGGTAGATACTTATAGTGGATATCCATGAATGGCTTTGTAAACCTCCAACTGAGGTGCCCTTCCAACCTTCAACCGGCTATACCAACAGAGCCGATTCGCCAGCTCCACCAGCAGCGCCGCCCGCACCGCCTCCGGCGCCTCCCGCAGCGTCGGCCGCGCTGGAAGAGCACTGGGCGCTTCGTCGTCGAAGCATTCCAGCAGCGCCAAGGCGTCGCCGGCGGCTTCCTCCTCAGGTTGGATGACCTGCAGATGAGAAGATTGGCGAAAATTGGGAAAACTGCAGAAAAATTGGCAAGCAACAACAAACAAAACAAATTGGACATGTCTTGCCTATAAAATGAGAACATGGGATAACAATGGATAACATGGGAACAAACACCTGGGCGTGTGCATACTGGCATTTGAGACAAAGTTGCGAGAGGAGGTTTTTGGAGAACGGCGCCTCCATTGCCACTCTTTTTCATGCATTAATTTGCATGCCTTGAATGAATGCATCTGATAACTACCGGGCCATGATTTTGAAGCAAAGTGGGCTCTTTATTTATGAGAAACGTACCCCAAAAAAAAGAAAATTGCGATTGCACATGGTATGGCAGCTACTTTCTACAGCGAGCATTCACAATTTCTAATTCATGCATTCTTGTCAGTCATAATCATCCCAGATTCAACGGTCTGATCCTGAATTGGAGGCAAAAATCACCCAACTCGCGTGTCCCGCCTGTGGAGTCCCCACCGGCATGGTACCACGCTTGTAGCTTCGTAGCAAGGGTGCGGTAGCTTGCTGCAACTCCACCCGAGCACGGGGGTCCAACAAACCAGCAGTGGACAGTGGGCTGGTGGTATCTCCAGCTTCACCAATCAGATCTGCGATGGACGCCTTGAAGAGGCTTGGGCACTGGCCACATCCTCGTTCCGAAGCATCTGCAATGCTCAGTTGCCATACGAAAGCACAGCGTGCTCGCCAAAATGGCAAGGATGCAACGTCTGGTTGAAGGCTGTCGGATGGCAAAAGGCCAAGTAGCAATGCTGAAAGCCACAAGTAGCCAGGACATGCAAGAAGCTCATAGGCTGGCTCACCATCAGATTCCAAAGCAGCCAGGATTGGTGGGCTTGTTGCGTCATCCTGCAGCAGTTGTCCAACAGAACGTATGACAATGTCTCGACTTCTCTGACCGAGTGGTGTACCACATTGAAACTGTGGGTAACAATTTTGGCCTGGGGACCTTCGGAACACAGATGTAGATGATGTTCCGAAATCACAGACCGTCTGAGTTTGGGTGGGCTACATCCGTATTCAGATCACTTTGTTCATACTTAAAGTTCTCTCTCTCTCTCTATCTCTCTTCCTCCATACAATCAACGGGTCACAATGTCTTTTTTGGTTCAGCCGTACCCTTTTTGAGTGGCACAACTGTATTCAATCCCATCAGGGCCAAAAGAGTGGCCTCTGCCAGCGCTGAAGGGTGGAATGGCAGGCTCGCATCATCTTCCTGCACAAGTTGAATTGGGGATGAATCAAAACACCGGCACCCTGGACTGGAAATAGAACAGCTGGGGAATGATAGCGATTGGATGTTCGCCACCACATTCATATGATAAAAACATATAAAAACCATATGGTTTTCACTTTTCACCCATCCCCAAAGGGCAAACAAGACAACATCAGTGCAACTCACCTCATGAAAACAAGGCAGTGCCAACCTGTAGGGATGGAGTCCTAGCACCTGTAGAGGGGATGCTAGAAGCCTCAACATGTAGCCAAAACCATCCAAAACCCACGCGTAGAGCATTTGGAGGTGGCCAACATCATTCTTGCCACAAACAAGTTCAACACAGCTAGCACCTAAGGCCGGCAAGGCCTGGCAAACCAATGATCAAAAAACAACTGGTCGGCCTGCTCTGGTGGTCCAGTCCAATTGGCCCGGACAAAGTGCTGCAAGAACGCCACAGCCAAAGCCAGCAGGGCACTATGCCGGACCAAAAGAGCTTCGTCATTCTCAGCTGCAGAACGGAAGCGCTCACAGGCAGCCAGAATGTCAGCCTCAAGCAAAAGGCCCCAGGAACTAATGGAATGACATCATGAAACTGTTGTTTTTGTATCTCAGAGTCCGCAAGAAAACAAGGCTTCAAGACATCACAGTGGTGACTGATTCTGCAACATGGTGGCTTCCCAGAAACCCTGCGGCCTGCAGCGTTTCGATGCCAGCACCCATTCCATCAGCCACCTGACAGGGATGCCGGGCCATAGTGGAGACAGAATGGTCGGGAATTCCCTGAGGGGGTGCAGAGGGAGTATCCAAGATCCTGAGCAACACCAGGTCACACCAGGCCAACGCATGGAAAAAATATTAAATATTCAAAACGTCTGCGAGAACCTTGAGTGGCCTTATAATGCCTTATAGATCTATGAGTCTGTGAGCATGTGCACATGAGATTGCCACCCTCCATAGCACTCAGCGGGAACCAACTTTAAATTCTAAATAAATCCAGCTACTGGTACCTTCAAGCTGTTGAGAGTTCATAATCCAACCGCCAACCATTTACCTGTGGAAATCACTGATGGTTGATATTGCCATTTTAGTTCCTTGTATCAACTTACACTCCCAATACTCAGTCGGTTTTCATGAGATCGCGCCACCACAAGAACAACACCAGATCCCAACTTCAGGTTGGATCATGCGCCGTGGCCAATCTGAGATACCTTACAGTTGTTTTTGAAAGCTGGTAGCGGTGATATTTAACATCATATTCCCATTCCAATCTGGCAAAAGATTGCGCATCAGATCTACTGAGCTGGCCTTCACCAAGATGAACCCGTCTCAACAGTTAAATTCCCATTAGACCGCCATTAAAAGTGCAATTAACTTCCATTAAATCCAATAAATCCCCAGGACATCTCATTTAAGTTCCCATTAAAATCCCAATAGGTGCCATTAAATTCCCATTGATCACCATTAAATCCCATTAAATTCCCATTAAATCCCATTGATCATCATTAAATCCCGTTAAATTCCCATGAATCACTATAGATTTCCCTGGATCCCCACCTTAGCTCGTGCGAAAGAGGGCACCAAATCCCTCAGCCATGGCTCTGCCAAGAGCTTCGCCAGGCGTGCGCCTTGCGCCAGATCCACCAGGCTGCGCAGGGACTCGCAGTCTGCCTGCAGATCCAGGGGGCAAGTTGGGGATGAACATCTTAGGTTTTTTGAATTGACATTTGGATGATTTTATGTCATGATGATTTTTCCATTGTTTTTTTGATGACCTGATGCGATTGTTGCAACATGGTTAAAACTTTTATTTGATGTTAGACGACTTTATTTTGTCGAATTGAGAACACTTTCCATCTTTGTATGTTTGGGGGGTGAACATGCTTAGGGGGCGAGGATGAAAGGGGGCAAAATTCAGTGGATGCGGATGGCACAACAGGGTTTGGCGCAAAGAAAAGGTGTGCCGCGCATTGGATTCGACACATTTTGACACAGCGAAACCAAAATTCGAGAGATCCAGTTACAGATATTGGAAATTACCCAGATACAGCTGGAAACCCATAATATTATATATTATATTGGAGTTGAAAGGATTTTAGATGATCTTATTCTGGTGGTCACCCTCATGTAAAATATTGTAAAAATAAATACTGATATTATACTTAGGATGATTTTTTGTAATATGTTCGAAACATGTTAAAAATTTTGTTTGCAGGCCATCTGGTTTCCGAAAATTATGTGCCCTTTAAAATTATAGAAAGTTATTGGCGAACATATTGGGGATATAAAGTCTCGAAGGAAGTTTAGAAGTCAAACTTCCGACAATATGGACAAGCAGAGGTGGGAAGAGTCAGAGAAGAGAAGAGAACAGAAGAGAAGAAGAGAAGATCAGCGAAGAGAAGGAGTCAGAAGAAAGAAGATAAGAAAGAAGACCGAAAGTCGCGAAACACTTGCGTTTTTCCAATGATTTGTGGCGCCGGAGGGTCAAAAAGTAGGCTCCCTAAAGCGGCGGGTGCGGAGCTATCTGGCCAGATAAGAAATAAAAAGTTGCACGTCGTTGTGGCGCGAAGCACATTTGCAAGTGAACAAGTTTTAAAAAAAAACTCACGTTCGGAACATTTTTGGATGTTGAGCTGTCGGAAAAGTGCACGCCGTGGCGGCGCGAAGCACATTTCGAAGTCAAAAGTGTAAAAACTGACGGGTTCGGAGCACTTTTGGAAGTTGAGATGTTGAAAAAGTGCACGCCGATGTGGCGCGAAGATGCGCGAAGCACATTTCAAAGTCAAAATGTACAAAACACACCAGGTCCGGACTACTTTTGGAAGTTCAGATGTTCAAAAAGTGTACACCGTTGTGGCGCGAAGCACGTTGCAAGTCAAAATATACAAAACACCTCAGTGTCGGAGCACTTTTGGAAGTTGCGATGTTGAAAAAGTGCACGTCGTTTTGGCGCGAAGCACATTTCGAAGTCAAAAGTTGAAAAATAAACTAGGGGTTCGGAGCACTTTTTGAAGTTGAGATGTTCAAAAAGTGCACGCCGTTGTGGCGCGAAGCACATTTCAAAGTCAAAATGTGCAAAACACAGCACGTTCGGACCACTTTGGGACGTTCAACCGCGCCACACTACACAACAACGACAACAACCACAACCACAACCACAACAACAACAACAACAACACTAGTACTAGTATTACTACTAGTACTAGTACTACTACTAGTACTAGTACTACTAGTACTACTAGTACTACTAGTACTACTAGTACTACTAGTACTACTAGTACTACTAGTACTACTACTACTACTACTACTACTACTACTACTGCTACTGCTACTGCTACTGCTACTGCTACTGCTACTGCTACTGCTACTGCTACTGCTACTGCTACTACTACTGCTGCTGCTGCTACTGCTACTACTACTGCTACTACTACTACTACTACGACGACGACGACTACTACTACTACTACTACTACTACAATACTACAATACTACAACAACAAGTACTACTACTACTACTACTACTCCTTCTTCTACTACTACAACTGCAACTGCAACAACTACAACTACGACCACAAATACCACTACACTACAGTACACTACAACTGCAGCTATAACTACAACTACAACTACAACCCCACTGGGCTACACTACACTCCACTCCACTCCACTTCACCACACTTCACCACACTTCACCACACTTCCCCATCACTACACTACAACTCCAACCAGCTTTCAGTCCATCTGTGGATTCGCTCTGCCATCCATGATTCACAACAACCAACCTCTCCTATAGGTTTCCTATCTCTGAAACTTCCGCCACCGCCTTGTGCGGTTCTACTGGTATATGTGAGGATCACGCTGGTGACTCTTTGTTTACAGCTTTTGAATGCTTTTGAATGGTGTTTTGATTTGATGGTCTGGATGAATCTATCCCATGGGGTAGATCATTGAGAAGATTTGGCATTCAAAGATGGAAACCAAACATCATGCCGAACATCATTATGTTCCATGATAGATAAACATCATTTACAAATGGGGGCGGTTTCGTCCCAATAGCTGTACCTGAGGATCATGAGTCCTGCAGGTTGGTGGCCCAAGGTAATCCCCTCCCACGAGTATTAAATACCTCCCTGAATTCGGAGGCCATATGATGGGGGCTCCTTAATGTTGGAATTATGTTCAGAACCAATACACATAAACCCGAATCACACAGACATGTGCAGATTCTGTGTGTATGTGATCATCTACCGTGATTCTACGGCAATAGTCTCCACAATTCTCAACTGAACTCCCACCCAACTTCCAGCAGCATCCAGCAGCATCCAGCAGCATCCAGCAGTGCCGCAGCATCCAAAAGCGCCTTCACTGCCTCTCCAAGTCCATCGGCCCGTGGCACCACGGCGGGTTCAATGGAGAGCAAGGCATAGTCGATTCGCAGCAGGAAGTGCCGCAAAGGATCCATTTGCGGTGCAAAATGCTGAGGAAAAGGAGTGATGACTTGAATATTGCAGCTCATGGTGTTTTCCAGACGTCTGTTAGAGCTGGCCAGGTTTATTGCGTTTTGTCTTTGCTTGAGACAAGTTGAAAAGCAATGTCATGAAGTTGCCTTTGGCCACCCATTGCTTCTCACCAAACTTGAGGCCTGGAAAAGAGTCGAACATTGTCCAATCAGTGATCCGCCAGAGGGGATGGGATCGCGTCATGGTTTTCCAAACTGTCCCAAAACCCTGGTTGTCACAGAAAGGTCGAGGTTGGCTGACATGGGACCATCCTGTGAGTCCGTGATCTCCAAGCTTTGTATGTTGCTTGAGCCACGGCGAGCCGATGGATTCATGGCGGTGAGTCAAGGACCTGGCCATAGGGGAAGGACAATTTCAGAAATGAACTGCTCTAGATCTATATATACATATATTCTCTATATATATATACATATATTATCATATATTATATTATGTTGATTATATTTAAAAAAAAAACTATAAAGTTAATTAATAGTATGTACAATTATAGATAATTAAAGATCATTGGATACTATCGATACGAGTACCTATAGATCCCAAGCGACCACTGCAGCCTCCGCAGCCTCTGAGATGGTGGCTGTACGACGACGATCGCAGCGGCCCCAGCACCGGACAGCAGCGAGGCGTCCATTGAGCCCTGGGAATCCATGGGGATCCATAGGGTGGTGCGCCTATGAAAATATTTACTCTCTGGTAAACTAACATAGCTATAGAAAATCACCATTTTGAATAGGTAAGTAAATTATAAATGGGGTATTTTCAATAGCTATGTTGAATTACCAGAGGGTATGCATGTTTCATCATTTTTCGGATCTGATGGACGTGAGCTTAAACCAAAATCTTTGAACATGGGAGTTGTCTGAAAATTCGGATGGCTTGATGCCCTCCTTCTCGCGGGTTTGGTGCATTGTCTTGGAGAATGATTACCCATGTGATTACCCAAATCAGTCTTTCTCAGAAAAGCAGCACGTGGTCTGAAACAACGGCTTTCAGATTTGATTTGCTGCTTCAGTTGTGCACATCAGGGGTTGTTTCCATGTTCCTCTATCCTACATTTGTTCCTGCTTGATGTCCAGGGGGAAAAATGTCAGATCCATTCAGTGAACACAGCAAACACTGCTTTTTTCTTAATGCCATCACCTTGATATGCTGCCTGATCCCAAATAATTATCCCAGAAATAGTGTAGCATGGGCTACATACAAGATACACCATGATGCACGTGATTGCAGGTGTATATATACAATATGTGAACATTTGCACAAAGAGACTGTTCCATCACCCGGTTCAATCACTTCCAACTGGTGGCCTTCGACTGTGGACAGTATCTTTGCTCGACTGCCTCAAGCTACGGCAAGGTGGACTTGAGGTGAAGCAAACAAACATTTGTCTGGGGGTCCTTGCGATGTCACAATTCTCGAACGAGGGAAATATTGTTGCGTTGTGTCAAACGTTTTGAGAGATACGATGCAATTCTTCCTCAGCAAAACCACTTGCTCAAAACATGCTAAAACTGCGAGCAGCTCCACTACAATGTCAATGTGGGGTGCTCTCACCACTTTTGGCAGACAATTGAGCTGGATCATGATCGAAGTTGCTAACCAGCAATTTGCCCAATGGTTTCTAATCCCAACTTACTATTACTTTACGATAATAATATATCATGATATACTGGAATTCTAAAATCAAATTGCAAATTCTTAAAAGTCATAGTATATTATAATTATAACTCTTACTATACCATCACACGAATCCAGTTACCAACTTTGATAGTTCATTCATATACACCAATGATATCATCATTATAAAATCATGGAATCATTATCCATGAATATCCATGACAAATCCCATCATCCCATCATCCATTCACAACCCCATCTGCGTAGAAAATCTGAGCTTCCCCCACTGCGCAATGAGGAGCTGATCCCAGACCTGAGAGCAGCTGGATCCATGGAGGAGCCGAGGAGCGCTTTGGCTTCTCATTTTCGGGGAGGTTTGTGATATTTTATGATGAATGAATATGAATTATAATGTATCATGAAGATACATTTCAATAGCTTACATTTCAATGGTGATGAGTTATAGTGAACATGGCTTAGAGATCACAGGCAGAACATACTCATCAATACTCATCAGCAGAACATTGAAACAACGGCTTCCGAAGCTTCCTGCACCAGCTGGTTTTGTACTGGGGGTCAGCAACGTCAGGGGTGAATACTGCCACTTCATGGGGGTTCCCTTCAATAAGATCAACCATAAACCATCAACTGAACAACCAGTGTGACCAAAACCCATTGATGCACGGTGGGTCCATTTTCGTTCTCTCTCCTCTGGCGTCAGGCTCCTCACTTCCGGCCAGCCACTGGAGTCCTGACAGGGCGAAAGGTTTGTGGCGCCTAAGCCTAGGAGGTGCTAAAGTCATTCATTCATTCATATATATATAATATATATATATATATATGAAATGTCTCACCCATCCAAAAGAGCGCATCTTGAATCGTTGCAGTTTGCCACAAGCAGCTTCAAATGCATGGGGCTTCCATTTGCAACCATGAGACTCTTTTCAACACCAGCGGAGGCCATCTGATGACCAGAAGAAATCGCAGGAGAATGACAAGGGAGGCATAGCACATGCCCATAGACGCCAGCAGCACTCCTGGTGGTGAAAATCATCAGCACCCCTCGTTGAAAAACACCACGAGTCGTAGATCCACCTGATGAGTTTTTATTGATCCACTGTCAATGTAACAAAGACTACCTGACTAGAATAACATAGAAGAGGAAAAACGCTGTCTTTCCCACAATTTAAATATCAAAGGTCCACGCTGAACATCAGTTGTTTTTACACGCTTGGTCCTCGTTGTTCTATAGAAACCCAAGTTTCCTCACAGTTTCTCAGGTTCCGGACAGGCTCCGATGTCCTGTTCTGTGCAGCCGAGGCTCCAAATTGCGTCAAGCCCGCTTCTCCCAGGACCCCTCTCAGGGCGAACAAGGACATGGTGATGAGATTGGGCAGCATCAATGGTAGCGAGAAAAGAACATAACGTCCTCAGCAAATTCGCGGGCCCACTGGATATATGGCAAAACTGGCACTGCGAATGTATGCCATGCCATCAACTGCTGATAGGGGGCCCATGGCTTCTCTAGATGAGTGAGGGTTGGAGATTGCCCCAGGTGAATGGAGGTGAATCTATGCTCAGAATTTGTTGTTCTTCGTCATTCTTCGTATCTGTTTATATTACCAGCGTCTTTCCAACTATGCCCAGCATTGCCTAGGCCCCCCCGCCGTCTTCATACAATCCAGATGATTCCAACGTATTCAATGCCCCTGAAGCGTGTGGATTCGAACCATTTTCCCAACTGACGGGAATGAGATGAAACTGTGAAAACTTGCCGTGAAACCTTCCATAATCCTTCAACCAGTATCAACCCGTTGTTATGGGTCCTATACAGTAGGTGATCCATTTCTTCCTGAGATGGCCCCAAATCGGCCCAGCAACGTGGCGAGGACCAGCATTGCCACGTGGCATCTGGGCGATCGCGGCGCGAGGCCACGTCCATGGAGAAATGCCTGGGGGAGTGGTGCAGTTTCCATGCAAAACATGCCAGTTTTATTTGACTATGTTTTCAGTTCATGTTTCCAGTTGGTTGAAACTTTGTTCAAACAAATTGGCTGAACATGTCATTTTATTGATCTTTTGGATGACTCCGACAGTTTGGCAAATTCAAAGATAAGGGATCTGACAGAGTTGCATGCCAAATATTATGTGTTTTATACATTATATATGTATCTGTATAATTACACACATAATATATATATATATAATTACATACACATATATTTATCTATGTATATATATATATATTATGTATATTTTTGTCATGGGCAACTTCAAAGAAAACACGTAACTCGTAACGTATCGTAATGTATCAAATATATCCAGCACAGCCTTGGGACACTGGTGGGCTGCTGCTGATTCACTTACATTTGTGTCAATCAATTTTGAGTAAATTGATGTGCTTACAAGAGGAATCGTGGCCGCCAATTGACTATTCCAAGTATACCAAATCACATATGATATGTCGCTCAATCGGTTAGAATCATTTCTGAATCAATGATGTGTTGTTTGCATATATCTTGCCCAAACCACCATTCTTAAACAAATAACCAACCAGATCCTTTCAATGGAGGCTCAGCATTTGAGGATAAACCAAGAACTACTTAATACACACCGATTTATTCAGGATTGACATGAATTGACATGAATAAATCCCAACTATTTTGATGTTCACCCAGCATTAGCAGGGTTTTGATTCATAGCCATTTGGCAAGGCACTGTCTTCCACCAGTCAGCTGTCGCACTGTGACCCGTAAGGTGCCAACACTGCTGCCGACCAGCGATGCAACCTGCGCCAACTGCGACTTGCAACCGTGGTAAACCATAATGAAATCAATGGTAAATCCATGTAAATCAATGGTAAATCAGTAAATCCATGTAAATCCATGGTAAAGGCAACAATAGATCATGATAAACTTCAAATTGGGAGATGGATGGGGGCGGTTTATGGGAGATAGAGCTAACATGAGCTAACCCTATTTTGCAAGATTTGGGGGTCATGGTTTATCGCTTCACCCCATCTGGTCCCGCCACAACCACCTTCCCTGTTGAAATACGTGGATTTGTTGACTAGCTCACTAATATATATATATATATATATACTTTGGACCAGCCTGGGACTTAGGGACTTATAAGTCATGAAGTAAGTTCACTTATAAGTTATAAGTGGCTATGTGGCATGTCAAGTTAGTTATAAGTCTCTAACTGGTTCCTAGTGTGGGGTAGGTTAAGTGGCACTTACTATTGACTTAGGGTGAGATATAAGTTCTATACGTTAAATGATCATGACTTAGAGATCACTTAGCGACCACTTAGCTTGGATTTTGAAATGTAAGTTTGTGCAAGGGTTTTGGGTTAGCTCTGAAATCACGATGGTTTTTGCAGGCATTTTGGCTGCAGGCATGTCGGTTGAAAAGCAATTGGAAGCTGCGCAGAAATTCCTAAGAGGAATTCGTTCGCTGACCTCCTACGAGGAGGTCAGGGATAAACAGGCGCTGTGATCTGGATGTGCCTCCACATCCAATAATACTACATGGTTTCTCTTTGATTCCGGCTTCCTACGAGGAAGTGACGAATGCCTGGCGTGAACAATTGGGTTGGAATCAGATGTACCTGTCTGACGACTTGCATCTTGCTGGCAAATGGCTGGCGATCTTGGCATGGCACTTCTCTATAGGCGAGAAAATCGCATTAGGGAATTTCTCTATTTTCTCTGGTGTCGACGCTGTGCATGGCTTCTACGGCAAGCTCGACGCAGCCTTCGGGGTGCAAAGGTGGAGGCAGAAACATCACCATAAGGATTCACCCCAAAAAATCGTTGTTTGTCCGTGTCTGCGGATGTCTGCGGATGTCTGCGGACAGAGAGTATGAAACTGACATGTCTGCGGCACTTGTCTGCGGAGCGTGGAAAAGGTGCTTCCGAGTGGGTTTCCGTGTGTCTGCGGTGTCTGCCAAGAGGGAGAATCCTGCTGGGACACATGGGACATGTCTGCGAGATGTCTGCGGGATGTGCAACCGGCAGAATCATGTCTTCCTAAGGATGTCTGCGGGTTTTGTTTGAAAAGTGAAAAAAAATCAAAGGTGCATGGGACATCGCCTACGGGGCGATAGCGGGGGCAAGACCCAAGTTTCACTATGCGCTCCATCTCCAAGAACAAATTCACAGATGGCGGCGACACATTGATTGCTTTGCTGGGGATCGCAAGCATCGTGTGTTTAAGTCCATTGTGGCTCCGCGCCTGACACGGCTGAATTGCTTCACCCGGAGCACGCTGTTGCAAATGACAGAAACGGAACTCACTACGAGTCACCTCGAAAGTGAGTACACTGGACAACTCATAGGGAAGCCCACGCAAGACGTGGTGCTAGCAATGGAGCTCGGAATATCTCCTGAAAGTTTCTCTGCCAAAGGCATCCAAATCTATTGCGTCGAATACCCACGTGGTAGCTTCGTCCAAATGTCAGCTACGTGTTGCATAGAAATCTTACATGGTCTGTCAAATGTACATGGCTTCTACGTCGTGGTGCGAAAATTGCAATCCTTCTTGCAAAGAATCATTATCAAATGGAAGCGCCTATCTGGCGCAAAGACAATCCTTGCAGCTTCTACTTTGATGCACGAGGAGCGTATGCGTTTGCGCCGCCAAGATCAAGACGGTCTTTGGCTTTTACGTTAATCCATGACATCAGGAAGCAGCAAAAAAAACAAAATTGACGGGCGGAGAACACCCCAAGACCATGTCAACATCCATGTTTTCAAAAATGACAAGCATTGCAAAAAATCCCGATGAAACACTTAGCTCACTTAGCGGCCACTTAGCTCCCACTTAGCACACCATCAAACCTAAGTTTCCTAAGTGCCACCTAATTACCAGCTAAGTTCCTAAGTGCCAAAGCGGCTCCATAGTATATATAATTACTTCCATGAATGTTGATATCAATGTGCTACTTTCCCTGTAAATCCCCTAAATGCATCAAATTAAACAATGCCATTTGTTGTAGTCTTAAAGCCAATTGTAAAATAATCCCCGAAGTTTACCACTAGTGAGTGGGATCGAAACCATCCCCAAATGGTAGTTTATGGCATTGGGTTTCCCACAATATTATATAATATGTTCCTTTTGGAAAACATCACCACTAATTATATACTATAGTCATATTATAGTCAGTATGCATAAAAGATCATAAAAGTATTTACTAATCATTACTTACTGATATATCAAATACGAATCATTACAAATCATCACTAATCATTATATCATGTAATATGTTACTAATCATTATATACTCTCCGATATACTATATTTCAACCCCCATTAAATAATAACAAAAAAATAAAAATAAAAAACAGTAACAAATTGGGATTACATATCAATTACTGGAATGACATAACAATTACCAATTTACATCAATTTACCACTTAGAATTGAATATCAATGGGGATTAAAATGGATTACCCTCTGGTAAACTAACATAGCTATTGAAAATGACCCTTAATAGTGGATTTTCCCACTAAAAATGGTGATTTCCCATAGTTATGTTAATTTACCAGAGGGTAACTATAAATTCCCAAGCCCCATTTTACTGGAGCCAATCTCAGCCAGGTGGCTCCATCACAGGCCGCCGCCAGGCCCAAGAGGCCTCCCGCAGCAGTGAGGCCAACGGCGATGTCAGTGGTGACCTATGGCAGCGTGCCCCAAAGATGGTGATTTCATGGTGATTTCATGGTGTGTTATGGATATCCATGGTGATTTTCATGGTGATTTCATGGTGAGTTATGGATATCTATGGTGATTTAATGGTGATTTGATGGTGAGTTATGGATATCTATGGTGATTTAATGGTGATTTGATGGTGAGTTATGGATACTATGGTGATTTAATGGTGATTTGATGGTGAGTTATGGATATCTATGGTGATTTTCATGGTGATTTGATGGTGAGTTATGGATATCTATGGTGATTTTCATGGTGGTTTCATGGTGAGTTATGGATATCCATGGTGGTTTAATGGTGATTTGATGGTGAGTTATGGATATCCATGGTGATTTTCATGGTGATTTGATGGTGGGTTATGGATATCTATGGTGATTTTCATGGTGATTTCATTGTGAGTTATGGATATCCATGGTGGTTTAATGGTGATTTGATGGTGAGTTATGGATATCTATGGTGATTTTCATGGTGATTTGATGGTGAGTTGTGGATATCTATGGTGATGTTCATGGTGATTTCATGGTGAGTTATGGATATCCATGGTGGTTTAATGGTGATTTGATGGTGGGTTATGGATATCTATGGTGATTTCCATGGTGATTTCATGGTGAGTTATGGATATCCATGGTGATTTTCATGGTGATTTGATGGTGAGTTATGGATATCTATGGTGATTTTCATGGTGATTTCATGGTGAGTTATGGATATCCATGGTGATTTTCATGGTGATTTGATGGTGAGTTTTGGATATCCATGGTGATTTAATGGTGATTTGATGGTGAGTTATGGATATCTATCGTGATTTTCATTGTGATTTGATGGTGGGTTATGGATATCTATGGTGATTTTCATGGTGATTTCATTGTGAGTTATGGATATCCATGGTGATTTTCATGGTGATTTGATGGTGAGTTATGGATATCTATGGTGATTTTCATGGTGATTTCATGGTGAGTTATGGATATCTATGGTGATTTTCATGGTGATTTCATGGTGAGTTATGGATATCCATGGTGATTTAATGGTGATTTGATGGTGAGTTATGGATATCTATGGTGATTTAATGGTGATTTGATGGTGAGTTATGGATATCTATGGTGATTTTCATGGTGATTTGATGGTGAGTTATGGATATCTATGGTGATTCTCATGGTGATTTCATGGTGAGTTATGGATATCCATGGTGATTTTCATGGTGATTTGATGGTGAGTTATGGATATCTATGGTGATTTTCATGGTGATTTCATGGTGAGTTATGGATATCTATGGTGATTTTCATGGTGATTTGATGGTGAGTTATGGATATCATGGTGATTTTCATGGTGATTTCATGGTGGTTATGGATATCCATGGTGATCTTCATGCTGATTTGATGGTGAGTTATGGATATCCATGGTGATTTAATGGTGATTTGATGGTGAGTTATGGATATCTATGGTGATTTTCATGGTGATTTAGTGGTGAGTTATGGATATCTATAGTGATTTTCATGGTGATTTCATGGTGAGTTATGGATATCCATGGTGATTTAATGGTGATTTCATGGTGAGTTATGGATATCTATGGTGATTTAATGGTGATTTAATGGTGAGTTATGGATATCTATGGTGATTTTCATGGTGATTTGATGGTGAGTTATGGATATCTATGGTGATTTTCATGGTGATTTCATGGTGTGAGTTTTGGATATCCATGGTGATTTAATGGTGATTTGATGGTGAGTTATGGATATCTATCGTGATTTTCATTGTGATTTGATGGTGGGTTATGGATATCTATGGTGATTTTCATGGTGATTTCATTGTGAGTTATGGATATCCATGGTGATTTTCATGGTGATTTGATGGTGAGTTATGGATATCTATGGTGATTTTCATGGTGATTTCATGGTGAGTTATGGATATCCATGGTGATTTTCATGGTGATTTGATGGTGAGTTATGGATATCTATGGTGATTCTCATGGTGATTTGATGGTGAGTTATGGATATCCATGGTGGTTTAATGGTGATTTGATGGTGAGTTATGGATACCTATGGTGATTTTCATGGTGATTTCATGGTGAGTTATGGATATCTATGGTGATTTTCATGGTGATTTGATGGTGAGTTATGGATATCTATGGTGATTTTCATGGTGATTTCATGGTGAGTTATGGATATCCATGGTGATCTTCATGCTGATTTGATGGTGAGTTATGGATATCCATGGTGATTTAATGGTGATTTGATGGTGAGTTATGGATATCTATGGTGATTTTCATGGTGATTTCATGGTGAGTTATGGATATCCATGGTGATTTAATGGTGATTTCATGGTGAGTTATGGATATCTATGGTGATTTAATGGTGATTTAATGGTGAGTTATGGATATCTATGGTGATTTTCATGGTGATTTGATGGTGAGTTATGGATATCTATGGTGATTTTCATGGTGATTTCATGGTGAGTTTTGGATATCTATGGTGATTTTCATGGTGATTTCATGGTGAGTTTTGGATATCCATGGTGATTTAATGGTGATTTGATGGTGAGTTATGGATATCTATCGTGATTTTCATGGTGATTTGATGGTGAGTTATGGATATCCATGGTGATTTTCATGGTGATTTGATGGTGAGTTATGGATATCCATGGTGATTTTCATGGTGATTTGATGGTGAGTTATGGATATCTATGGTGATTTTCATGGTGATTTCATGGTGAGTTATGGATATCCATGGTGATTTTCATGGTGATTTGATGGTGAGTTATGGATATCTATGGTGATTTTCATGGTGATTTGATGGTGAATTATGGATATCCATGGTGATTTAATGGTGATTTGATGGTGAGTTATGGATATCTATGGTGATTTTCATGGCGATTTCATGGTGAGTTATGGATATCCATGGTGATTTTCATGGTGATTTGATGGTGAGTTATGGATATCCATGGTGATTTTCATGGTGATTTGATGGTGAGTTATGGATATCTATGGTGATTTAATGGTGATTTACCCTATAAACCTACAAAAAGCATCAAAAAGATGTGGGAAACCCATGGGGAATCCCTCGGAAAATGATCGAGAATTTCTGGTGCCTTTTCCACATCGAACTGTTAGTTTAGAGGAGGGCAAGACCTCATCTGGTTGCTTCCCAGCCCAAGTTGGTGAAACTTCTAGTGGTTCTGTATATTTCTATTTCCATCATCCCAAACAGGTTACATGTACCATAATGTACCCTCGAATTTAGGCCACTTCAATGAGATTGATTGGTATAATTTCATGCCCCCAACATGAAATACTTCCAATAAGGGACCCTAGATCCAACACTTGGGTTGCTAATTCAAAATTTAGAAGAATATTTTGTTTTACCATCCCTCCAACTGACATATATCAGTGGGTTTAAAAGACTACTTTCCCACCCAAAAATGACCCATTCTCAGAGTCAAGCTGTTACTTGGAGGGATGTTGCTTCATGGTCTTCAAGAACTATAGGTATACCTGCACTTAGTTTCACGACAACAATTCAGTGATGGGTATAAACGGATACCATGTGGTTATTTAACATAGCCATGGAAAATCACCATGCTATTAAGAGGTAAACCATCTATTTCTATGGACCATCTATACCATAGCTATGTTAAATAACCAAAGGGTAATTTTCAACTCCCCGGGCTCCCCGTTTGGATCACCTGGATCTATCAAAATGCATGGGGCCTTCACTGTGAGGATGCAAGGGGTTGGCTGACCAAGAGAAATGTGACCCTGACCTCAATATATGCGATACGAGTCAACAAACCCATGGAGATGTGATGTGGAGATGCTGATGAAACCTGATGAATATATGTAGCATTCGTATTATAGTAAAGAAACGTAAAACAAACCATTAAAGAACTCAGAACAATCAGCATGCACCCTCACACATCTGTTCTTGTAGGCCAGAGGATGTGTCAACCCATCTTCCAATCAAATTCCAGGACGAGGCACGGCAATGAGAAAGAAAATGATCAAGAAGGGCATGCAACACAGCAAGATCTGGCCTGAAACCGCAGGGAAAAGGCTTACATGGGTCTCAACTTCCCTTGAAGGACCTTTCACTTACATATCACGTATCAGTTGTCACAATATGAATCGTGACCAGGGAACACTAAATATCACCAAATCCGCCAATTAAGCTCAGTGACAAGCTTCATCACGAAGAGCTAGGAACCGACTCTGGAGGACCACGTCATGCACATAGAGGAAGTTGCACAGCTCACATTGGATCTGTCCAAGCGTTGTGCTGAGGACACATTGCCTCGTCAACTGAGTCACGTCGGCCGACGTCTCGCGGCAATCGATGCAGAACGATGTACGGCGTATGAGTTTCCATTGATACAGTAGGTTCAATCAACCTACGGCTGGTGAAGCTTCTTTGAAGTACTGTATAATTAGTAGATTGTAAATGAGCCGGGTTAAAAATGGAAGAATAGGATATCTTATGATATCTTAGGGTAGGACCCCCGAAGAAGTGAACCAACCTTGACACTACATACAGAAAGAATCATAGAGGCATGCTGGTAAGCAAGTTGCCGGTCGTATGAAGATTATACCATGTGGTGTGTGGAGGAAACCATCGCTCCAACATGTGCAATCTTTATTTGTATAGATGTGTGAAGCATCATAAAGCGAAGCAAATTGTCATCACGTCATCACATCATCACATCATATCAATAAATGTCTCCATAGTTCATCTAAACAAACAGTACTACCGTGACTGAAAATCCTTCATACAATTATCATTATATGGCAATATGTCAAAACCTTGTACCCCTGGTGAACATCAAAATAGCTGGTAAATGGATGTTCATCCCCCTAAAAATGGTATTAATAGGTATTGATCCATACCCATATAAACGAAGGAACAATTTCAGGGTCTCTCTCAACCATTCTTCCGCGAAAACTCGGAGCTGACGCCCCCCGGTGTTTTTTATGACTGCCTGGTACTTGAAGACATAAGACTGCCAAAAAACACCACTTGGAACCAATATGAACCAATTAGTCAAAGTCCAAAATCCAAAAATTCATCACATCCCGCAATCCTTGAAGATTTTTCCATGGTTTTCCATGGTTTTCCCCTGGTTTTCCCCTGGTTTTCCTATGGCTTTCCCTCACCGAGGCGCTGCTGCCACTGTTTCAAGCACTCCCGGTGGATCTGCCCCACTGAGCCCCGACAGAGGCACGGCTCCAGCAGATCACCGCTGGATCCGTGGCACACGCGGCACGCCATGGGGATCCATGGGATGAAATTCCGGCTGGTTCTCTTATGATTCAATATTGTTCACTGGTTCGTGCGACCTAGGAGATCCCCTGTTTTTGTTATCATTTTTTTCTGCAAGTACTTGCTCCGGAAAATGGAAATGGTTGGAAATAGTCACCCAATGATCCTTTTGATCTTTTGGATGAAGTTGGAGTCCCTTACTGACCATCTTAGTCGCACCATTGCATTTTTGCTCAGCTGCTTTGGCTTGACAGTTGCGCCACGGACGAAACATGACGAAACACCTCCCCTGAAGTCCAGGCTGACGCCCTGATGTATAACACAAAATTGTTTGAAGTAGGGACAATCAAAATGGACCATTTCAAATCCATTTGACAAATGGCTATTGGTCAAAACAAGTCAAAACCCTGGCACCTAGTGAACCCCAAAATAGCTGGTAAATGGATGTTCATCCCATTAGAATTGATAATAATAGGTTTTGACCCACCCCCAAATCAGCTTCTCAACATAATCTATGGAGAGTTTCAGGGACATGGCCACGGGACTCCCATCGCAGCTGCATCTTTCAGGCTCCAGTCGTTGCGTTCGCAGTGGAGTTTTTGCACACCGACTGAGCAAAGTCCTCCAGGCTGCCATTGAAGTCATCGCGCAATCCTGCGGGTCCATCTAGGGGCCACTTGCAAAGTACCCAATATAGGTCTGAGTCAATTGTGCGCACCACCAAAACACGGAGAATTCTTGTGACTCTTATCAATTATTCAATTATCATTATGAACAAAAATCAACAGTGTATTAACATCCAACATCATCCAAAATGATCCAAAAAGTCCGTGGTTTCCTGCAGCTGCTGGCAACCAGCGCAACCAGGGCGCCCCAAAACTCCCCGTGTCCTGTGCAGCCGGTCATCGCCTCCAACGCGGCCTTCGCGTCAGTGGCATGCTGTGCACCACAGATGGGCGCGGCCATGCGCCGCGCGGCCAGCAGCAGCGGGGAGGAAGAGATCTCCTGCAGTGTCGCAGGCAGCTGAAACATGCTGGAACTATATGGGTTTGTCTGGAAAAAACATGCGGATAGCACCAACATTGCCATTTGATAAGGAAAATTGTGATCAGCGGCAGCTGGATTTTTCGTTAAATTGTTGGGATGGCACTGTTTATGGCAAACCTATGTAGCAGCATGTAGCAGCACTGCATGGCTCGATCTGCTCAATTCTATTCTGCACGCAGTAGCAGAAGTAGAAGCAGCAGCAGTAGCAGAAGTAGCATCCTTAAACTAAAGAGCCCTGGAAATACCAATCTACACCAATTTATTGTTGCAAGTTCTTGGGGACTAGCACTGTAGGCTGTTGACCTTGTTGCCGAGTCTTTGTGCCGATTAATGTTGTATCCTGATTAGCAGCTAGGTTCGCTATTGTGCAAAAAATATTCTGAAATGCATTGTTTGGCAGGTTCGCTATTGTGGCAAGAAATCTTGGGGGACCATTGTTTTGTCCAAAAACATGTTTGTGTAAAAACATCTGAACATTTTTTCCGGAAAAACATGCTGCTGGTCTCCCTGTCCCAAAAGAATCAGACCGCTTATTAAACCCTTATTAAAGAACAGTTTTTCCACAAATGTCCAAGGCACTGGGCCATGAGAGGGTCCAGTGGGTCCAGTTCATTTGAATCCTTCCTCTTCCTCTCTATCTTTCTCTTTCTCTCTCTCTCTCTCTCTCTCTCTCTTTCCCTGTATCTTTTTCTTTCTCTTTTTCTTTCTCTTTTTCTTTCTCTTTTTCTTTCTCTTTTTCTTTCTCTTTTGAAAAAACTTACAGTAAGGTGGAAAAGGTAACGCAATCAACATGCTGAACCCCACTCACTACAAGGTACTACAAGTACTACAAGGTACTACAAGTACTAAAAGTACTACAAATATCACAAGTTCATCGGCAAAAAAAAATCAATTGTCGCCAATTGAAATACTTGCTTAAATGCGGGTTCGCATTTTTTCCAGGGAGGAGTTTCTTGACACACAACTTTAAAGAGGGTGTAGATATTGTTTGAGGGAGGAGCACACTAATCAGGACGAAACATTAAGCAGGCTCCCAACATTATCCATCTAGCCCTTCCATCCTTCCAAGACGACACAGCTCCTCTCCATGTGGCACCACCAGCTGCTTCCGATGTTCCTCCGACTTTCCAGTGGAGTCGCAAAGAAGCTCTGCAATGATGTCCTGATGAATCAGATGTTGCACGGACCGGGGATGATGTCATGCAAATATCACAGTTCAATCAGGTCACTTGCATGTTTATGCCATGAGCATCACTGGTTATGTTATATTTCTATATCCCGCATGTTCTTCGTTCTACATCCAAGCTTTATTGGGAAACTCCCCCGTTCTCATTGATGGTCTCTCTTTGATTGCTTGGTTTTTTGACACGTGAAAAAAACATCCTCAAAACCCAAAAATGATCATCTCTGAGCCGTGCAGGTGCAACATGGTGCAACCCAGGCTCTGTTCGATTGCTGGCAGTGGCGTGCCACAAGATGCCACGCCCTGCTAAGTCGGTCGAGGACAGAGATCCGACGGTCGACGCCAGCGTCCGCAGTGTTGCGACATCTTCGGCGAAGAACAGCGCATGCCTAGCAAATCATGTGGGAAAAATACTTTTTGAAGATGTCAAAACTAAGTTTGAAAAATAAGCCTAATTACAGGTGTCCTCATATTTCCTCATATTTATTTCATGCGCATGTGGCTTGGACTTGTTGATATGTGGGATTCTGATTCTAGTTTGGAAGATGGAGCAGAAAATTGAGCACCCACTCCAGATTTGGGACATCCCAAAATCAGTAATTGGTATGCCACAAGTCTCAAAGGCAGGATGCCAAGGGCTTCCCCAAAATCCCAAACAGGAAGGCCGAGGACTCTGGGTGCAAAACATCCAAAACATGGCTAGCCTTAGTTACTGTACGAAGCAAAGATCTTGCAAGTTTGGAAGGCATCCACTCCCCACCTTTGGGGAACCCACTTGAAACTCCCCATTTACCGTATCTCCATTGAGAGTGACCATTTGTTACCAGTATAATGCCAGTATAATCCAGCATATATCACAAGGATTCCCAGCCATCTTTGATGACCAAAGATTACAAACATCTACAGAAAATATGAGAAAAAAAACATATGTCAACATATGTAAACTCCACAAACTCAATGGGCCATTTCATCCATGTTCCATCGCAAAGTGTTCACCGCCTGCCAGAGTTGTCTGACATCTTCAGCACCTCTGGTGCACTGCGCAGCTGCTTCAGGAGCCACTCCACCGCAAAGCTGGCGTTCACACGCTCCTGCAGGGCACCTGTGAAGTTGTTGACCTCAGAAACGACTCGTTTCCGGATGAATCAATCCCGACTCGCAACGCATTTTGGGACCTTTTCCATTCAAGCACCCAAGAGGAAATGATATGGAAATGATATATATGTTCATCTTCAGAGGCCGAGCCGGCGATCTGCAAATTCATGATCTCCGGCTTCCAGGTACATTTCTTGTCGCCGAGATTGGACACTGGATCGGATCTGTTTGACTTTCAGTGGTTCCGTGACAGTCTGAAGAGCCTCGGATGTAGTGACAAGGAATCCAGGCAAACTATTTATGTACTATAAGAACAACATGACAAACATGTTAACATTAAACATCAAACTATATACATCTATACATCCGATCTATGTACATATTACATCTATTCTCTAATCTATAATGTAGTATAATTGAACATTTCAATATCCGACGAGTCACCTGGCCCAGCTGCGGCTTGCCCTGTGCTGCGTGGTGCAGCACCGTCCGCCCCAAGGCGTCGCGACAGAAGAGGCCCCCAGCGCCCTGGCTGCGTAGAGCAGCACGGGCCAGCTGTAAGTCCTGTAGGGTAAATAAACAACCACAAGTTCAAGGGGGTGAACTGCTGAAGCGAGATGGTTTTAATGGGTTTAATATGGTTTAATGGTGTTCAATTGGGTTTTGTGATGATTAATGGGATTAACAATTTAAGAGTTAAAGATAATCAGCCGGATTAAACTACTGCCCAACTGACTGGAATGGTACTGCTGGTGAATGGTGAATGGTGGTGAATGGTGGTGAATGGCAATGTTAGGACAAATGTCAGACCACGCAGAATGGCATGCTCAGTTTTGGTAAAATGGTTGCGAAGTGAGCTATGACTTCCTAAACCTGGGATAGCGCGGTATGATCTGAAATTCGGATCAATCAACACCAAAATATCTAAAAGTTTATCAGTATGGGTGTGTTCCCCCCAAACCATGCGATGTCCACTGCGAAATGGTAATCCCTACATATCAAAAAAATAAATCAATTGGGTTTTCCCTTCGGCTCAGCTGCCGAAACTGGCAAAGCTCGTCCTTGCGCCCCAGTGCTGCATGCAGCAAGGTGCGTCGATCACTGAAGCGCAAGCAACCCAAGTCGCGCAAGACTTGTGGTGGAACGTCACAAGACTCCTCGTGACCATCCAATAACCTGTTGGCTGCTGAAGGTTGTCAAAGATCTTCCGTCTCTCTCATACATACTTAAGAAGAACTATCGACAACGTGCACGTACGAGTCCATAGCGAGAGGCTGTATATTAGCAAGTAACCTATGATGATGGGATTGTCATTCAATCTGCGTCAGCCACCCCGGCGAGAAAGAATCTTGGTTAATTTGAGCCATCACATACATTCAAGACAAACATCAGGGCAAAGTGAAATGCATCGCAGTCCGTCACATCTAACCCGCAACTGAACTTGAGAGGGCCCTCTTCGAAGTCTTGCTTTCGTTTTTGCCAAGAACCCTCTCCCACTCTTTCTGCAATGTTGATAATATTGTGCATCAAACATCTGATCCCCATGGTTGGAAGTGGATATATATATATATAATATATATATATTCAACTATAGTATACTATATAGTTATAGTAGGGGTTCTATCCCAACTTCTGGGGTTTCTTTCAACTTTCACCTTAAGGTTATATCCCCATTTGGCTAAACCATACCTCCACCAAGATGCTGTCTTCGCAGCTCACCAATGGACAGCGCCAACACCGCGTCTGCAGCAGTGCAGGGAGGAGCCAGGCCTCGGCAACTTGGCCGACGATGAGTCCCAGTGAGATTGGATGTTTTAACATGTTTTAACCAACTGAGAGGCACATTATATGTCCAAAAAAAAATCCAGAACAGGGACAATCAACATCAATCAACATCATTGGGTATTGCCACGGTATTGCTATTGGTTTACTAACTAATTTGAAACCCAAGAGATTGGATATTCTTGAACAACGAGAACATGGTTTAACCAACTGGAATCTAGAACAGGAAGAACACTTGGGATTTATATAAATAGACTTGATCTCAACATATCTCAACAATACTAGGATTGTGATTAGTACATGTTTTAGGCATTCACAAGCAGGATTTATCATATTTATCAGGGTCACCCTGGGTCCCTAGGTACTCGGCTTCCATGGTTCTGTCATGTCCAATATATACTTCACACAGAAATTCTGGTCCAAGCTGCAGGGTTGAGGTGAATGAATTCCAAGCAGGAACATGCCCTCAGCGACTGCTGGGGGTCCGCCATCAACTAGGACTCACTCACTTCCAAACGAATTTCCAGCACTCTTCATGCATTTCTTGGTGTGTGCGCCCTTTCTTTATCTTTTTGTTGGGGAAGAAACTCTTTTGGAAACCTTGCCAGTCACCAATTCCTGAGCTTCTGGCCAGAAGATTCAATGCTGACACTTCATAACCAGTAGAAGAATCTCGCGGCCGGCACCGACAGAAATCTTGCCTAAGCACCACCAAGTTGGAGACTGATTCTGTGGAAAGGACATGGTAATGTCAAGCAACATGCTGATCACTGCCGTGAGATATAGCAGAATCAATCTGGATCTATCTCATGAAAGGCCTACATACATCAGGCACAGATCAGACTAGCTGCAAATTGCAAGTAGGTGGGTGGCCATCAATCAATTGAACCCTCAAGAGTGAGCCACGGAGCAATCCCTGCACCGCTCACAAAATCTCAAAATCGGGTCACGTGTAGTGCATCTAAGCCAACCAGCCTCATCAGGTTGAACAATCATTTCCAGCCAGTCCTTCCTCACCCCAGTTTTTTTCTCCAATTGCGATACCAATCACAGAAAGAATAAAACCAAAAAAAGGACATCACCCCGAACTGAGAAAACAAATCATCAACAACAATAAGTTAACAGAGTCTCATCAAAATTACCATGAAATTTAAATAAATTTAGGATCATATACTATATATAAATTATAATACCATATCTACATATTAATATCTACCATCATCAACTACCTCACCCCTTAGCTCCCCATGGCACCCCATGGCACCCCGAGTTGCTGTGCTCCCAACTTCGCCGCCGGCGCCCCGAAGCCCCGCGCCAGGCGCCGCCCGGCCACCTCTGGCGCGCCGTAGGCGGCGAAGGCCGCGGCCCCGAAGCGACCCTCCGAGAGCACGGCGCCGCTTAGGCGCATGGCGCCCAGGGACACCAGTTCCTCCGTGGCGGCCTGTGCCGTGGGCGGTGATGGCGACAGGAAACAGCAATTTTAAGCAGCAAACATGGGATAACTATGGGATAATTATGGGTGAACTCGATGGGATACCTATGGGATAACCATGGGATAACTTGGAAACTGTACCAGGAGCAATTTCCCACAAACGTCCTCCATCCAGGTGCTGAGAATCAAATGCAATCCGTCCCAAGCATGTGCTTGCGCTGCTTGCGATCATAATCAGTATTTCTGGCAGGAACAATAAAAAACAACGCATGTCAGCAGCCCGAAGCTGTAGTTGTGATGGACATCAAATCCCCAAAACTCTTGGTTTGTCCAGATTATCATCTCAAGTCAAGAATGCACCTGTAGGATGGAAAATAACTAAACTCCCCCAATAACATCAAACACAAAAAAATCAAGATTGGAGATTTCCCAACCCCTGCCTGATGTAAACGCTTGGCTTCTTCCACCGTCAAAGGCCACTTGGGTCTCAGCGCTAATGAAGGTTTTGGAACCCGGATGTAGACGTGGCAGGGCACGTCTCTGGACCAGCTGATGTTGAGATGCAAGCGCTTTTGGAAAACTAACCCACCAGCTGGGACGGAGGCTGAGGTCTTCCCGTCTTCAGAGGTTTCTTGCACTTGAGCGCCTTGGAGGAGCAGAGGATCCAAGCTCCAAACCATGGCTCCAGCAGGTAACTCCATCTCCATCTTCGTGGTCAAAGCCGCCTGTTGGGATGGCCAATATGTCAGATCATGTCAGATCCACATTGGTCGTGTGAGGAAGTGACTCCAAAGAAGGACATCATTTGTTGATGGTGTAACAGTGTAGCACCTCCATTTAGGATATGGCCAGGTACCACTTGTAATACGACTAGGGTTCCGCTTCCAATGACCTTGTAGGTAATTCCAAAAGTGAAGATGAAAAGGCAATATATAATTCGCAATCAAATCAGTACAGTAGAGATCTGCTCTCGAAGCTCTTCATTTTTTGGATGTGGCGCCGCTTAACTCCCATGTGTTGGTTCTGAAATCATCCGCCAAGCTGCCACTTCTTTGCCATCAACTCCTTTGGGTCCATCCTGCACTGAAGCAAATGATCGCGATTCAAGGGATTGATATAAGGGGAGTATGGGTATATCATCGGTTCATGATAACGGTAGAACGTCATATAACCAACAATACAACATAAATACAACATAATAGCACGGACTTTAAAACTTTGGGATGTAGGAATGGGGATGGAATCTGAACCATGCCACAAGAATAGACACCTCATGCCAGTTCAATCCAAGTGTGCTAAGTGCACAATTCCCACCTGTACCAATCTGATCTCTGAGTTGTGCCCCCCCCTGCCTGGCCCAGGATCGCCACAGTCACTCCAGATAAATTCGCCACGCTGGAAGCAGCTTGTTGAAACTCCACCTGTGAAGTGGCCGTGGATCCAACCGCAGTTGTTTGGCATGTCTTTAGGGATGACCCCTTGATTCAGATATTTTGCCGTGCAACCATTTTGGGCACATAAGACCACCTCGACCCGCAAAGCTCTGAATGTCACGGAAGGCAAAAGCAAAAGCACAGGAATATCAGTGAGATTCACCAGAAGAGGAACTACCTGGATAGGTAAGTAGACTATAGTAGACTTAGCATGTCTCCCCGTGTCTCGAAGTAGAACAACATAGAACAACCACGGTGTCTGGAACTCTTGGGCGCCACAGGAGAACAACCACACAGTAAATCATCTACATAGTTGTCAGTCCACCCTGACGGCGGAGAAAACTCAGGCCTCCATCTCCTGCCATTGCAATCTGGTGGGCTGGGTCCTGCGCCGAAATGTGGTCAAAGCATCCGCGTTGCGCTTGGGTTGCCCTCCGAGAATCAAACATGGCTGGCTGGAAAATTCCATTACAAAAATGGAGGTAAAAATGGAGGTTGGTAGCTGGGAAAATTATAAAAAGGAATTTTCCAGCAAACCATGTTGGATGACCGGATAGCAGCACATGAAGGCGAGACTTGGCCACGCTTATGATGTTCCAAGGACCTATATATCTCTCTCCGTCCATCCCCGTCTCCTCAAACCAGTGTGGACAAATTGAAGCCATTCAGGTGAACAAGAAAAAGCATGGAAACATTATCTAATCACTAAAGTGATTGCAAACTCCTTGTGCCAGAAACCACTTTGATTCTTTAAAGATAGTCTGGGAGTCCACAGCCCGCCCAACTCCTGTTGTAACATGACCGGGTGCAATTGCCCAGCATGAAGTCTGGAGACTTGGCACAGTCGCCTCCGTGGGCTGATTGAGATCTATTAATGGCCCACCATGCCCACAACTCCAAAAAAATCCACAGCCTCAACTAGCGACAAAACATGACAAAACTGCAGGCCATCTTTCATTCCACACGGAAACCAGTCCAACCCTCGCAGGTGCACAAGGAATTTCAGGGGACTATTGGGCCGCACATCTAAGATCATCTAAGGGGGCCTTTTGCAGCCCGATCTTCGCAGTTTGCATCGCGATCGACCTGATCAACTGGACCATGGCATGCTTATGTGCAAACCGGAATCGATCGATCATGGACGTCCATATTGCAGCCAAGGGGTTGAAACACGAACATTATAACATTGGACCTTCATGAACATTCAAGAATCTGAACAATGCCAAGGAATGGATCCAAACGAATCAAAAAATGGCTTACTTTCAGGCGAAAAGGTTGCCCTACACACCATGGCAGTCATGCAGTCCAGCAGCCAAATCGTCACCGAAGTTGTTCAGAAGATCCCTGGTTCAAAACCACAAGGCCCAAACAGGCCCAAGGTTCACCATGTTAACAGTATCCGTTAACATGACATGGTGGGTAATTTAAGATGCATCATCTGACCATATTCAACGTTAGTGACTCTTGGGATTGGGAAAACTGGGATTTCACACTCCAATTAGCCCTAGAATCACTGTAGAATAAGATTTCTTCATCCCTCAGCCAGTTCCATCCTCCTACTCCGGTCCACCGAGAACCCTTGGGAGTTTGCCTCGCCTCAATCTTTGCAAAGCCAGCAATGACCGAGCATAGGGCACCGGCTCCTACGCCCAGGATTTTCACATCCCAAAAAGGGCCAACAGTAGACTTTCCTCGATGTTCGCAACCATAGGTTTGTCCAAGAAGGATCAAAAAGGGCTAAAAAGGGGATACGGCTTTAAACTTTAAACAACTTTAAACCCAGAAACATTATCCAACATGACGTTTGTTCAAGGGAAATGTCTGGGTAATTTATCTTCAAAGAAACCCATTCCCAACCCAAAGGACCTACAGTGGACTTTCTGGATTTCTGGATGCTCGCAGCCTCCCGCATCTAGTTTTTTTTCACGCATGTTGTTCGGTGCAAATCGCACAATCTGCTGACTTCCTGTGTGGCTAAAGCTCCCTTGGGATCCGTGAATGAACTGGCCAAACACTTTGCCGCCAAGGGCAACCTTTTCTACAAAGAGAAACTCGAAAAAAAATGGTCTGTACCTTGTGCAGCTAGCAAAATTCTGGCATTTTAGTAGCGGTAGGTGTCCTGTTTGAAAGGACCATCCACCTTGACGCCGATGTAGTCGGCCTGCTCCTTGGAGAGCTTCGTCAGGTTTGCACCCAGAGATGGCAAGTGGAGGGCTGCCACCTTCTCATCCAACTGCTTGGGCAGCAGGTAGACGTCGTTCTTGTACTTTTTGTTCTTGGTGCAGTTCTCCAAGATATCCAACTGAGCCAACACCTGGTTGGTGAAGGAGCAGGACATCACAAAAGATGGATGGCCCGTGGCGCAGCCAAGGTTCACCAGGCGGCCAGATGCCAAGACAATCACACCATGGCCATCAGGGAACACAAAGCGGTCCACCTGTGGTTTGATGTTCTCAACCTTGATGCCAGGGAAATTTTCCAAGTCCTCCATGGCAATCTCGTTGTCGAAGTGGCCGATGTTGCACACGATTGCGTTGTTTTTCATCTTCTTCATATGATCCAAAGTGATGATCTTGAAGTTGCCCGTGGCGGAAGTAAAAATGTCAACCTCACCCACGCACTCTTCAATGGTAACCACCTGAAATCCCTCCATGCACGCCTGCAAAGCGCAAATGGGATCGATCTCAGTGATGAGCACACGGGCACCAGCACCCCTCATGGCGAAGGCGCAGCCCTTTCCGACATCTCCGTAGCCTGCCACCAAGGCACGCTTGCCGCCAATCATCACATCGGTGGCACGCATGATGCTGTCTGGCAGGGAGTGGCGGCAGCCATACCTGGAAAACCAAAACTGATTTCTAAAGGCAAATTTACTGGCAAATTTCAAAGTTCGTGTGTTTTTTTCAAAGCTGCACTAATTTCTGCAACTTTGAATGGGCAATTCCAGCAAAACAGGCAATTTCTTGCCGTTTGAAATCCTCCAGCCCCTCCTTCCAAGATTGAGGGGGCTCAGCTGAGCAATTTGGGTCTCAAAGCATCTTAGAGTTATTCGTCAAGGTTGGTTCTGGAGAAGCCTGGCATGTTCAACAAATGAGTGCACGATGACCACCCAATGAAGTTTGATTCCATCGTTGCATGAATGGTGCCGCTTGAATTCGCTCCCCCAAACATTTCCTCCATTCTGTGCAACACTGATCTTCCCAAGCAATTAGATTTACGTGAGCAAGGGGGAAAAAAACCCTACCCTGACTCTTTACAAGCAGCTTTCGCGAATCCTTTCGTTTTACTTTCGCGGCCGCAACAGTGGCAAAGGAAAAACCTGTGGTCACATGAGAAAGATTATATAAGTCTGGCATTGGCAATGTGTTTGCCCACCGTCTTTGCACACACCTCATCCGCCCATCTGCGGAGAAGGAAAGGAATAGAAAAAGAAGAGAGGAAATGGAAAGAAGGGAAAAGGGCAGGAAGAGGAAAGGAACACAAAGAAGCAAGGACATATCGGGTTTTCACCATAAAAATGTTGTCTTGAGCATGGAGACTTTGCAGGGGGATTGGTCGACTTGGCACATTGCATAAAACATCAATAGATTGTTTTAATCAATTTTAATCAGGGAGTTGTGCTACAGCACTCTTGCGAAAGGGAAATGTTGGGTCGCGAAGGATTGTGAAAGTAAAATTGCTTCGCGAAAGGTCGCGAAACCTCATGTATGTGTTTTTTAATCATGACATGCTGGCCTATAGCCTATATCATTATATTTGTGAATCTTTGGAACAAGAGGGAATGCCTGTTGATGATTGTATATGATGTATAATTATGAATGTATCTGCATATGATTGTAACTTACTATGTCATAGAAAATTGGCACGTTTGGGCCATTTGGGCACCTGAATTTCTTGAAACAACTGCGAAAAAGCCGCCGCCAAACCTTTCAAGCCGTATGCATGCCGGTCCGAATCCAGCGCGTTTTAAACATGTGTGAAAACAGTGTGAAAAAAACACTGGGAATATCGCGCGAAACATGCTAACAACAATCATTAAATTACGGCTTTTACTTTGGAATTTCACTTCAATTCTTCCGGCACAACTGATCAACGTTCTCAGGGAGGCCCAATTTGATGGTAAATCAAAACAACGCAATCGATGGGTGAAACAATGTTTCCGCTGCGGCAAAAAAATGGAAGGACAAGGCAACCACTATCAACGTTTTCCTGGGGGCCAAGAAAGCCAAAAAACATGCCACTATTTCATCAGTGGCAGAAACTCATGCAACTTTTGTTCATGCCCTGTTTTTTTTGTCCCACTTGGTTTTCCAGGTACACGTTGTCGAACTTGGACTTGGTCACGCAGTCGTTCACATTGATGGCAGGGAAGAGCAGCTCACCCTTGGCGGCCATCTCACGAAGGCGGTGCACACCAGTGGTAGTCTCCTCGCTAACACCCTTGCACTTGGCAGCCATTCGTGTGTACTTGGTCTTGTCCGCCTGGATTGAGTCCCTCAACACCTGCAAGACACACTTGAACTCCGCGTTGGTGGTGCTGGCTGGATCTGGCAGGCTGCCGTCCTTGGCAAACTTCTCCTCCAGCTCCTTGCCCTTGTGAACCAACAGGGTGGCATCACCTCCATCATCCACCAGCTGGTCGCATCCATCCGCACCTGGCACTGTCATCATCTGCTCAGTGCACCACCAGTACTCTGGCAAGGTCTCACCTTTCCATGCGAAGACAGTGGCGGTGTTGGCCTTGGCAATGGCAGCAGCAGCATGATCCTGAGTGCTGAAGATGTTGCATGAGCACCAACGCACCTTGGCACCCAAGGCAGCCAAAGTCTCAATGAGGACACCAGTCTGGATGGTCATGTGCAGGGAGCCGTTGATGTTCAAGCCCTTGAAAGGCTGTCCAGGTCCGTACTCCTTCCTGGCCGCCATGAGACCTGGCATCTCATGCTCGGCAAGAGTCAGCTCCTTGCGGCCAAACTCGGCCAGGCCCATGTCCTTCACTTTGGAGTCCGCCATGATTTCTCTTCGCAAGAGTTGGATAGATTTGGGGCGTCTAGTTGCCAGCTTGAGCGCGTTGCTTGAACCAGCGGTGAGCCCCACTGTGGATCTCGAGAAGTTCCAAATATGTGTTTTCCACCAGGGATATCCTAAACATCCTAAACTAACATAGATGTTATATGGAAAATCGATAAAAATCCATAAAAATCCCACATTTTGATCCATTTTGCTGATGCCTTCCCCAGCACACCATGGCGATTTCCCATGCGCCTTCTCCAGCGCCAGGATCCGCACCCCATGGATGGCGGCCAGGATCGGCAGCCGGCCATCTCCACTGCCTTTTGCCATGGAAAGATCCACCATTTTCAATAGCTAAACCATCTATGGGCCATCGAAAAACCACGGCTATGTAACAAATAACCAGAGGGTAACTTATTTAAATAAACGTTGAATCAACAAACCATAGGCATTTACTGCTCTAAACACAAAAAGGGCTCGAACAACAACATGAGGGGGATCTGTTTGCCATCAATGGTTACCTTGAGCTAAGCATACCAAACAAATGTATACACATATATGAAAAACAATGAAGAAGAAACTATGCGGATTTTTTAGTGATAGATGGTGGAAATTCCATATCTACGCCTACATTAATTTAGTGAAGGGGAATCAAAAAGAATCTGGTCGGTGGTTGAGCCCCCCTTGAACATATGAGTCAGTTGGGATTCCCATCCAAAATAATAGGATTGAGGAAAATGACTAACGTATCTCAATCATTCCCAATCCGGCAGGCGGGATGCTACGACTTCAAAACGCATGGATATGTTTTTTTTCAAATTGGGTATCTTTGAATCTTGTGGCAATGTTTTATCCATAGGATTTGCGGGAATCCTGTGTTTTCGGACCCAAACAGTCTCAACCCCGGAGCAACTTTGAGGCAAACCACTGGTCATCCGCAGTTGAGTAGCTAGAACCCATGATATGGGTACCGTCCAGTACACTAACATATGGAAAATCACCATTTTGAATAGGTAAGTTAAGTCAACTATCAATGGCCATTTTCACTAGCTATGTTAGTTTACCGGAGGGTATCTTGTACGAATACAATACAATGAATACGGTGGTCTGAAGGTGCAACCCCATTCAACCCGGAAACTTTTTCCAATCCAGCCTAGAACAGCGATCTTGTCCGTCTTGGACAGCGGCACGTCCATCAGTCCGTCACCTATGACAGCTGGGCGAAACAGTGGAGTCATTTAGGATTCAACCAAAGATGTGAATCCTTTAATAATTCAAGGCCCTTCAGAGTGAAAAATTATCGTGCTATAGAATTTATCTCGATAGGTTACAATATATGCAGCTGGGGATGATCTCCCAAATCCTTGCCATCATTCACCTTCTGGTAATTTCAATATGGAAAAAATCATCAGGACTAATAATCCATAAATCATCTGTAATTGGGCCATGGCTTTCATAGCAAACAACAAATTACAGGAGGGTATATTAATACATAATAATACCATCATAGATCCCCATGATATCACCAATTTTGTTGGTCGACAATTTTTCATGAAATCCCATGGCCTGTTGTGAGCAACACCTCCAAAACGCCCGGCAGAGGTGGCCGTGGCGCAATGGACAAGCGCGACAGATTGGCATCAGCCAACGCCTGCGGCGTTCCGATTCCGGTCATGTCGGGGCCACCCCAAGTTGGATGATGGCACAAACAATATCAAACAATTACCCTCCAGTAAATCAAGATTGATAGACCCCGAAAATCAACCATTTTGCTGGAAACTTATCTTTCAACCCCCTAACAGGCCCTAACTATATCTATAACTATGTGGCGGGGTCTATGTTAGTTTACTGGAGGGATCTGAGGCGTAATTTTGGGGAAAATACTGTAAAACTGAGAATCCCGGAAATCGGGATGATTGAATTGTCCAACTTGTGAAATATGCATGTAGCCAAGTAAAACATGGACGCATATTCCTGAAAAATGAATGAAACATGGGGCATTGTTGGATGACTATGTAATGCTTCAAAAAGGAATCACATCTCCTACTAGTTTCGACGTATAGTGTCAAAAAGACAAGGGTTTCTTGACGTTGCTTACTCTTGGCGTTGCTTACTCTTAGGCGGAAGGGATTATCGGGGGAATAGTTTAACTCTAGGGCTCAGGATGACCTAACCAGCAGAATAGGAATGTAAGTATCAACAACCAAAATCAGCCATACAGAATAGTACACACCATTACACATCCACTATATAACTCAAAGTTGGATGATCAATCACTTACAAAAAAAACAGGTGAAATCATTTTAAACCCACAGGCAGGCTGCATTCCCCTCCTGCTCCTTGCTAGGGGCAAATAGTCTCGTCAGGATGCACTCCGCTTTCTCTGCATCACCTCCATTGCCTCAAGGGCCGTTAACAAGTTGGGATTTGGCTATGGGTAAAACCTTGATACCTTGGTTAACCCCAAAATAGTTTGTAAATAGATGTTAATCAACCCCAAATACTGTAGATGTTGATCCACTCTCATTACATTTGATCAGGTTGGACTTTGGTTGTTGTTTTTGTGCTTTGATAGTGTTGCAAGTGAGGTGTTTTAAGCTTAGGACTCTCTTAGGCTAAGAAACAATTTCTATCAACAATGTGTCTGCAAATCATCGAGGAACAACCCGGCGGGTTGTTTATCGAACCCGCGTTTTCAACGTTTGCAGTGTTCGACATTGATTTTATACAACAAATCACAGTGTTTTTGCACTACCCTGAAAGTGCAATTTCCTTAAAAAGTACGCGCGTACTTTTGACTGGAAATGTAAAAAACCTCAGCGGCACTCTCTTTTTTTCTGCGCTAAGTGTTCTTGACAATCTGTGCAGTGAGCTTGGACAGGTTTTTGTGGGAACTGTTTTCCCATCGCCACTGCCAAGCGCGAACATGCGTCCAAATCTTGCCATTGAGCAAGGTTGGATTCCTAGCACTCTTCGTATGAAGATTCTTCGTATGAAGATTCTTAGGTAAGGATCCTTTGATCAGCCGCCAAAAAATGTCAATTGTGCCCGTATGGACATCAATGGTGAGCATCATATATGTGAAGAAGCGCAAGACGAATTACAGCAGCGTAGCATCATATATGTGAAGAAGTGCAAGACGAATTACAATAGCGTAGCATCATATATGTGAGGAAGTGCAAGAAAAATTACAATAACGTAGCATCATATCATATATGTGAAGAAGTGCAAGACGACGTACAATAACGTAGCATCATGTTTGTGAGGAAGTGCAAGACGAATTACAGTAGCGTAGCATCATATATGTGAAGAAATGCGAGACGAATTACAATAGCGTAGCATCATATATGTGAAGAAGCGCAAGACGAATTACAGTAGCGTAGCATCATATATGTGAAGAAGTGCAAGACGAATTACAGTAGCGTAGCATCACATAAGTGAGCAAGTGCCAATGAACGTTATTACCCCACCCCACCCCACCCCACCCAACACAATAACGTAGCATCATATATGTGAGGAAGTGCCAATGAACGTTATTATCCCACCCCACCCCACCCCACCCCACCCCACACAATAACGTAGCATCATATATGTGAGGAAGTGCCAATGAACGTTATTATCCCACCCCACCCCACCCCACCCCACCCCACCCCGTTAACCCCATGAATGACATAAAAAGATGCAAAACGCTGGTTCGGTTTTCAACCCGTAGGCAGAAACAACCATTCGAACTCAAGCAAACCATATCACACATGTAATATTATACATATATTACATAATATTATATTATATTATATTGTATTATATTATATTATATTATAATATAATATGATATTATATTATATATACATCATATGATATTATATATATTATATTATATTATATATTATATATTATATTATATTATACTATATTATATTATATTATATTAAATTATATTATATTATATTATTTTATTATGTCATAATATATAAAATATATTGTATCATATTATATATTATATTATACTATATTATATTTTATTATATTATATTATATTATATTATACTATATTGTATAATATTATATTATGTTATGTTATATTATAGTATATTATACTATATTATAATATATTTTATTATATTATATTATATTGTATATATATATATATACACATCGTATAATAGATATTGTGAATGTGAATATGTTTGTATATAGTACACGTGCAGCATTGGATAGTGTACCTCACCCTTTACCCATATGATTGACAAGTGTCAGCCAGCAGCTCTTGCTGCGGTCAGCAATGGAGTGGTCCCGCTTCCAGTTCCAATGAGGCTGAGAAAAATGCCCAAACGAACTGCTGCCGCCATGGCATTGCACTGGTTGAAGTAAGTTGTTACTACTATTACCACCTTTTGTGTTTCTGAGGCTACCTGAGTTCAAGGAAACGCCTCCCATGACACTGTCTTCACGTGTTTTCACCATGTGTGCGCCTCCCAGCATGCTTTGTCCAAAATCCATTCGGGTCTTGCACATCATTGCACCCTCAAGGACTGGCTGACTAGCTTTCAATCCTCAAACTCTGTGAGTGCTGGGTGTTCTGCTGACTTGGGTCTGGCCTTCAACTGATGCATAGTCTGCTTGAACCTTTGCAACTCCACCTAGGACCTAGCGCCAATCAGCACCAAAAAGAAGCACAACACACACGTTGAACCTGCGCTGTCCAGGAACAAATGTCCACGCTTCTATCTTTGCCAGAATTTTAAAGGCAAGACAACTGGATCTATTACAGAACTGGCGCACTAATCAACATATGAAATATACATGTGGAAAAATAGATATACAAAATGAAACAAATACATTGAATGCACCTAGACTTAGATGATCCTACATGTATAGAAACATGATTCGACACATTCATAATTACAATGTTGATGATTTGCCCTATACAAAATATGTAAACATATCGCTAAACCCTGTCTCAACTGAGCCAATTAGCCCTCCTGAGACTCCGCGCCGCCAAGAGCTTTGCCTGTGCCTCTGCATGACCTTGCAAACGTTCTGACGTTCTGAGGGGCGCTTCACGAACCTTTTCTTTTCCTCCACAAAAAAGAGTGCAAGGCAAACTTGTGGAGATCTCACGGGTATCTGTTCGCCGGATAGAAACAACTTTTTTTTTTCTCTCTCTCTCTCTCTCTCTCTCCCTCCCTCCCTCCCTGCATCTCCATCACAAAGGTTCAGCATCGGGCTGAAGGCGTTTCTATCATAGTGTTCCATATGCAATTATTTTGGATGCAACTTTGATTGCAAAATGTTGACGCACATCCATGCAATACGATCCTACATTCCACACTTCCACCCCACACACTTGCTCCTGGAATTATAAACAATCTTTATTCAATCTATCAATTATGCTTGGCAAATCTGTGCCATTCCTCCCTTTTTAAAAGATGGGTGAATGGCCGGCCATCTCACCCTTCCCGTTTTTTTGGCTTCTGGCTCTGATGGCTCGCAACCAAATCCTCGCAACCATTGCGTCACGTCACATCATCATAATTAATCATCAGGATCAGAACATGTGGTATTTTTCTGTGTTTGGTATGTGAGCTATGTAATAGCAATGTGTGATATGTGGGAAATGAGATCGGAAATGATATGTGTGGCGTATGCGGATGCATGTGGCATCTGTTGTGTGTCATCTTGGCAATTTCAGGAAGAACTCCCGACGTATGTACCCCAGTCCATCCGTGGCTTCATCATCATTTTCCCAACATCATTTTACGGCCATCACTGGGGGGTTAATCGGTTAATCCCCCATGTGTAGACCCATCATGACACATCCAAATATCTCAAGCTGGTAGTTATAGCTACATCCCCGTTGGGTAAAAGGATCACTTTGGAACACACTCTCAGGCATCACTTTAGAACACAGCCATTTTGCATCACTTTAGAACACAAAATAAAACATCTCATGGAAACCCCGCCATACACACACACACATCAGATTTACTGACAGGCGCGAGACTTTGGAAGAAAAACGCGTTCCAAAGCGAGACCAACACAAAAAACCTCCCCGTATGAGAATTTGACTCGTTTCAACCATGTCATAAAGTCCCACGCCTGCCACGTAAAAAGACAGTCGATGTACAAAAGTGCCACACCTGCCACGCAAAATGAAGGTCGATGTCAAAAGGTCCCACGCCTGCCACAGAAAATGAAGGTGAATATATGAAACAAAAGCCTTGTTGTTCTTGATGTAAGAAGAGCAACGAGACCTTTAGGATTTATATGTTGTTGCACTTGATGTAAGGACTGCCACGACACCTTTAGGGTTTACATGTTGTTGCACTTGATGTAAGGACTGCCACGACACCTTTAGGGTTTATATGTTGTTGCACTTGATGTAAGGACTTCCACGACACCTTTGATGTTTACATGTTGTTGCACTTCATGCAATAAGAGCCACGACACCTTTAGGGTTTACATCTTGTTGCACTTGATGTAAGAAGAGCCACAGCACCTTTAGGGTTTACATGTTGTTGCACTTCATGTAATAAGAGCCACGACATCTTTAGGGTTTACATGTCGTTGAGGGTTTACATGTTGTTGCACTTCATGTAAGAAGAGCCACGACACCTTTAGGGTTTCTATCTGGTTGCATTTAATCTAAGAAGAGCCACCACACCTTTAGGGTTT